GAGAAGCAGCTCAGAGAGAAGTTTTATTTCACACGGCTCTTCAGAATTAAAAAGTCTTGAGGGGAGCTTGAAAGCTACCGAGGCTCAAAGTCTCTCACATCGCTGAGCCAGTCACTCTTAAATTGGAGGAAATGTAAATGACTTACATAATCAGCACCCTCCTTATACATACACGCTACGAAAAAAAAAAAAAAGAAACTGCAAAGTCAGCGCTTAATAACTCTGTTGATAACTGGGTAAAAATAGCCAAATATAATCAGTCATGTTCAGCAAGTTAATTTACAGTTCGTCCAAGTGAGGAGAATACAACTGACACTTTCTGCGGCGTCTTCTGCTGCATAATGAGGCTTATCCCCGACCCGGAGTCACAGTCATCATGAGGGTGAAGCGGAGGCTGTTACTCTCTGTTAATCTCCCTGTTTTTAATCCATTCCTGCATGTTGTGGATTTGAAAAACCAACACCTGTAAGACTGTTTTTCAACACAGCTCAGGAGCGTGACCCTGCATCACCTGTAAAATAAGCACACAGGTGTATTGGCGTGCACTGGATTTATTCCACAATCACAGCGCATTCCTTTTCTTCACGCTGGAATATTCCAATTAATTTCAATTTCTCTTGCCAGACCTTGACCGCCATGACAAAATGCTTTTTTTCCCCCCATTTTATTGAGACAGATTGGCCAAGAGTGTTGCTGCCATCTACAGACTCAAGATTACATTTGTTTCCTCGCCCCCCCCGCCCTCCCTCTCTCTTCCACACACATTCAGAGTGTAAACAGCCCAGGCCTTGATTGAAAATGAAATGACCTGGCATGCTGGTGCCTGCAGCAGCTAACACATTTGGGATGCAGATCATTCAAACAGCTGAGCATGAGAGCAGATATGATTAGACGTTCTGTTTTCACCTGTAACAGCGCAGTTAGCTGCCTGAAAGTCACAGCTATAAAAAAATCTGGGTAGTAAATTATTCCACCGGCAGAGTCACCTGCAGGGCTTTCTTTACACCTCTTTTGATGCTGTGTACACTGAGATGATGACATGCAGCTATTCAGAACCTTTGTGACATGTGGCCGCAGAAACCATGTCATGTCTATTTGCAGAGCACCTTGTCAGAGGTTAGATTTCTTCACACATTATAGCCAGTTAGCTGAACAGTCATTTAAAGGGCGTTAGAATGACAAATGATCCAGTCCTATTGAACAAAATGATCTGATAAATGAGCAAATCCTGCAGAAATAAGCAGATTTTCATCAGCAGGACCTCCTGAGATTGATCACCTGACCTGCAGGTTGATAACTGACACGCAGTCATAGTTGGGCAACTTTGCAAACAAACCTTCTCTTAAGTGTGTTTTCTGTTTGTCCCTTTTTCCTTCTGCAGCTCTTCAGGTGATACTGAAGGTCAGCATGGAGCACTTGGTTGAGGATAAGTGCTTAAAACCTGCAGTCAGGCTTCTAAAGAGGGGAAAGTGTTTACTGCCTCTCAAACGGGTATTTTGTGTTGTTGTGTTCTGACTTTTGTCCTTGGTTTGCCTTCCTGAAACTGTTCAGTTACTTCTGTGTTGTATAATAAATCCCACATTTGGGTGTTTCAGGTGGTTGAATTTGTGTCAGATCTTGGATGGTTGTTGACTGCCTAATGATACATATATTTGTTCCATTATCTCCGGCTCTGTGACCACACATCTGCATTTACTATTGCTGTTGTTGTTAATCTCTCGTTTTCTACATCTCTCTCTATCCCCTCTCTTAACCCAACACAGTCTCAACAGTCTAACATGAGTTTTGTTCTGCTCAAGGTTTCTGCAGGTTAAAAGGAAGCTTTTCCTCTCCACTGTAACTTGCTAAATGCTGCAAAGTGTTCTCATTCATGGTCTCTGTCTCTGGACAGTTCAAGTGTTGTGGCAGCAACAGTTCATCTGACTGCGCCGATAGTCTCTGGATCCGCTCCAGAGGCGGAAACAGCAGAATCGTGCCTGACAGCTGCTGTAAGACTCAGACTGAGCTCTGCGGCCGCAGGGACCAACCATCCAATACAAGGTGGAGGTGAGAGGATGAAGGGTGCAGTGGGTACCTCTGAGACTGGCTTATCAGTGTTTCTGCGATGGTAGATGAGGATGGAATCAGAGTCACTTAGATCTTACAAGATAGGACTCTTATCTTATCCCATCTTAAAGTTTGATCTTAATAAATATCTTAAAGAGTATGGTCTAGATCGGCTCTTTTTGTACAGCATCTTTAAGAAATTCAATTGTCAGTCATCTCATTTGTCACGTCTCTAAAAGTCATCTACTATTTACGGAAGAGTTGTACAGTCTGATGGCTGCGGGTACAAAAGAGCTTCTGAACCTTTGTGTCGTGCAGCGAAGAGAGAGGAGCCGTCTTTAGATAACATATGTTGTGGACTGTTGTTTAATTAATAAAGATTGATTAAAAAGTTTAACATTTAATCGAACAAATAACTGTATTATATATTATACTTTATTATAAATAATAATTCTCCTCATAAATCAGCTCCATTAGCCTGGTATCTCCACACCACTTCATGTACACAGGTCAAGCAACGTACCCAATCGAAATTTGAACATTTGGACTTCGTTTTATCGAAGTACAACTAATACAATTCAGTAAATTAACTATTTAGGCATGACCATGTACCCATTTTTGCATCATTTTCTGTGAAAAAATGCTTTAAAGAATTAGATGTTCCTGTTTAGTCAACTAAATGACTGAAGATCATCGCCAAAAGGATTAGTTCGTACATCAAATTATTGGTATTTCTGTAACTGTAGGCCCTGAAATGCAGGTCATGTGTCCAAGCTGTACAAGTTTGAAAATGCTCTACTACTCTGATGTAAACAAGCAAAGATGACACTGTCGCTTCAGATCAAGTATTACATTTTTGGATTTTTGCATCAGGTCCATTTCCATAGAAGTTAAGCTGCATGCCATTTGTGAATCTACTCAATATTTCAGGAATTGACTGTACTAAAGGCTAACCTCTGTTCAATTTTAAAGCATATGCTCAAAATACCAGACTCCACTCATGTGGTGTTCATGTCTAAGGTTTGCGCTCATTTCCTTGTAGGTAACACTAAACTTGACCTCAACTGATACTCACACTTAACCTTTACCCGACCCCAGTGAAGACAGGAACCGTTTTAGCTTGTGAAAAATGTAACTGCTGTGAAACCAAATCGGAGAAAAACAAAACGTTAAACTCGGTAAACAAGCTGTCTCTCCAGTGTGGAAAGTAGGATTTAATAAAAAAGAAATAGATCTAAAATTAGATGCTCACACAGGCCTCTCTGCCCTTGGGCTCCCCTGCCCTTGGCTCACCCTGAGAACGAATATGTTCCTCCTCCTGTCACCAGCTGCAGACAAACTACAGCACAGCTCCCTGTGTGTTTGTCCTGAGCTCGCAGAAATCCTATCACCTTTCAGGGAAAAAAAGGTAGAAGGAGAGGCAGGGTGCACAAAGCCTCCTTGGACTGAAAATAGCAAACATCTCTGCTGGACAGGCCGAGGTGTAGAAGGTGACATGTGCACCGAATGGACGACTGCTTAGAGAGTACCGAAGGAGATATTCTTGAAATGTCATGCGCTGGCATTATTAACATACCCCTTGTGTTAGCCCATATGCCGGCTCTCACAGTAAGAAGGCAGAGCAGACAGGGAGGCCTGCCTGGGTTGAAGCAGATTTATTGTGGTTTTCATCAGCGGGGAGACAATAGGGTGGAACAAAGTGGTCGTTTGAAGCCTTGTCATGATTTTGTCATCTATTTAAAGTCAAACTCCGGCAACAAGCAAAGGCAGGGGGCTGTGTCAAGAGCAGGGTAGACTGCTTGCATTCCACAGATGTCTGCCTCTTGGAAAAAAGCCCTGTAAAAATTGTCATGTGCTGAACTACTTTCACTCCGGTGGAAAGTGCTCTAACCCCGTCCTCAGAGCACCTAAACGAGGAAAAACAAAACAAACTGTCCTGCTCATTTAGCCAGGGATGACTCAGCTTTCACAAGGTGCGCAAGAGCACCTTCAACTACTACTGCTGCCACAACAAACACCAATTTCTGCATGTATTCCCCGATGAGAGCCTGTTACACGGAGGGAAATGTTTCTACACTGCCAGACAGAGAAATGACTTCATTTGCATTATTAGAAATCCCAGTGGAAACCTATTAGCAGTCTGTAGCTGCAAGCTGACCAGTTGCTATGTAATATATCAGCCTGTTACATGGCAAAAACAGGCAAATGTTTATGAATGAACTGCATGTTTTCCACTGGAATTGTAAAAGCAGGTGCATTTAGTTGTTGGAGTGACAGTTGCAGCGGCTGCAGGCTTGACAAGCACGTTTCCACTCCTCAACACTTTGTGAACCCGTGTTAGAGCTTTTCTGCCCTCCTGATTCAGGAAGAGTGTGAGTGTATTTAGGAGTGTGTGTGTGTGTGTGTCTTTGTGTGTGGGTAATCCTCAATAGCCTCTGGGTGTTATACACTCAGTCTCACCAGCTGTTTTCATCTGTGTGGCGTTGTGTTGTTGCAGTGAAAGCCTGGCTGGTGCTGCCTCCCTGTGTTTGCAAGCAGTAACTGCTGCTGTTTGCATTAGACGCAAATGCACAGTCACTCAACAACACAGGGAGGTCACATCTGCGGCCAAAGAGCAGAATAAGTCTGGTTTCTGACTGGCTGTGTCACTGTCATAGTATAGGTAACACAGCGCTTCAGCAGCTGTCAGCAGTAAGGCTCACATCCTGGATCTACTCTCCTACAGTACAACAACATTAGGGAATCGACTCAGGGTTAATACACTAATGCATCTGTAAGCTGCTGCCAATTGTTTAAGGTCTACTGGTTACAGCCAAGTGGTTTTGTCTTTACAGAATAAGGTTTTTCTGGCAGCTCTTTGGGATCAACGACCCGTGAACTACAAGGCGAAGGACGCGGATCGGATTTGATGAAAGGAGGAGTTACTTAAATACTACACCAGCAAGTCAGTTGGTGTTTTTTGTGCATCAACAGAAGCAGAGGTGTTTTGGTGATCAACATTTATTCGAACTAAGGTGATTCCTGGTTAATCAACAAGAGAAATTACAGCAGGTTAATTACAGTGTTGTCTTTGAGGCACACAAGAAAGGATCGTTTTTGTAACAGTGAGTGAAAAATCATCTCCTACTACGTGTCAGTTAAATACAATAAAATATTTACGGTCTATAGAAAAGTAAACAAAATCTTCATTTATGAAAACAATATAAAAAACAGGCATCAGTAGATTAGTGAATAAGGCTGGAGGAGATACAGTAGGTCCTTACACAAAGTTACAGTCCACAACTTTGGCATCAGTGGATAAATCCCAAAGATGAAGTAAAATCGCAAACATGAAGCACTTTCTTATGAGCATCAACTAGAGGTGGAATTGGTTTTATTAAGACTATCACAACAGCTAGTCACATAGAAGTAGTTCAACACAGGTTCAACGCTGGAATTGCTGCATCAAAAGGCACAAATACGCTTCTGAGCGAGGCACTGATTTACGCACCTTCACTCATTTAAACACTGTGCCCTTCTCAGCAGGTCTATAAGTCAGTTAAAAACACTAAGATGTTGCTACAAAGACACTTTAAGTTATAAATCCTCATTGCTCAGAAGAAAGCCCCTCAAGTCTCACATAAAATGATCATTTACAACATACAAAAAGTAACAGTTCAAAAGTTTAAAAGGCCACCGTCGAATAATTTTGAAAATGAATGACTGGCAGATGAGCAAGAAACAAAATGCTGCTACGGATGAAGAAGGCCCCTGGGGGCCAGCTTGTTAAACTCTGCTGTGGAGTTGCTGCGATGAGAATTTACATTTTCTACCAAGCGCCAGTTTCACTCTGCTGGTCTTTACAACACTTTCAGGTGCAGCGCCTCGCCTGCAAACATAAACATATATCGAGGGAGTCAGAGTGGAAAAAAACTACAATGTTGGAGTCCCAAGGAGGCTGTCCCCACGCTAATTTACACAATCTGTGTTAAGATTCACATCAGTTTCTCTCTAAAGGCTTTCTCTCTCAGAGCTGGGATCGAGAAGATGGAGCTGACGCTGCATTTTTAATGCCTAATTACCTCAAGAAACCTTGTAGTGTTGTTCCACCCTTTGTTTACCAAAATGAGATCCTCTGATGTGCGTTTTGATCCCTTGCCAAACTTTCCTTCCTCTGTGCGAGCAAGGCAAAGAAAAGAACCTAAGAGCTATTTGAGTTTGGCATATCGTGATGAAGTTACCTCCTTTTCCAACACACTGTCTTCTTCTTTCTGCTTCTCTTAGTATGGCTCTGGCTTCAGACTTTGATGCAGGAAGCATGTAACAATCATTCCTATGATCTGGGGATGAGAAAGGGGAAAATGAGAACATCATTTCGGAAAACTGATCTCCATGGGGAAACATTCAATCAAACTTGCTGAAAAGAAGGTGTCTTTGCTCACCTGTACACAGCCAATCCCAACACCCACTGCCCCGATGACCTTCAGATGCTCCATGATGAATATCTCCAGTTTAGAGATGCAGCCCCCCTAAATGAAAACACAGTTTTTATGCAGTATCAGTCGTTGTGGGAGCGTTACTGAGATCTCAATGTACAGTTCACCTCCTCTCTGAAACTCTAACACCACACAGTCTCAATGCTCACATACTGAGACATGGCAGAAATACAGATAAGCCATTCCCAGTGGTACCCCCAGCACCCTTCATCTTCTCACCTCCACCTTGTAGATATTGGACGGGTGGTCCCTGCGGCCGCAGAGATCAGTCGGGGTCTTACAGCAGCTGTCAGGCACGATTCTGCCGTCTGCGCCTCTGGAGCGGATCCAGAGACTATCGGCCCAGTCGGATGAACTGTTGCTGCCACAACACTTGAACTGTCCAGAGACAGAGGAAAAGAAAACATTAAGAGGGGAATATTAATGCTGTGGAAAAGAGGAATAAACCCAAACAAAAACTGCTCATCTGACATTGTTGAGCAAGTCTGATCACACCTACTGAAGTCATAAGTTTAGAAAGTTAATAAAAAACCCTTAAAGCTTTACATGGTGCTGATATTACTCTACATTCATACCAAATAATTGATGGATCAGTTATTAAAGCTCCTGAGAGGAGTTTTTTGATGTTAATAAAACAGACTAAAGTTCACATACTATTGTCTTTTTAAGACACGCAATAGCAAACGATCATCAGCGACAAAATTGAAGATTTTTATTTTGTGATTTTTATTCCCTGAAACTGTATGAGAGTGTTGGCATCAGCTGAGCAGCCCTGTTCCTATAATTCAACAGAAATTATTCACATTAAATCAGACGTTTGACTGTCAAAAGTCTGCAGGGGAAGTTGACCAACAGTTGATGCGACTGTTCGCTTGGATTCTTCAAAAGACTGGACATGGCGAACACAGCTAGCCTGTTTCCAAAACCATTTTTCTTGAACTGTAGCAGTAAACTTCCACTTTTTTTTTTTTTTTTTGCACACAAACTTTCTTTCAAACCACATGAAGATAAAATGAGATGCTCTTTATTAATCCTCCATATGGGGATTTCACTTGATACAACAGCTCCAGTGAGAGACGAGGGCAAAGGATAAAATTGCAAACGGTATAAAGAGATACTGACAGAAATACGCAGTTATAGAACAGAATAACAATGAAGCAATAAACTGAGTGTCTAGAGTGAGGATACGACAAATCAGACATATCTTGTTGATTCATGATTTGATGTTGAGGCAGATGTTGTAACTTCTTAGCATGAGAGTGGGGGGATTTTTAAAATCAACGAAGAGCAACAAAGTTTAGACAGAAACAAATAATAAATGTTGACATCTGACAGCCAGGGGCATCTCACACACACACACACAAAAAAATCTATGCATACAAAATGAAGTGACTTAAGTTTCATCTGCTGCTCATATTTATTCATTCCTTCATGTGCTGTCAACTGGTGTGAGTCAAAGAAGAGGCTAAAATACAGCAGAGGGTGCAGACAAGTCCATCAAGCTTAGCTGAAGTCTGAGTGACTTGAATCGGATTTGTGTTGACTTGCCCTCATCAGCCAAATCTCTAATCTGATGGGATGATAGGATACCAAACACTGTCCAATCAACGGGTCACGTGCGAGGCCGGGTGAATTTTGCTCGGATGCTCCTGCTCAGTTGTAACATGACTACCTTAATACAGCCATTTTTTTACTATCCAAACGACCGAGGCTGTGACCACACCCTTAACAGTGGACATCAATTTTTCCACAGGTTGTCCTCCAGCGCACACTCACCTCTTGTTGGAGATTGTCCACAGCCCCGGTGACGTGCTCGTGGGTGCTCTGTTGATACTTCTGGGTCATGGTGTCCCTCAGGTGCTGCTTCAGCTCATCACTCAACTGTTCAGACACACAGAGACAGGTTTGTGTGCATAAAGCCAAGATAATGACAAAGCAGAAGAAAAGGAAAACAGTACAGCTGAGGGATAAATTAGTTTCAACAGCTGACTTTTCCTGCTAATGAGATTTGTAACGCACACAGTCTAAACGTTCTCTTGACAATACATGTCACGGACAACAGTTCAAACAACAGAGGAGCAGGAGAAGTCAGGGTTAAGCCAGAGGAAGTCTGTGCTTTAGTTTCTTTCTTTTAAGCCATTCTTCTTCTTCCTCTTCTCTCTTTTTTTTTTTTTGTTCTTTGGACCAGAGGCAGAAAACGCTCGCTGTAGGAGCGGGAGGTCTGGGGGCTCAGTTTCTATGGCAACAGGCCAGCTGGGAAAGCACTGTAAATCAAAGCAAGAAGGAGATATCAAGGGAATGAATGATGAAGAGTGGAGGAGAGGGCAGAGAGATGAGAGACGGGGAGGTGAAGACAATAGGGAGGATGGAGAAGGGGAGGAATGAGGAAACAGGAGAGCTCAGTGCTTCGTTTTTACCTGTTGATAGTTTGGAAGAAACTTTATCAGTGAAGAAAATATGAGTAAACACCCAGATTAAAACTGAAGCATGTGCGTGGAGTTAAATTTAAAGCTCCTGTGAGGAAATTCTTGTTGGTGCAGACTTTGATGCCCCCTTGTGGACAAAATAATATTTGTTATTTCTTCACTGATAAGTGGTGCACATACAAAAGTTGCATTTTTGAACAGATAACCACATCCATGCCTCTTTTAACATTTAAATGTGTCATTAAATTACCTTGTTTCGGTAGTATCAAAAATCACTCCGTGGAAATAGCCAATTTTCTTTCTGATAGCCCTGTTTGCTTGTGTAGCTCCTAAAACATATCAGTATTAACAGGCGCATTTCTTTGCCTGATAAAAACTTCTCTGAGGGGTTTATTTATTGGTGTTGTCATGTCAATTGCACTGCCACTGAAAATCAAATCAAATTTCCTCTCGAGGGACAATAAAAGCTCCGAACCGAACCAAACTGAGACATAAAAGTAAGGAAAACTGGTTCAAGCATCTATTCGGGTGATGGCTGTAGGAGATGAGAGATGCTCAGGTCCAACTGGGCTGATGATTTGTAAGAAAAGGAGCAGCATGACAAGATGCTCACAAGTGCAGACGAGCCATCTTCAGGCAAAGAAAGTCTTCAGCATCTTTAGATTCAACAACAGGTGTCAGTATAAGGACTGCACAATAATGGAATTTTGCAGACATCTGGTATGATGCTGGCTGACAGGCTTTTGCTGGAACTGGCTCTTCTTCGTTTTTTACTTTTCAAAAGCGCTTGGTGCTTCAAGATGATGGTTCTTGAGATGCAGATTCTCGAGTGGTTAGATCGCTCACTTTGAAGAAGTGTTGTTTTGCTTCTCTTCTTTGAAATCTCGGCTCCAAACTTACTTTGATTCCTTGGCTTATGAAAGTTGTATGGTCTCTAGGATTTGATATTGACTTTGTTTTGGATACAATTGGTTTCTCCTCCCATTACGTGAGTTTCTCAGGCATTGCAAAAAAGCTTTTTTTCTGTCTGTTTAAGGCTCTACAAAATTCCACCATACAGCTGATATGTCAAAGTTTTTGGGCGCACAGAACCTGTCACTGTGTGTTAAAGTCGTGTCACATTATTGGACAAGCATATCAGCATAGATTTTCATATCTGCTGATACTAATAATTAACTTTTTTAAACTTAAATCTGCAAAAACTGATGCTGATAACGCTGTGCATCTCTGGTCAGCACTTAAAACCAAAAAGCTAATCAGACTTTAGTCCCTTATTTGAGATTCTGCATGTAAATGTAGAATCTATTGGTATTAATAGTTTCCGGTTTTCTGTTTATAGTCAGAGCAAAAGTGAGAATTTCAACTGTTTCATATTCAACCTTTAAGATGCTTTTTATATCCTTGACATGTGTTCATAACCTCGATCGATTTAGATTCTCTATGCGTGGACGTACAACAGTCACAACTCTGGATACATTTCAAACATGAGGCAAAAATAGATTCTACATTTAGAGATGTGCTTTAGGTGACTATATATGTCCGGCTGGGGGCCAAAGTTAGATAATGAAGTAACTATCCATATAGTGAATCATATGCTTATGACCACACAGGGACATTCTCAATGACAATGTTCTTCTGTACGGCCATTTCATGTCTATTATAGGAGAAGTGACATGGTCATTTAAGAGCTGACGTCAACACCCATTCTTGGTCATCCTCATTTTTTTGTTACGCACTCCTTTGCATGTTTCCCCGTTTTTAAAAAATGACCCAACCATGATCTGGTCCTGATCATGAAAGAAGTTTCATTTCGTTTCCATCTCTTCTCATACTTTCAGTGAGAAGTTATACCAGCCAACATTTCTGCAGGTTTTGGCTGTATGCAAGAAACAGCTCTGGTAAAGAGTGAAAAAAGGGCAGAACACATCTACATAATGCAATCCCAGAACTCACGGGTGGTCATCTAATCTAGTCAATGTCCGCAGACAGACTTCTGCATGAAAGTACAGCCAAGAATTAGTTTTTCAAAGCAGTTTCTCAACACCTACTCAGCACCCCATTCATGCTTTTCAAGTAAAACACAGGAAAAAGCCTCATCTCGAAGTTAAAAGTCATTGATTTATGAGCGGCTGAGTTGCTTGCCTTGTTTGTGGAGAATCTGTAGTTTCCTAAATGTGTTTAACTGTGTTTGTTAGGGAGACATAATCTAGCATTTTGCATCTTTGACTACAAAGAAAATCAACAGTTCAAAGAGAAAATTAACAAGGGACAGACAGACAGAAGACACAGAATAGAAAAGCATCTGCAGAATCTTTATGCAGAGCTTCAACCAAGGGAGAGTCTTCTGGGTGAGAAAAGGAGAGTCAGGTTTAGGAAGCAGCAGAGAGCTGTGGAGCTCAGCGGCTGCTCATGTTGTGTATTATGAATGAGGCAGTTATAATGATAGCAGTGCAGCTCTGCACTGAGCCTGTTGCTGAGCTACAAGCCACCAGGGCTTAAGACTCGAGCCGGGGTGGGACTGATGTCGGTGGAAAGCAATGTCATGGTAATGTAACACACGGAAAAAACCTTTTCATCTGTGACTGCTTGCTGTGCAGTTATCACAGGCCTTCATTGTCGCAGCTGAAATGTGCTGTATGCAGCTTTCATTTTGGGGTGAGCATTAAGGATATTGCATGAGACAAGCAGAAATGTATGCAGTCTGTATGTATTCTGTAGAATTTGAGGCACATATATAACTCTCATCAGTCTTACGTTAGTTTTGGGAGAAAAGGTGAAATCTGCGAGTTTAAGCCTAAATTCATATCAGACTCTTCTTTAAGATTCAAAACAGAGTGTTGAGAAATGTGATGTGATCTCCTGCAGGCACTTTTCATTACATTTGAGCTAAATAAACCCCAAGTAATAAAGTCGAGCTTGATATTTGTATTTTTAATGGGCCCTCTTAAATTTCCTCCTTGATATTACTTTTCAGTCATCTGAGTCCAATATCTAATCCACCCCCTCTATCTGTCAGCTGCTCCTCTGACATTTCAGGCATACAACCCAAATTCTATTTAAAAAGGACTTCTATTCTCGAGGGAGATTACCTGCTGATAGTAGATGTAAGCCAGGACACCAGCCAGGATCTCCAACAGGAAGATGCACACCAGCAGGACAAAGTACTGTGGAAGAGGAGGAGAAAACAAGGTTAGCGGGCAGTAATGTGATGAAGCAACATGTGGCTCTTGGATCTGATGTTGGAGTATTTTCAGTCACGCGTAAAGCTCTGCCGGTAGGATAGGTTTAAATATTCCTCTTGCTATGAGTGGCTTTAAAATAAAGGAAACAGCTGAACACGAGAGGACTCAAAATCTAAGTCTAGTTCCTTGAAAAATTTCCAGAGAGTGTCTTTCTCCTGGTTTTCAGTTTGTAGTTTATTCATATTTAAGTAAAGGTAGACTCAAACCAGTCAATATGAATACTAAAAGTATTTCTGAAGTCATTTCTCAATATGCTCTCTCACTTTCAATCAACTCCTGGGGGAAATATCCGACTCTTCAGCTGCTGAACGTTCCTCTGTGTTCAGAAGCTCCTCTCAGGCTGTGTCTGTCTATTTACTGCTGTGTCAATGTGCAGAGGGTTTTTAGAGCTGAGAGCAGCTGCCAGCTGCCAAAAATGATGTTATGAGAGCGGTGAGAGTGATTTAAAACACCAAAACAGCTAAACAAGGGGCTGAAAGTCACTATAAAGCTCTGTGATGCCAAGGGGAACAACAAATTTATGTGATGAATCTCTTGAGTTCATCTCGGCGAGCCAAGCTTTTCATGCTGTTGTTTGATGTGATGCTGGCATTTAAAGAACAGCAACTATGAAATATCAGAGAAGCTTGATCAGCATACATTAACTTGAGGCCCTTTGATGGTTCGATAACTACAATTTAGAGGTCAATAGTGACTGAGAAAGTTTTTAATGATGAACAGATAACCCTTCACCTTTAAGAAGTTATAGTTTTCAAACAAACCCCTACATCTCTGTTTCTGTTCACACATGCAGCTCACTGAGGTCATTTGGGGAAATTTTCAGGAACTTTGAGCATGTCTGAGCACTGCCCTAGAAGGACTTTTTAACTCAGATTTTGAATGATCAAGACCAACTCAATGCAGGACTGATAAACTTTAAATAACAAAAGAATAACAAGCTAGGGGTGCAGATAGCTTCGTGGTTTAGGCGTGCACCATGTCTGCAGGCAGTGTGGGTTCAATGTCACCCTGTGGTGTCTTTCCTGCATGTCCCCACTCTGCTCCTTTTTTAGTCCAATCCACAGTCCTCCATCTAACAATTGAGTCCATGAAAACCCAAAAAGAAAATAAATAAAAGTATTTTAGGATAATTTTGAGATCTAATATTTTAACCTTGAAAGATGCAGCCCAACAAAACAAACCAAAGGAAAATTTAAGCGCTGATCAGATTGTGTTTCTTTTAAGGATTACAAATACTTGATTATGTTACTCTTTGACTTGATGCATGTATTCGCAAAGGATTCGGAAACAGGAAGAGTGCTGGGAGTGATAAGCAGGAAAAGGAGTGATTGGGCTGGAAATGAAGCTGTTTGAGGCATAACCTTCGTAGACCAAACCAGTACTGCCCACTGGTAGGTTGTTGTTTTTTTTTTTTACATGAAATTTATGCATCTCTTTTTTTTTCATTGAGTTAAACAACAACTTCATTCTAAGGCCTTATATTTATGATTCAATTAACTATTGAAATTATAGATGTGACAGGATGACTTTATACTTCACTTTGTAATTTGAATAACTATCAGGGCAAACAATATAAGGCAGGTTCATAAAATCTCCAACAGTGAGCAATAGCAGTGCAAACCACCATTTACATTCTTATATCCATAATAATACGGCTATTGTAGATATATAATAAACTTTTAATATTCATAACGATGCCCAACTTTTATTTAATATACTCAATAGCAAATAAACCACCAAGTCAAGCCAAAAAAGCACTACAGAGTCAGATTTATTACAGCATTATTATTATTGTTTGATTCCGTATATTAAACCGTCGTATTACTGGACTTTGTGAAGAATTGTTCATATACGACCTTGTCAGACCAAAGAAAACTGGGCCATAAGTCAAAGCTGAGTAATTTGAAGTAAAACTCCTTTATAAACTCCCTAATGGTTCATGAAGTATAATTCCTGTTTATATGATCATTTCTTCTGCTGTATTGAATTCCGAGGTGCAAAGCATTAGGTAATTGAACAAATACAGATCCCACACTCTCTGCCTTGAACAGAGGTTTCTCATCGCTGTCTGATTCGTGACTGGGCCTGTGGGGAACTGTCTGCTTTTTATGCCAACTTTCTTCAGAATTAAGGACAAGAGGAGATATTATCAGACAAAAAAAAAAAAAAAACCTTGACCCAAATTCCTCTGGCCAGCTGCTATCAGAGGGAGGAAATCAGCCGGTAAAGTGGACTCGGTCTTTGATTTGATAGCTTGCGCTGATTAGATCTCTGAGTGGCCCTGAGCCTGAATGTTGAACAGAGTCTGAGATGCATTTTGATGTGTTGACGTTCAAGAAGCAAGACAACAAAAGCAGATACAGAATATAAAAGAATCAGATTAAACATCAAATATTTAAGAGCCAACAAGGTGTTTTGGACTGATTCAACAGGAATGCAGTTCATATTTATATTTTTTTCAGAATCTACCAGCTTGTAAAGTTATATGATGCTTCGTTTTTTCCTCTTTGTAAAGTTAATAAAGTTGTGTGCATGGTCTAGAAATTGCTGTTTCTGTTGGAGTGAGAACAAAAAATGTAGTTTGTGGGATGTAAACTCAAAAGAAATATACTGAACGGAGAGGACAGAACAGAATAAAAATAAGTATTGTTAGAATTCCTTTCAATGCAGTCTTAAAAATGTGCTTGGTTAATATATGGAGTATGCTGCACACAAAAACCCCTTGCAAGATGTCTGGAGAAAACTAAAACTGAGACAGTAGCGTGCATGTTTTTCTGACCTGTCTGCACTTTCTCTTTAACAAACCTAGAAGGCATGTGTCCCAGACTGATTCCACACGGACAATGATGTGTACAGGGTGTGACAGAGAACCTGGCGTCGGCCGCAGAGACCAGAGAGGCTGAGTTACAGACTGCAGCGACTCCAGAGGACTCCTGATGATCTCATGCACACTCTCTCTCTCTCTCTGTCAGACTGCCTCATTTTATGCTGCCAGCCTTTCCCTAGGCCATTTGAGGGCACAGTGTAATTACTGCAAATATGACTCTCAGCGGGTTCGTATGTTTAACGCCTTTTCAAAAGCCCTGGATTGGCTTCAGACTCAACAGTGTTGCCGTGCGTAGGCTTCCTGGCTCTACTACAAAATATCTGACATCTCTGGGTACACTCGGACTCATCTTGCTGAGGTTGTTAGAAAATATTTGAACAGTTTCCCTGACCTTTGGTACCCCCACGTTAGCAGTAGCTGTAGTCCTCCAGAGTTTCACAAACTTCTCTCCTCTTTCATGCGCTTCCAGCAACATCCAGTGGCCGTACAGGAGCAACACATAACCGCAGTGAGGATGCAAACATTTGTATGCAGCTCTGTGTCTGACTGTGCGTCTTTTTTTCTGACTTCATTGGAAGAGTACAGACGCCTTTACAATTACTGAGTGCGCAGGAGTTCAGAGTCACGCTGAAGGTGACTTTAATCAGACTGATAAGGATCAGACACGTGTCTGTTTTTAAAAGGAGATGTCCTGTGACCTTTAAGCAACAATGTCGACTCTCAGGCCTCACACTTAACCAATCAATGGAACATTTAACGAACTCCAGCAGCATCGAATTCAACCAAAAATCAAGAATTTCTGTCAGTTGCATCATTATTGACATTCGATGCTCGGCAGGGATGAAAGTTTACCTCTAATGTAGTTGAAAATCAATAAAAAGATGGGATGAATCGCACTGATGAGATGAAAAATGACTTGTGATAACCTTTTAATACAGCAGAGGGCGATTTTTGTTCTCTGCTCTTAAGCTTCTTGTGTCTGAGGCTGGAAAAAGGCTGAGATATAGCGATGGCAGAGGCTCTGAAGCGTTAAAAAGTTTTGAAGATGGACTTTTATCACCTCAAGGGGACATAAAATAATCCCAACTGACAGTTTCATGATGTGTTTCTTCTCAGAGGCTTGCACATAAACTGGGTGACTTCGGTCCTTATGAAAACTTTTGAAAAAATCAGTTTGCAAACCCAACATCATGAGTATGATCTTGAGATGATGTTTGTCCTAGTGTTGCATTTTACATCTCTCTTTTTATCTCTCTGTTCCCCACAGGACAACAATGGATAAAAATCTGATTTCCATTTAAAACAGAAAAATGATAAAATGGTCGACAAATATGACTTGACAGGCTGCCCAGGTTTTGAAGTAAATTCTACTTCAATCTGCTCTTTAGTACGATTTATATTTGGCATTCTAGTGGTAGTAAAAATGAGGACATAAGTATCTATTGTGGGCTCTTATACTTTGCATGTGGTCTAAAAACCTACACATCAAAGTTAAACGCTCAGCACATCAATCACTTGACCAATATCAGCCAAAACTAAATAAATAACCCAATCAGAAAGATTGATCTTAGGACAGAAGTTAGCAAAGGTAGTCAGGGTTCATTTTCTGAACAATCTGAATTTCAAAAATTAAAAGTTCTGATTGTGGACCAAGTGTTTGGAGATTTTTACCAAGTTCAAAATGCTTTATTTTTTAGCACAATATGGACAAGATGCCACTCCATAAACTGTCTTTTGTGGATGCACAACATCAAGTCAATTTAGCCTTTTCCCAGGCCGGCACACACAGACGCCAAATCACACACTCACATCGATACACACACAGTGCTCCAATAAGATCTCCATCTTTGGCAATCCTCTCTGTCCCTCCTCTCTCCTGACAAGTTCATTCCTTCTCTGTGATTCATGGTTGTGATCTCAGCTCCTCAAGATGCACCGTGCATCCAACAAACACAAACAAAAGCAGAAGGTGTGCACCGATTACAAGCCGAGCATGACCACCTATTTGTGGCTTATCAAGCTTATCAAGACCACCCCTCTGAGAAAATACAAATGTTTGTCATGCACATAAGTTAAAAAATATCCCCAGCCTGGATATACTGTTGTATTTAAGTGTCAATTGAAGTGAATTTAAAATTGTTTTTTGTCCCTTCGTAGCACAATACTCTGGACTCTTTTGGTCTAGCTCCTCTGGCCTTGTTGAAGCCGTAAAAGACTCTCTTTAGAGGCTTTGCTGTGCAGCTGAATAAATGCTTGCCCTTCATGAGTGATGATCATTATAACTAAGTCATGAAGGACTCAATCAGGTTGCAGGTCAGGCGTGCTGTGAGCAGAGCAGCAAGACAAAAATGAACCTCAGAGCAGAGGCTTCTTACATTTGCTCCCTCTTGCAGCTCTGCCAGCTCAGGTTTACAATCTCTCAGACAGAAACAGAATTGTAAAGAAAGTCAAATCAAGTGGAAGAGAAGGGGAGTAAATAGAGATATTTGCTCTGGTTGAGGATTTGAAACTAGAACTTAAACAATAATAAAGAAAACAGTTAAGTGCATTGACACATAGTTTTATTTCTGACATTGACTCCCTTTATTAAAACACAAGAATGTTCCACATCTATAAGTTACAATGCAATAGGATGACTGAAAAGTTATTTACTGCAATTCTTGTCACGCTTTTAAACCCTACTTTCAATATTTCATTTTAGGGAATGTGACCATAATAATTTAGATAAAATGAAGATCGAGACATTAACGACAGCTTCAAAAGGTGGACAAGTTTACGAACATCCAGTCTGACTGTTCTGATAAAAGCGAAACCTGTCAATCCTTTTTTGATGCAAGTGGATCTCGTGTTTGGGTGCTATTTCAAAACTCAATAGGAAAATAGTTAAAATACATATTTGTTTCAATTGTTCAGTAGTCTGAAAATGCAAAACTCTAAAAATTTGGTCCTGTCCCTTTATGCCAATAATTTTATTGGCTTTTTTAAATTTTATGCTTTTATTCAGAGGAAAGGAGAGAAGACAGAGCAGCAAACAGGTAAGAGAAAGACAGTAAAGACACAGGATCATGACTGACCTGGGGATTGGTGGAAATAATATGCTTGTAATAAAAGACAGAAAGAAGAAAAAAAAAAGGTTAAACAGAGGGAGTGAGTAATATTTATCCACACTCATTCCTTGCATGAGGTCAGTATCTCCACAGGTGGATCCAGCCTATCCTTGCACAGCTTTTTATGAGGGAAAAGTGCTTCCCCCTCCTCTGTTAGTCATTACACTGTCCTGTCACCTCTCTCCAACAAAACAATAAGTGTGCGTGTTTGCACTCAGACACACCCTCTTCTCATGGGAGAGTTATCCTCCTCTCTTTGTGTCCCATTGACCCCTCTCATTCTTGGTGCAGTAAAAACATCATTAAAAGCCTTACAGAGAGACTGATTCGGCTTTCTCTTTAATCAACTGCTGCTTGGTCGTCTAGGACCAACAGCTGCAGATTATCTGTGTGTTTCTGTGGCTGGATCAGCCGTTTTGTGGTAAAAACTTTTGACCTTTTTGCTTACAGGACAGCGCAGACAATCGCAGCTGCCCTCATGTACTCTGAGCAGGTACCAGGCGCTCAGCACATACAGGGAAAACAATTACTCCCCCGCTCACACACACACAATCCTGCCACCTGGCCCTTATGTTTGCCCTCTTAAGCAATCTCGATAGCATCTCTCCTTGCCGACAAGTTCATTTCTTCACCGTGATTCATCGCCCTAATCTCCACTCTTCAGGATGTGCAGAGCGTTTCTAACCTGTACGGCACACAGAAGAAGAGGCGGTGTACACATCTCTGTGGTCCACAAGAGCCTGAGCTATAAATCAAATAATCTGGACATAAAAGGGACTTCATATAATGTGTGCAGTTCTATAGACTTTAAAGTTGTGTTTTTGTGCTTGCAGAAACTCTGGCAGTACTGAGAATCCACAGTATACAACCATGGCTGAGTGTTTCCTATCTACCTGGAGACAGCTGTGGCTTAGGAGATACAGCAGGACAAACACGAATTTAAAGATTCACAATACCTAACCCCCAAATTCTCCATGAAGATGTGAGTGGACGTGTTAAAAAGCACAGAGAAGATCCTAGGGAACAGGCTGACAACCCTTGACAAAGCCTCAACCAAAAGTTGGCTTTTAAATCTATCTTGTCGATTAAATTTGTGGTTTGGGGTGGTTTTTAAAATCCAAAATGTAGATTTTCTCTTAAGCTTCTTGTACTGAACCTCTTGGACTCAAATAGCTTAAAAGTCGGTTAAATAGCCTCTTTATGTTTTCAGAAAGACAATTTAGAACAACACAATCTGCTTTTTTAATATTACAGGCGATAAAAAACAGTGAGCATTCTGTTTGGATCTCTCTCTGCAGAGAGGAGGGCTGTATATAAATACACTTGTTAGGGAACAAGTGTTATAATTTGGCATCTGCTGACAATATTGACTTGTGCCAAAATCTCCTGGACTCTTCTCGGTTTAAAAAGCAGATAATGCCAAAGATTGGTGCCTGTTCAAAGTGCCAAAGTTTTTACAACACAAACATCTGACACCCAAAATAGTGTGTGTGCATAAATCTCTCCTGTTGTAATGTGCTGAAGATGAGGGTCAGAACAGTGTGGGAATAGCAAAGTGTTGCTGTGTGTTTGTATTGCAAGCGGATTTGAGAGCCACGCAGGTATTTGTTGGCATTACTCAGAGCCAGGTACAGTGTGTGCCAAAATAAATCAGGGCTCACAAGCTCCCACTGAATGAAGATTTGTTTTGTCTGAGTTGAATGCAATTGAGGGCAACACCTTGGCCACGGTGGACTCTGAGTTTGGGAGTGTGACACTGAAATGCTCTTTATTAAAACTACTGCCTTGGGAAGTTGTATACAGCATCCCCGATTAACCTCAACTTCTCCAAGAGGACAACAGCGTCTGCAATTCACACTAAACTTAAGGCTGCTGTTCACATGTTGTTTGGTCTGAATAGACAGTCAGTCAGATTTTGTTTTAGTTTTAGTTTTTATTTGGCCTTGAAAGAATTGTGTTTTTGACCCAACTCTGGTTCAGGGTCCTTCTTTTGTCATCCTCATTTGTTATTTTGATCAGCATTCATCAGACCCTTTCAGCAATCTCATTATGTTTGGTACAAGACTTCTACACCTTTTTGATTTGAAAGATATTTTGTTATTTTAATACGTCTAACCACAGCAGTGGGGTCAATCTCAGGTGAAGTAAATGACGGTGCACAGCCAAAAAAGCCTATTTTCATTTCTCTTGTTGATGATTTGTAAGAATAACTTTGTTTTATCCCTGAAGGGAAATTCAATAGGAGATTGTAGGAGATAATTTGTCAGAAAACACAACTTAGTTCACAGGACAAGATAAGGAAATAAAAACAAATGCAGTGCTGTGTAAACAGGGGGCAACAAGATCAATGCAAAACAAAAAAACTGCACATGGGCTGCTCAAACTTTGAGGTCAATTTTGTTAGCTGACTTGGCAGCCTGGGTAAATCAGCCTTTCCAATTTATTGCAAGGGTTTAATTTTTCACAACTTTGTTTGACAAATCCAAAGAATAAAAGCTGCCCCCTATTTTTTGTATTAGTAGTATGGCTGAAGTAGGTGTACGTTTGTAATCTATCCTTATAATTACTTGCAATGCTTTTAAAAGTATCTTCAGGAGGGGATGTGAACATATTTGACTGTTTATGAAAATAAAGAGTGTAGATAAAAGAAAAAAAGTGAACAGATTATTTTTAAGATATGTAAAAAGTTACTTTGGCTTGTTTTCGTGCTCCGCAGCACGAATGATTTCTGTCTAACACACCCAAGTGTTATCACTGCTGTGTTGTGTGCAGCCTCTGAGCTCTCTCTTACCACTTTCAGAAGTATCCTCCTCTCCTTGAAGGTGGCAAAGCAGCCCAACACGCCTGTTAATATGACAACGCCTCCAGCCACAACCAGTATGTAGGCGGAGGCAGCGTAGGTCGAAGAGGAAAGAAGGCTGATGTAGTCGCTCTTCTCCACCAAGGTCCAAACACCCACTGCCATCACAGCACTCCCTGCCACCTGAGGAGGGAAAGGGAACATGAAAGGAAATCAGATCGCTGCAAGTGACCGACTCTGGTCCTGCAAACACACACCCGTACACATATGTGCAACACTGGGGAGACAAAACTGAGTGTGCTGGAGAGGTTTAAATTATTCATCCCCTGAGTCTCCTTCAAAGTGATGAAAGAGGCCCCTGAGATTAATGCCCAACAATGGAAGAGAGTGAACTGATTAAAAAAGACCCCCCCACTGTCAGAGAGGATAATCTAATCTTGAATCAGATTATGCTCCAGGATAATTGTGAATGAGCTGACTGAGCTGGGCGGGTCAGAAATCCAAGGATGTCAATGCCATTTAGACCTGTGTGATAAAAAAGTGTAATCTTAGCTAGGGCTGGACTCATCAGTTCAGTCAGGTGATTTTTTTTAAAAGCAGAACTTCAGTCAGCAACTATTTTGATCATCTTAAATCCCTGGATCCAGACTGTCAGTCAGGGCTAAGACTTACTGCTGTTGACATTGATGCTGTTTACTAAACCTTTGGTAATGCATGACAAAGTTGAGGGAGAATCTCCAACACTAAGAAGTCCCAGGCTCTGGTTTGTGTTTACTCACAAAGCCCTGGATGACATAATCCTGCGTGCAAACATGTGCTGAGTTTGCAGCATTTTTAGAACTTAACTCAATTTGACACCACGATTGCAGAGGTTTCATACTCCAAGAATGTGACTGTTGAGTCGGTTTCAGCCCTGTTAATGTTAGGAGACCAGCTCAATGTGTGTTCAAGTGGGATTGGCTCCTTACCAGGGGCCAATGAGGGACCAACACCCACTGTGGTACAGATGTTGTTCTGTGTGCTTTTGTTGTTAAAGGAAATGAACAAAAATACAGATTTTTTTTTTCTAATGTTACTTTTTCTTTGCTGAAGACAACTTTGTGCAAGATACAAAGTGCTGGTCCAATATTAAATGTAAACAGCCGATCTTGATGCCGATTTTTACAGAGCAGGTCAGCCACCCGACAATATCTAATGCTGATGTCACATTATTGTTGTGCTTTTTTTGCATTTTGAAAAAATGTACCATTGTAATAATTAGGGGTGTCCTGATACAACTTTTTGATACAAACTTTAAGATACAACACCAATATTGTAGCCTTTAATATTGACCGATACCGATATTAATCCAATACTGGCACCATTTTGTGCATGACAAGATTTTCATACAATGTTGCAATGTCTTTTTCGGACTTAAACAAAAAACTCTGCCACAAGGCCGACATCACTCTTCCTCCTTGCTACTTTGTTTGTACCTTAGTACACACTGTTGTTGTGATTTTGTGGGCTCAGCTTGCTGGATCAGGGTGCTGCAAGACAGAAAGGCCGGAGCAGAGTCTGGAATGGACTGCTTGTATCGGAGTGCTGATATCAGAGATTTTAGTTGCAGGCAGATATAATCTGATATTCATTTTTTGCTGATATCGCACTGATATCAGTATCGTGTCAGAACACCCCCAGTAATAATAATAATAAAAGCCATTCTTTCATGTACCTAAGCATCTAATGTCCACGGTTATCTTAGCCAGAAATGTGTCAATATGGATCTATCCAAGAAATTTAAAAAAAATACATTTGGCAATGCTATAGATGTTGAAACATTACATATTTATCCCAGAGGCAATATTAAACTACATTATTTTATTAATCATGACAGAATACAGTTGTCAGGAGCTGATAGATTTGATCTGCTGTCATTTAATGTGTAGTCGTGTAACGGGATGAGGATGGAGCTTGACTGCAACTACAGTGATGAAGCTGCTTGCAGCATCTGAAGACAAGATACAGTATATACTCTTTTTTTAATCAGCCCAGTATCGGCTGATACCCATCATTTGAAAACACCATTAATTCGCCCAATCTATTGGCAGTAAAACTTTGTAAAGTCTTATTTGTTTGTATCAGTTAACTTACAAAGGTGTCCTGACTTACCAGTCAAATGCAAATGTCATGATGTGTCAGAATATGTCGCGGCTTTGCTCCTTTACCAAGCATGACATAGACACTTACACATGAAAATGCCTAACAGTGACTCAGCATTGTTGGTGGCTTCAGTGTAAGGGTGAGGCTATTTCAGCTAAAGCCTCCCCATAGTGCCTTACCATCCTCTTCAGTGTTTGTACTGAGCTAAGGCAGTACAAGTTTACTTTAAGGGCCAGGAAGCTCCCCGAGAGATCGTACCAGCTCAACCCGACTGCTGTAAGCAGGTACGATCATTCACCTTTATCTACAGTGTACACCGTTAACATAATTTAAGTTATTCAGCTTTATTGCTTTCAAGTCTGAGGAGTACTAAGGCACTAAGAGAACCATGAAGTCATCTGAAGTGACTTATAGTAATAACAAACCAACATAAAAGTCAATGCTTCGATTCCCCATTAAACTGTCCAAGTCCAACATTTTGTGCCACATCTAAGCTCACAGAGTATGTGGGAAATAAGAATGAATAAGATCACAATGGCAAGTAGCAGATGGTGCAGGGATGCAACATGAATCTGTCATCATCCAAAAGCCATCAATCTCACAGCGGTCCTAATTTAGATCTAATTTCTAAGAGAGGAGATGATGGCTGCAGGAGCTCGACACTGAGTTAGACTGAACCACACCCACAGACAGAGACGGGAAAGTATACACAGAAGAAACAAGGCTGAGCAAAAGACTTGAGTCGACCATCTCTGCTCAGTACTTCTCATTTAAAGAGTGTTTAAGCACTCAAGGGTAGCTACAGCTAGTTAAGCAGCAATACTGTTCATGTTTGTGTGCTTCTAATCTTCTCTCTTTTAGTTCATGGAGAAGTTCGGCAAACTGAAAATACAGCTCTGCACACATGAATATTGATGTTGGAAGCCCGCAGATCTCTTTAGAAAGCTCAGTGATTCTCAGTATTTTGGCTCATGAGCACTTAAAGCCCCAACCTTCTGTCACAAGCCGCATTTTAGATTTAACAGCAGAATAAAAGATTGGTTTCCACAGAAGTCCCTGGTATCAAATTAACATTTCAAGACTGATTTAAGGGGCACGATCAATCACTTTACCCACCACATCATAAAAGTGAACACACCAATGAGGGTTTTTTCAAGCTGCTTTTTGTTTTGTTGCTCATAAAGCATTCATCAAATGTCCAAAAATGTTCTTATTAACCACAGAAAAGCCTCAGTCCAGACAACCACAGTATTAAGTGACAGAACAGGGCTCAGCCTTTGGAATAATCGCTCAATGTGAGACTGAGCTGCAGCTTTATCTGCTGCTGAAACTCAATGAGGCACAGGAATTAATGAATATTTTCCAAGTGTGACTGGAAGTTGCACAAGGGAAATACACACTTTGGTGACCTCCAGTGGCAGCAAGAGGGACAAACTAGAACCAGTGGAAGTTAATAACAGGTTTATATGAGAGCACTGGTTCTTTGATAAGACCAGCATATATGTGCAGGTTTTCTGTTTGCTGGATGACACTAATTATACTCCCAGCACATTAGTGTAATCGCACATATATTTCTAATTTTGTTGCCTTTGGTGTTAGTTAAGTCTGTCACTTGTGCCACAGTTACATCCTTCATTCTGCTGCAGCATGCTTTGTTCAAATGGCCAAACCTTGCTCTGTTCACTCAGAGTTTGTTAGTATTTGAGGTCTGTGGCCAATCCAAGTGTATTTACTTTTTCAAGACAGGTTTCCTGCAACAAAAATGGTTCACAGCATGTCAGATTATTTAAACACTTGGTCTATTCCAAATCAGATTTTCCTTGGACTGTTGTAATAATTTTAAAACTTATACTGCTAAAGAAGAGAAACCTGTCATGGCTCAAACTTTTTCTGGTATGGTAATCACTGGGTGAATTTTGTATATACATATAGATAAATACACCAATTTATACTTCAGGGTAAGTGGCTCAATATTAAAATTGGTTTAGTACACTGCATTTCTAGTATGTGTTCAAAGGCACAGCCACAATAAAGCTTATTCTGTTGATAGTATTACTCAATAAAGAACCCCAGGTTTATTCAGAAAAATAGGTTCCTGTTGCAGCTTATTACATCAGCGAAAATTCATCTCATCCTTCGAAAGCACCTGCTCCTCACTAGAATACTGCTTGTTCTTGCATCATACAGAAATGACATCCATAGTATGAGACAGGGCTGCGACCATATGTTGGGTAACTAGACAGCTGCCAGTCAGCAACATTTAATGATGCCACGCTGTGTTTGTTTTTCTAGTCCAAAAGTCAACCTTGAAAAACTTTCATGGAAGCCTTTCACACAGCTTCAGTATATTTGTAGACTATTTTATTCGTACTCATTTGGTCTTAAAATACCCATATGTCTGTGACTCTGGCGTCTGGTGCTGAAATCGCTCTGAGCTGTTTGTCAATCAGAGAGATCTGATTCTTTGGCACACTGTTGATGATCACATATGGGCAGAGCTTTAAGAGTGATTTCACACTGAGAATGAGTCTGAAACACACCCTTCCTCTGCAGAAAGCGAGGCCACTGCTGTGAAATTTCAACTCTTATTTTGCACCACAGAGTGAAATTATGAGAGCAGTTTTTTTTTGTTGTGCTATCATCCTGGAACGCCACATTCTTGACACAGGAAGTTTTTTTTTGTAGAAAAAGCTGTGAATGCATCTTCTGTATCCTCTGTGAAAAGTATGCAGCTTTGCTATGAGTCTGTGTGGCATTTCACTTTAGCAGAATGAAGAGGCTTTGTTGAAGAGTTCAGAAGAAGTTTTATCAGTTAGTTTTTCCAATCAGGCGGATTAACACATAATATTCCTGTCCACAAAAGCACACGAGTATTCCTGTCCTTTTGGGTGTCAAGAGAGGGTTGGGTGTTTCCTGAATAGTTTTCAGTTTAATCATTTACCCTTATATTGAGCTGGTCTACTGTTTGATACATGACTGGCCTCTGTGATGGTGCCCAGAACTTCATTTATTATATCAAAGTCTGTTTAATTGAGTTTTCTAAATACTGTGTTTAAACTGAGGTAATACTTAAATAACTATAAGGACTTTCATGCTGTGGAAAAACGTATTTCTCAGAAAACGTATAGTACTTGTTTTTGAATAAAAGTATACTTTTCATTCTATTTTGATTTATGAAATACAGTGGTAAGTGAAATTCCATCTGACTCTAAAAGAGTTGATGTTATTAGTTTGGTTCAATATCTAAGCTGCCTGTTCTGATCAAATATGACTAACAGTGCAGTTGAGAGAAAGTGTCATTACAAATGTACTGTAATGAAGTCAAATGAAAGAACATTTTTGTCAAATATCTTGCCAAATTATGATTACAACTTCATTTGGGAATAAAACTCAAAGCATTTGCAATCAAAACACTTTCACTAAGTGTCAGTTCAAAACAACAGCAACTGTGAAGAAGAGTTAGGGATAAACCAAGTCTGGATCAAACTGTGTTATAGCCAACCATGTAGAACTGGGGAATAATTTGCAGTTCTTTTTCACTTTACTCTCCCAAATATAATAAACTTGACAGTCATTGATTTGAGAAAAAAAAATTCTCCAAACATCTGAGTAAAATATGACAAATAGAAATGATGTTCTATCAAATGGAAGCGAGTGTGAAGAAAGTTACTTCTCCAAATCATTAGTTTTAAGACACACTTGGATTTTAAGGAAAATTCTGCCTGAAGCATGCAGGTTATTGAGAAGTGCTTAAGACCAACACAAACACTCCTGCAATTAAATCCTTTGTGCAGGTTTGACTTAAACTTACCCAGAAGAGAGTGTTGAACGCTAAGAGGAGAAACTTCAAGCAGATGGTCCCACACTTTTCACTTTTCTCCCCTTGGGCCCCCATGCTGAAAGAGACAATCAGATTTGACATGATCAAACACATGGAGTTGTGTTTCGCGTCTAATTTCACAATCACCTTTGCTTGTCGGCACCAGAATTACAAGTCCATTTAATATGTATTTCATTATCATTGGCCCAAAATGCCAGTGATGTGCAGAGCCTATGTTGTATGACACCCACCCACTATAAAATTAATTAACCACCATCGCCTATGATGCACTACGTAGGCACAAATGGCAGATGGCATCTCATAGCGAAGCACAGTTTGGCAGTATTTGATCTAGAAAATGGAGATCAATTTGTACAATCACTCAACTGACATTTAAGAGTATGAGCTAAGAATGAGACAAATGTAAAGAAACAAAGTTTTGACATTCAGAGTTACACACAAATCGCAGATTTCAAAGACAAAACAACCAATTAAGTTGCTGTTGGGAACTTTTGGTTTGTTTTGGTTCTGGCGCCCCCTGTGGACAAAGTGATAGAGTGTAACATTTCACACTTTGAAAAATCTCCAAAAGGCTGGCAATAAAAATGAATCCAGAAAAATGATCAGTCCTGTTACTGATGGTCGTAGTTACATTTGAAAATTCTACAGATGCATGAGTTTTAGTTTCAGCATGTTTCTTAACCTGTTGAAAACTCATTATAGTGACTTAAAATATTCAGTCCTACTTTTTGCAATTCAGCATTTCTGCATGTCCAAAACAATCAGTTTCACAGTTTCAGACAGCAGGTCATGTTAACCTACTTTTCGTCAATATATCATCCTAACATGGTTTGAAAATATGACAAAATGGCATCTGAAATTTCTCACAACAAATTTAATATCTTTCTTTTGCTTTGTTTGCTTGTCCAGAAACAAATTCCTCTTTTTCTCTGTCTTGTATGATAAAAAGAGCTGATAGCTCTTGTGTGAGTAGAGGCAGTTGGCGATGCTGCCTAAACAAAACTGAAAGGAGGTAGATAAAAGCAGGACTTGATTTACTAATTGTTGAGTTGCTTAATGAAATTATTCCCCAGTGATTACGAGGTCTTATAAAACAACTCGAACAAGAACACGCTGAGGAGGTACAATGCAGGCTGGTGGTTGGCACTGAGGCTGTAAAATTGGGGCTTGAAATGAAAGCAAGTCTTCCTTTTATTGTGAGGTGCTTTTAGCAAATGAGATGCTACGGGGCTAATGCAGAACATGGGGGAGTAAAACATCAGATCAGCAGCGTGGGCAGAATCAGCGAGCTGAGTTATTACATGTGTATGCCGAGAGATCCATGACTAAGCACTGAGTAGGAGCTGAGAGTCTGCCAAAGGCTGGAAATTATACCCACCCGCTTCCCTGAAATCTTGAACCACCAGCATCCAACGCTTTTATCAGCAAAAATTCTCTTTGTTAGCTGCAAATTAAATTTTTTTTAGCCTGGTATGGTTTATAAATCAGCTTAAGAAAGACAGTTTGCTTAAAATCTTGTACATACTTGGAGTTTTCTACAACAGATTGAAGCTTATCTTATCAACTTGTGTTCAAACTGCAGCAACACTGACAATCCTTGAAGCACAACAAAACAACTCCGAAGAGCAAAGTTTTCAAGTCTTACAAAGTCACATTTGCCTCACATCCTCCTTTTCTCTTTACCCCACAATTTTCCAGGTTTAGTTACCACTCAGGTCTAGACTCGCCCTCAGCTGCCTGTCTCCTCCACTCCTCCAGACTCTCCCATCAGCTCCCCCTCCCCCACAGCCAGACACCACTGTCAGCTCAGATATGAGCACTGAATGAATGAGTGAGAAGAGAGACCCAGTCTGTTTAAGCTTCTGTCTGTCCACCATCTGGCTCTCTTAGCGCGATCTTGTTAATTAAATTCAAATAACCTCGTCGTATTTGACTTTGCCGAGCAGGATGAAAAAAGACCCCAGCTGAGTCAAGAAAGTCCATTTTTACCAGATTTCCTGTAAAAAAAGAACGAATTAAACTCTATAAAAAGGAGCTGTCTTTTTTTATAGGTCGAGAATTTCATTCCCTGTATAACTACAAATCAAGTCAGCATCAGGATTTTATACTTTTACTCAAGGGCACATTATACAACACAAACAGAACATACTGCCTGTTTTGAACACTCACTATAAATGGCATCCAGTAATGACTGGACTAATCTGGGAGAATACAGAAAGGAGATGTTTGAAACAGGTCCAGAGAATATCACCTGCATTAGCTCACAGGTCTATATCTACATAAGTGTGATAGACATTGTTACGGAGTGGTGTTTTTAGGCCTGTTTTAGAAGAAAAATCTAGCATAGATTTTAGTAAAACTTTAATCTTTATCAAGTTTGAAGCCTTATTTTTTAAATTAAATAGAATGAAGAGAGACTAGTAAGTTTGATGAAGTTTAAATTTAAGAAAATATGCCAAGGCTTTGCATCTTTATCTCACTGTCTCTAAAACTGCTGTTACAAAATGCTCTCAGACTTGTGTATCTAAATCGGAAATATAAAATATAATTATAAAATGTATCTAAAGGGAAAATTTAAAGATTCAAACCCCCTTTCAGTGTAAAAATCCCTCAATTGTACGATAAAATAAATGATTTAACAATAGTGATGATTAAAAAAGACATCCATTCTTCTGACTCTTGTCAGAGAAACATACTGATAATATCTTGAACTGTATCTTTTTCAGGGGTACTGCTTTTATTTACAGTTAAAGGATCATTTGCTTTTTCTTTAATCAACTTTAACTCTATAATGAATGTTTTGGGGTTGTGGGTTGAAGCTTTGTTCTTGACCTCTGTTAAAGAAAATACAGCATGCAACCATCCTCTTACATACTACATATCCAAATGGGCACAGATAGATTACACATCAATTTCGTTTAAATCCAACATCTGAGATTTAAACTTCACTGACCACTTCAGATTGCAAACAGAGTCTGTAGCTCACGATGTTATTTGGAACTGATGGTAAAAGCAAGCAGCTGAGATCAGACACAACTCTGAAAACTTAATTTGAATTGAAGTCTGGAGTTTACAACTCCACTGGAAATCCAATGAGGTAAAAGCATGAAATGCAGAATCAATGAAACTTGGACATTTTAAACACATCAATCAATAAGTTTAAGGGGGGCCAGTTGGCTTTGCAGTTTAGTGCACACCACCTGTGCTAAGACTTTAGTCCTTGTTGCCAAAGCCACAGAATCCACACTAACCACAACCCTCTGCTGCATCTCATGCCCCACTCTCTACCTTGCTTGTTTCCTGTCTATCTTGAGCTGTTCCTATAAAATTAAAGCAAAAACACCTGAGCAACATGACAGAACAAAATACTTGAACAAAATGTCAGATTTAATGTTTTCTGTTCATTTATCTCAAGAGAATAGTTTTGATAACCCACATCTTGATCCATCTTCCCCCGAATAAGTTGGCTGGTGCATATGAACCTAGTGAAAACATCTATTCACTGCACTAAACATCCTGCACTATGTATACTGTATATGCTAGCTGTGTTTATCAGTCCTGTAGTTAACCAAAGCTAAACTATTTTTACACTACCTCAGCTACTTTAACCCCATTTGCACTGTTCCCTAACTTTTATCAACTGTACTTTAAGCAACTTTAGGTTTCTCCCTCTTTGTGTGACAATATTTTGGTTTTTCTGATGTTCAAACTTGGTAGAAACTTTTTTCTTCATGTTATGCTAGCCCATCTCTGCTTTTCAGAACTGCTTTGAACACATTTGTAAACATTTACTAACAAAAAGTTAGTATAACTAAGAGGCGAGGATGCCATCTAAGGTGGTTACATATAAACTTCTAAATTCAGGTGAGTCACTTAAGAGTAATGTTGACTGAGACCTCACCTACATGACAGGAAAAAACAGCAATGGTAATGAAACACCATTTTTATTCGACTGGTTATAAAGCTAAAACTAAGATACTACTCAAGGTAAGAATGCTGTTTGGTTAAGACTGAAACTTCACCATCAAGGTATTGAAGCAGCTTCCCCAATTCTATCAGATATGACTAAAAACCACTCAAAGGTGACGTCTACTTCTGCTTTTTGAAGAGCTGAACTTATAATAATGATTGACCAAACAGTTAACTTGTAGTAGAGTAGCCTAACGGATAATTTGGTGTATTTACTTGATGTTTTTCAACAAACGTCGCTGCCGCTGGTATAAGCTAACGGTGAGTACCCAGGCGAACTGACGCGGTAAAAAGTTCGCCCTAACTGATTATGTATTACAAGCGGCCGATTCGCCGCTCGATGCGTACTGGGACACCTAGCAACGCGAACTCTACCGGGGGGGGCACTTTTTAAAACTCAGTTTTCTACCTCCTTAAGTCATCGCCCCAATACAAGAAAACATAGATACACTACTAGTAGGTAAAACTCTTCTGTGGTGAGGTGTTTGATCCGGAGACTCGTTGTACAAGGCAACAAGTTAAACCTGGACGGACACGAGTCCAGGCGAACTGGTCGTATTGTGAAGTTGTACCATTTGTGACCATCCTGTGCGTGCCTCAGCCGAAACAACGCGGTAGAAACATCTAGATAACACAAAGTCTCTTTTCTTTTCAAGACAACAATAACCTTTAAGTAGCCTTTGTTCAAACGGAGAGCCATGAAGTGTTCGGTTGTATTGAAAAAGACCATAATGCTACCTTGTCTGGTGGGTAACGAGAATCCGCAGTGTGAGCTAACACAGTTGAGTCAGAGAAACCACTTCCTACATGCACTTACCTGCCTTTTCTTTGATTTTCTGGTGGTTTAAAAGCTTTAAAATAGGTGTAAAATAGTCCTAAATGGTGTCTGTTTTCATTCGTTCTTTTTGGATCAAGGCCTCTTCGACAGCCAAGCAGTGCTGGAGGCTACAGAAATCAAAATGAGCTAAGGAGGAGGCTGGAGCTTCTGCTGCGGCTGAGGCTGACTCCACCCCGGCGGACTACCTTGCATGCTTCCTGGCTTCTTTTTTACTGTCCCGGGGCAACGCTAAGGGGATGAAGCTGGGGGAGAAGGGGAAAGGGCAGAAGTAAAGGTAAGTAAGCGTGTTCTGGTAAGTTTGTATTTTGATACACCCAAGCTGCCACGCAGATTCAAATTAAGAATAAAAATGAGTGAGATATAATGCAGTGCTCGACTGTATTTACATAAATTATAAATATGGAAAGTGGCATGTGAAAATGGCTAAATTTGCTTAGTAATTTAGCTGTAGTTGGAAATACAGTATCAGTCAAATGAAAAAATTCTGTTCCTGTAAAATTAAGAAGTTTTAGAGGGATTTATACGGTGGCCGAGAACCGCCACTGCTGCAAGTAGAGAGAAAAAAGAATGCAAAAAAAAAATCACAACGGAAGCTACCGATGCAAAAAAGAAACTGAAGTCCACTGCAAATAAAAAAAGAAACTGTGCAGATAAAAAAAGAAAGCCACAATGGAAGTAAACAACACAAAAAAAAGTGGCGATGCAAAAGAAAAAATTTTTTTTACTTACTGTGAAATTAAAAGGATGCAAATAAAAAAAAGTGAGCTGCCGGGGACCAATATTGATGATGCACTGGTGTTTTACAATCTAGGCACAGAAGATGATGGCAAGAAGACAAGCGAAGAAGTAAGTGGATAGGTTATTGTTTAATTTCGCTTTGTGTGCTTTTCAATGTGTAATTTGGTTAGGCCATGTAGCGCCTGAGTCAATATGAAGTTGAACTGAAGCCAACAACACTACACCAGCATCCTCCAGATCAACTTCGTATCGACTCCAGTGCTACATGGCCTAACCAGATTATAAACTGAAAAGCACACGGAGCGAAATTAAACAATAACCTTTCCACTTACTTCTTTGCTTTTTTTCTCGTCGTTGTCTTCTGTGCCTAGATCGTAAAACACTGGTGCGTCATCATTATTGGTCCCTGGCAGCTCACTTCCATTGTGGCTTTTTCTTTTTTTTTTTTGGATCCTTTAATTTTTGCAGTAGGTAACTTTTTTTTTTTTTTGCACCCCCACTTTTTTGCATCGTTAACATTGCATTGCATCGTTTTTAATCTGCACCATTTCCTTTTTTATTTGCAGCAGGCTTCAGTTTCCTTTTTTTTTGCATCAGTAACTTCAGTTGTGGCCTTTTTTTTTCTGTATTTTTTTTATCAGGCAGTGGCACTTCTCGGCCACCGTAGCTTTACAATCAGTGCAGCAAACTCTTACAATCTGCATAACTTTTGTTTGGGACATCCTGCATAATCACACTATTAGGTACATGACTACATTTACTTTGGTTTAACTGTATTATTGGTTAAAACTTTTAGAGCTAAATGTTTCCAACTACACTTTATTAGTCTGGATGAGCAATAATATACAGAAGAATGGATGATGGATGTATTCTAAAGTGCAAAACATCACTACTTCTTCCACTACTGTGATATCACAATAAAATGTGGTTTTAACCCCCAGAATGAGCACACTGTTGGTTTATTAAAAGTTGGCTAATACCTAAGAATTTTTAACCCCAATATATCAATACAACAAATGTTAAATATAAAAAGGAACTTTAAAAATTAAAACGCGTTGTGTATCTTCATTTAAAGTTAGATTCCTCCTGCAGTGGAAAGATAGAAGAAGATAAGAAGCAATAAACCAAAGTACAATTTTGAGACTGCATTTTAAGTACTTGATCATTGATATTTTATGCAAATTGTTCCATAAAACATAACAGGAACAGCTGTCTTCCAGCTGGTCCATGGCTGCAGATAGGATGCCCATTTTACCACCTGTCAACACACTGTAAAGAGGAAGACCTACTTTCCTGAGCGGTGTTTTTGTGCAGCAGTTTTGCATGTTTGTGTAGTCATACACATCCATCTGTAGATGGCAGTAGTTTCTCTAGCTGGCTCCACTCCAGACCTCTTTCTAAGAAGCTTTACCGTAATCTTGAATGGAAATGTGACTGGAAAAAAAAAACACCAATTAAGCTAAGACACTCATTACAGGGCTCATATACAATTAATGCCTTAACCTGCCCAGTTCTATTTATTTAGTGTCGAAATGGAAAAAATGCTACCCCCTACATGAAACGGGCTAAAAATGATTTTTTATTATGTTGTTGACAGGTGAATCACAGCAAGAACAAACTCCATATAGTTACAAAGGTGATAAAAATTAAGGAAAACAGAAACATACAGATTTATCATGGATAAAGCTCGAAAAATCAACCTTATAAGAGATATGAAATAACCACATCAATCATTCTCTCACTTTTTGATGCTTTAACATTATAATTAAAAAAAAAAAAAACTAGTCATAAATACCTGCAAGTTGTCACTGATGGCACTGTGTCGTGTCAAAAAGCTTGTGCCCGTCTATTAGAGAAGTGAGGGGGTTAAACCCTTGTCAGTAGGACAGTCGCAAGCTGTCACTCTGAGTTCAAATTCATACGCTCTCATATGATTCTGACAGACACAAACTACTTCAGCCTCTGACATCCATCTACATCCAAAGGTAAACAATATGTTTCTTGTTTTAGCAGCAGATAGGCAGTTTTGATGATAAGTAGTAAAAGGGAGGGTACGTAGTTTATGCCTGAGGCAACAAGCTGTTACTGAGTTTCCTAAGTAGATTAAAGGGTGCAGCACTAAGGACTTGAAGCTGAGCGTACAGAACAATAAAAAAAAGTCTTTTAATTACACCACTAAACTCTTGTCAGAGAGAAATTCAATATCTGACAGATACATATTTTCATCAAAACTGCAAGGAAAAATAACACAATTCAAAACAAAGTCAGTGCTCACTTATTTGATCATTCTTTTTGTCATATTTTAGAGAAACACTCAAATATTTGCCCAGCTTTGCTCCTGAAATGTAGGGATTTGCTGCATTTCTATGACATTAATCATACTGAAGAATATTTGAGGTTGTTGGTTGGACACGAGCAGAAATTTTGGGATGTCACTTTGGGCTCTGGGAAAGTTGTGACGGGCAGTTTTTGACATCACAGACCAAATAAGTAACTATCAAATTCTGAAAATACTAACTCACCTACTGACAATGAAAAAGATAAGTAATTACAGTCCCGTTTTGATTATATACTTTAGTAGGACAGCCAAAAGAGACACCTGTCTGTGCCACGTCTGGTGGTTATTAATAGGACTTGAAAAACAAGGCAAGTCATAGTACTTTGATCCTTTTTGTGCCTACTTTTTATTGGTCAGTTTAAAGTAGTTATCCTGTTTTATCACTAAGAGCCCATAGAGCTGCTAACCCAGAATCTGTCAGACAGCCTGCAGAAATAAGTACGTAGATGGTCGGCACAATACAGTTCAGGAGTATACTTAATCTTCCTCACACCTGCCACAGTCGTGCCAAGCTATAAATACTGGGGTCATAAGAGGATCCACCTGCTATCAGTGTGAAGAAGCCTGATGGATGCTTGTTCATGCCAAAGGAGCCAAGCAAAAGACTTACAGTCCCTACTTATCCAACACTTCCACTTACAATAATCACAAGAGGGGCCTGATTTCTATATCCACAACAGTATCGTTAAGTAATAGACTGATTTATGATGTAATAGCTGAGGATATTCAAGTCTTGTGTTTCTCTTGCTCAGGAATATCATTAAACATAAATGATAAATGGTCGACTGTAATAAATATTTTGATAATTTAAGCATGTGTTTTACTGGCTTGTAGTAGTAATTGTAGGAATGAAGCAATTGACCCAAGCACCATGTAACTTGGGTTTAGCTGGTTTGATCTTATGTGAGACATATGTAATACTTTCAGGCTACATATGTAACACTTGAAGGCAAAGCTTTCTGGCAGGTAAACATGTTGTGTTACTGACTCGGGTGCAGTAATCACAGTAAGGACATCATGACAGACGCAAGGAGACCACAGTGGACATTAAGAGGGGAAAGATAGATTGACTAGGAAAAAGGCTGGACTTCAATATACTTTAAGCTTCCTTTACAAGGTGAGACCTGTGCGATCTTATAATTTTTTTTTTTTTTGCTTCAGTGGTTTTAAGTTAGGGGGAGATTTGCAAGCTTAAGCTGTAGCAACAGTATTTCATGGAAAAAAAGTAACTTGCATATAGTTATGTTATAGATTGTGATAACTCTACCTTTTCTTTCTGGTATTTTTCTTTTTCTAAATATGTTTTGTCTTTTATTTGTCCATGCTTGAAAAAATGTAGGGTAGATTGAGAGACATGCGTGTGACACTGGAGTGAATGGAATATAATGTTGATGCAGCAGGAGCTCTCTTTTCCAGAGTCGGCACCACAAAGGAATTTAGTGTTTCTCAAATACTTTTGTCAACATAAAAACTCAGAAATCTTAGATAAATTTTCAAAAGTGAAGAAATGTATGTAGAGATCCCGCTGACCATAAATTACCTGAGTGAACGTGTAATAAAATACAGTGAAAATACTTTGGCAGGTGCAGCCCAGCCTTTGGACAATTTTGTTTTGTTTTTTGTTTTGTATTGTTACAACTATGAGAAATGCATGCTATCATAAACATATGCATGCCTGTCAACATGGTCAACCAGGTGAAGCATTACTTGTTCATACTAAGACAGTTTTTCTTCTTACAACTTTACAAGTATCAGTATGTTGGGTCATTAAGATTTAGTCATATTTAGGTTTGGTGAGGTGAGTCTCAGCTTCTAAAACCTGCACCATTATTGGACTGTCAAACTCCTTTAGACTATTTTAAATTTTCTGTAGCAGCATTAATAGTATGTAAACCTGCTACAGATAACACACAACTCTGTACCTACTGTAAATAGTTTCGCATGATCAGCAGTAAACTAAAGTTTTGTCCTTCCTGTCCTCCACAGGGCCTTCAGTGGATTTATTTGGGTTCTGATGTCTCACCGTTTTTGACATGAAGGTTAAAAAATAACTTTCACAATCCATGCTCACAAGTTCTGGAGTATTTCAACAAAAAAACCTGTCCACCTTTCTTTATCACATCTGTTGAGTTTGGAGCTCCTCAGATCACCGTTTGTGACATGATTGCATCTGTAAAGCTCATCCAGGAGCTGCATACTCCTTTCACTTTTCCATTTTTTCAGAGTAAAGTGGACTGATAAAGTAAGAACAAATGGAGCCCCGACTTTTGTATCACACTCCACTTCTATTTGGGCAATAAGTGTAGGGAAGTCTCACTGAAACCCCATAACAGACTGTTTGTGAGGATTGATGTTTCTAAGTAGTGAGTGGGCAAGAGCAGTGCAGCCTTGGATCCATCGTGGAACCACAGTCCAGCTGGACGCCCGGCCTTCGGGCCGGAGACGCTCCAAACCAGCAACTATTCCCTGGTGTTACTGATTCAGCTCAGTCTGCTCTCCTTCGACCTGTTTGTCAACTCCTTCAGTGAGCTGCTGAGGACTGAACCGGCTGTCCAACTGGTCCTCTTCATGTAAGTAAGAGTTTCTCTCTATGTCTGCAGCAAAGTTTTATTTTTGCCTCCGGGGAAAACTCTCAGCTTAAAATAGCCTGCCTCAGCTGTGAATTCTAAGTCATCCTGGATGAAATAAAAGACTACTGGACACAGACCTTGTGCTCTTCCTGTTCTTATAACATTTGCTCCAAATGGTCACAACTTTCCCCCTTTTTTCTCTCTTTCTCTCTTAAACAGTATGCAGGACATTTCCATCCTGTTCAACCTGATCATCATTCTGTTGATGTTGTTCAACACCTACGTATTCCAGATCGGCCTGGTGGCCATATTGCTGGAGCGGTTTAGAGCTCTACTAATGCTCTCTGCTCTCTATCTGACCTTCAGTATTGTACTGCATTCTTGGCTTATGGTACGTAGTGTGTTAACACAGGGAGAATGAGATTTCTTAAAATCTTGGTCCATTTGACTATTAACTACAAGTTGCACGTTTATGTATTATGTATAAGAAAAAATAGCATGTGATAATCCCTGAACAACCAGTCCGAGGTAAATTTTTACCCACTTGTGATATTGTTGACAGTAAAGTGGATAAGATGGTTATCAGCCTTCATCCTGTTTCAATTTCTTTGTTTCAAAAGCCAGGACATCAAAAATCATTGTTCATGGTCTTGGCATATTCTTTTCAGAATCTGCGTTGGCTGAACACCAACAGATTTATTTGGACAGATGGCCTTCAGGTGCTTTTTGTTGTCCAAAGAGCTGGTAAGATTATTCCTACCTCTTTCTTATTCTCAACTAAAAAGCATGTAGTCTGATTTTTTTCTTATTCAAGAGGTCCAAAACTTAAGTTGCACTGTCTGTGGAGCTTTATGCCAATCTTTCTCCCATCAGAATGAAGCAGAGCCATGCCACCATTATCTGTTATCAGATTCACATGATTAACATTTGGGTTTAATAAGGGAATGACTACAAAGTACTTCCTCAGTAGAAGTGAGATTTATGAGACAGCAAATGCTGAATTTGAGTTCAGTGACAATCACAATTATCTACATACCCTGTGCAAGGATTTCTCCTATAACTCTAGGTTTCCTTGTAACCACTACAGGCAGGCTTCTGTCACTATTTGATTAATGGGAGCCGTGTGTATGCAGCATCATTATGTACTTTGTCTGAAGGACTGCGTATGGCTTAAAATCTGTCAATAATTTAAGTAGAACAAATAGTTCCTTAGAGTCATTACCATACTAAACTCAGAAGGTCACCAGCCAGCTCACATTGGTGCTGATAGTTCCCCAATCCCCACCTTTCTCTCCAGGCAGTGATCTCACAGTGTCATGTGGGTGTGAATTTCATACCAGTATAAGATCGTAAGTGGATGAAAGGATTTATTGTCTGGCTCTTGTTCCTCTCAGCAGCATATCTATTATTAAGTATGAGAACGCATGGTAGCCATGTTTCATATGCCTCTTTGTTTTGACTGCTACTTAAGACGCACTTAGGCACTTACTCAGTGTGGTGAAGTGTTGCATCACAAACTCTCTTTGCATATCAATCCTCTTTAAGACACTGTAACTCTGTTGGACTGACTTCTCTTTTAAGGTTCCCAAAAATACCTAGTTGTGAATTCTGCAAGGGGTTGTCCACTTCTTTGTCTTTACTTGCATTACTAATTTCAATACACAGTTCTATCATACTGTGTTCTGAAGCCACTAACTCCAAAATGGCTGAAGACTTACAGAAGCAAATAAGTCAAAAGATATTCATGAACATTAATAACATTTGCCACATTTTTGTGCCTCAAAATGTAAATGATTATTGATCTAGTAATAGGTAATAGTTTAAAAATATCAGCTTTACCACCTACCATGACTATGATGAGCCACCCTAAACTTATGGGCTTATAAAGCTTTTGCAAGTTGACTTTTATGCAAATATTTACACAAATATTGCATGTAACATCCTTGAGCTAAGCAAAAACAAGTCAAGGGTTTGCACCCCTGTGATTTACGTAACTTAAGGTTTAGGCTAAACAGACAAAACAGTGACATGGATCTCAATTGAAATGTCAAGCAGGTGCTTTAGCAGAGTAACGGCAAAGGGAAATCCAGGATGAGACTAAATAATGTCTGCAAAAAACCTTTCTAGTCCTCTTTAGTCTAATTTTCCACATAAAAGAATGCTGAATTTTTTCACACAGCACCTTTGAGGCTGATTAACTAGTGATATTTTCTGCATGTTTTGATGTTTTATACCTGTAACATTCTCAAATATTTTCTTGTTCACAGGTTCTGTGTTGTACTACTACTTTTACAAGAGAACCTCAGAGTACCTGGGTGACCCCCGGCTCTATGAGGACTCGCCGTGGCTGCGAGAAGTCTTTGTTCGAGCCAGACAGTGATCCTTCAGCAAAACAGCACACGGTGTAGCACGGGCCCATGTAAGAGTAAAAAACAGAAACCATAACATATTTGGAATCAGGAGAGAATATATGCAAAAAACTAAGTGTGACAAGTTGAATATAGTACAGTCTAAATGTATAGGAAATTGTTTTCAAATTCATTTCAGATCACAAAAGCAGTACAAAGAGTTTATAAAATACTGTTCCCTTCCGATGCAGGGTGGGTTGTGCCAAAAACTAGTGAGGTGTTTCCTTACGACAGGACCAGAATGTCTCATCAGGCCTGTTTTACTGTTCAAAAGGTGAAAACCACATAAAAATGAGACAAATACTCTTTCTCTTTTCTTTGCTGTACATTTTTTAAACATGTACTTGTTGTTTTATATACATTTGAAAATATAAGTGTTGCTTTGAGTTTGTTTATAATGTTTCCAAAGGAAGAGTCACTTTGTTATGGCTATGCCAGTCATGTATTCGAGCTGACTGAGTTTTATTGTCGGAACAATTGATCATATAAACACATTAAATACAATAAAATGTCCTCAAATCTTGGAAATATGGACTTGTTGTGTTTGTTCTTCAGAAACATACTAACATAAATAATTGAAATCTGTGCCTCCAAGTCTTACTTTGGTTGATGCAAAGTAAGACTACAGATAATTCAGATGATCGAAGCGGAGTTGATCCTTCAGGTCACTGAACTCTTTCAGGAGTGACTCGTCCTGCAGGTTGAACTGTATATCAAAAGGGGGAAATTTTATATGAGACAAAATCTGTGATCAAGATGTTAGCTTGTATGACAATAAAAAAGAAAAACATACATATATACAGTGAAAAATAAATAAATCTACCACTTATTACACACACAAATGATGGCTAGCCTGGTATTAAAATCAGATGCACTCCATGCCATCCAGGTCTCACAGAGGCCCTGTTCTAAGATGACTATGATAGATGGGAAAAACACAGACTTACTCACCCTTACAGCATATTTATGGCACCGCTGCGCCTCTTCTTGTCGGCCAGCCTAAAATACAAGGTTCATTGCAAAATTATTTAGGTCCTTGTATTTCTGGGAAGAAAATCCAGACGAACAAAATGAAAAAGTGATGCATTATTTGCCTTTGTCTCAAACAATGGATGCGTGTGTTGGAGAGAATCATCATCATCACTCACCCTCAGGCAGGTCAGAGACAGGTAAGCCCACACCTCTGAGTTCTGGATGTTCAAATGGTTGGCCTCAGTCAGAGCTTCCTCGGCGACACTAAACTCCTCCAGCTACACAGACAGACACACATGCAAAATCACACAAGCACTTAAACCCAGGCTGACTTCTTCTAAGTCAAATGTAATCTGTGGTGTGAACAGCCTAAGACTTTCTTACATGAAACTTGCTGACTAACTAAACAATACATCCAAGATTAAGGGAGGAAGAAAAGAAAACAACCCAAGAAAATAATTAAATGGTTCTCTAACACGGTTCTGTCATAAAACTCAACCATCATTCTCATTATCTGTGTAGAAATGAAAGATGGATTTACCCGGTAACAGGAGGTGCCCAGGCCCAACCAGGTCAGGCAAGATGGAGACTGTTCACAAGCCTGCAGGTACACAGCTCTGGCTTGATCGAACTAAAAATTAAACCCCAAAGATCAGAGTTTCAGTTACACAGTAGAGTTTTAGTTTATATAATTTAATCAAGGGTATAAAAATGAGCTTTATCTTTAAAACCAAAAGAATAACTCCAATAACTGTCTGGTTTCCTGAAAACAGTGTGGTCTTTCCTGGTGACAAACCCCATAAGCCTCTTCTGCTGGCTCATGAACAGACAAAATACTCATCTCAAACCATCTGACTGATGGGACAACTTTTCAGCTTGTCTCAATATCTGACCTTCTTCTGCTGAAGGTATATGGAACCGAGGCGCAGGAGCACAACATGAGAGTCAGACGGCTGCTTGAGGAGGTTCAGACTACACTCGTAGCTCTCCATGGCATCTGTGAATGACCCCCGCAGGTAGTGACAGTGACCAATCAGAGCCCAGGCATCTGCATCCTGCATACAAGGCAGAGTATAAGACCTCTTAGATCAGGGATCAGAAGGGACCATAACAGAGCAGAGCAGAAGCAGAGGACTGTGGCACATTTTTCACCAGTACATTATTCAGTGGTGCTGCCAGGAGCAGGGAATGTAAGTACCTGGTCTTTGTGAGACAGTGCCTCCCCCAGGCTGGCTGTGGCACTGCAGTAGTCAGCACTAAGCATCTGCCACTGGGCCAAATGAAGAAGGTAAGAGAAAGTATGACCTCCATCTGAGCACAGCAGCTCCTGGGACAGAGCTCGCTCCACCATCTGACAACAAAACAGAGTGACTGTTGATAACATTTTTAGTTTCATCTTTGATGACATTTTACAGCCTAATATTTTTTGATTCAGACAATCAAGATTTTACCAATAAAAATAAATATAGAGAATCAAAAAGTTTACATACTGGCTTTGGCTGTACTAGAAAATAAAACCAAGTTTATGTTTGTTTGTTTTTTCATTATATTGCCCAAGAAAAGCTTTCCATGTAAATGACATTTACAGACATTTCAAACATAATTAACTTAATAAATCATAAATCACCATTGCTCCACAGTTACATCAAGTACGATTCACAAAATGACACAACAGAAGCACTTTAATTTGTAGATTTTGAACGTCATATTTTACCACTGTGTGTCCAGCATTAGAGGTCAATAACTAAGTGTGTTTTACCTGCAGGGCATAGTTCTGCAGCAAAAACTGAACTGTTTCTGTGAAAATGGTGGAGGACAGTTCAGCTTGGGCTTTTCTGGGCATGACGCTCTGTGTTAGAGGCTGTTCTGGCACCCCAGAGCCCTTGTTTCCACATGCTGGGTCTAGGAATACATGACCATAAAATTGTGAGGTTACACTGGCTGCACCAAGGATCCAAATTTGCCACTGACTTAAGTAAACTGAGAGTGTCACCAAACATGCAACAAAAAAGGAATTAGCTAAGTCTTTCCCTGGCTATTCTTGCCTGCAGAGTACAAGAATTAGGTGACAGAAGAATAGGAGCAAAAACAATAACCTACTTACATTTGAGAACTTGTCATATTCAAACAATAGCATCTGTACACGAGTAATCACTAACTGCTGAACCAAACCAACCCCCCAAGAAAAAAAAGAACATTGTCTTCAAGACAATGTTTAATCTTCAAATGCATTTATCCCATTTCCACATACTTGGAATTATATTCACATGGAGAGACGGGGTACTCCCCCTTTTCTTATCTCAACAGCATCTTACCTTGCTCAGGAGTAGCAGACATGGCTACCTCTACATCCTCAAGCTTGTCCCTCTTTTCCTCCTTCTTGTCTTTGTTCGTCTCTTCCACCTGTGTTTGTTTCTCTGATTCATTTGCCTTTAGCCGCTTTTCCGCTTCAAGAAACGCCCACTCAGCAGAGATGGAATCATTCTGGCTTTCATAAATCAAACCTAGACAGCAGAATCAGTAATGTGAAATAAGAAATTACTATTCCCAGCATGCATCTCGTCTGCTTAACTTTATTTACACTTAAATTGTGTTGTTAGGGTTCATTTCACATGATATCTTCATCCTACCCAGCAGCGTCCAGGCTACCACATTTGGTGGGTCTATGCTAGTGGCTCGCTCCAAGAAGGTTCGGGCCTCTTCATATTTCTCATACATTGCTGCCAACACCCCGCACATCATCAGGCTAGAGATACAAGACACAGATAACTCAACGGATTCCACAAGTTCCAACCTTTTCTATTTAAACTCGCTTTGACACAAAGTTATAGTCTCATACTGCATCAAACAAGGAGGTGAGTTCAACCATTGATCATGCTGCTTTGTCTCTTAGTCGTGATCTTGAGCATCACATGGATCTGTTGTGTTTTGTTTCATCTTTCAATTCATTTATTCTGGATAAATAATCATTCTGATATACAATCAACACACGCTACTCTGAGCTCATTTTTGTTCTTGAAAGCAATTCTCCCTCGTTCCTTCTTTTCAACTTATGTTGGATATTGTGCTGAAACTTTGGTTTTTTAGTGTAATTGGAACATTTCTAACCTGGGCTGATGTGTCTGCTGGACGGAGACTGCATCATGGAAACACTCCTCGGCTTTTATATAGTCTCTAGTCTCCATGAAGAGCCTTCCCCAATCAAATTTATATAAGGGTTCACGAGGGTGCTTCACCACTAACTGTAAGAAAACATGTAAAATATCAGTAACTACTTTCAGTTTTTTACCAACCACAGGCAAACTACAAGGGTTACAATAAGGTTTGAATTTTTATCCCTATGTTTGGAAAATAAGAATAAATTGAAGATTTTGTGTTTGGAGAGTCTGAAAAACTTGAAACAAACTTTTGCCCATTTACATTGAGTGAAGAGCAGAAGTATTAGGAAAGGCAGGCATGTTACTGTACCTCTTGGTAGAAGTGAGCCGCCTGCTGATAATCCCCAGTAAGCTGAGCCTCTCTGGCAAAATGTCTGAGCTGAGAAGGACTCAGCTGGATGTCATCCTGGGAGTCATCATCAATGTCATCTGAGTAAATCTGGTAAAAAGCAGAGCATATAAAATAAAGGCTCTTGTGGGCTGTGTACAATGCATGCGTATGTGGGTAGATTTGTTTGTGCTTTACCTTGCTTAGAGCATTCTTTGTTTCATCCACCAGGTAGACATAAAGCTTGCTGACAAAGGCCCTGAGCTGCTGAGGGTCGCTGAATGGCTCTGTCTGCTGCATTTTATCACGTACAATCCTCACCACTGCAGGCTAAACAATAAAAACAAGTAAACACTGTTCAGTGGTCAAACAGTGACAGAGCAGCTGACACCCCAAGAATGAAAAAAGCTACGGTGTTGAAGATTTTCTCTAAAAATTGGATCAGAGATCTCTCCACTAGAGATCTGCAATTTGTCTGACCTTCATCTGTTCCTTTAAGGCAAAGTATCTCCCAGATACATTGAGGGATGCCATCAGCTGAGCCATCATTTGCTCTTGGCTACAGGCTTCCGATGGCGGGGTCGTTCCAAACAATTCGTTATACTGGTTTGAAACATGGTTTACCACGTTGCCAACCTGTCTGTGGAAGTCCAACACTGCCTGAAAGCATTAATAGACACAGTGAGAGTCAGGAGTAAGCAACTTTCCTCTTGTATGTAGTTCCTCTTCTTTGTTTATCTAAGTATGTACTGTATGAATAGATCTGTGTCTGTAATTTACCCTCTCAGCTCTGCTGGGAACTGGTTGAGGCTTGGGTGGGATCAATGCCTTCACTCTGCAGAAAAATAAACACACAATTTCTCATTCATTGTTGCTCCACTATCAGTGGAAAACCCAACAGACAATGACCAAATGTAAAAGACCTGAACACAGTCGGGTGTGAAAATCCCCACTAGAATAAGCAGCAATTTATGATAAGGACTCTGACTTTAGAAAACAATTTTACTAACATTTTTGACAGGTTCTAGAATCTAGCAAATGCTGTAACAATATGACACAGGACTTATAAAACACATTACCTCCGAGCTAGCTCCTCTGGTGATGTTTTTGGTACCAATGGTTTTTCCAAGGCTACCTCGATGATAATATAAGTTCTGGCCCCTAAATACATCTGGAAAAAAAATTTGCATGACCTATGTTGTAGGTTTGAGTTCATCTTGCTGTATGGAATTGTGTCTTTATTCAGTAGAAGCTTACATTTCCCTCTAAATTGATGACTGGCTCAGTTTCAGTGGGGCTGTGGGTTATGCTGCCCACTCCATCCGTCCTGCTCTTATTTCTAGGTACCTGCAAACATGAAAACAGGTAACCTGATGGTCAAACCCAACAAACACTGCCTGAAACTTCCTTGATTACAGTTTGAAGGAAGCAAAAGCTTGAGCAAAAGCCCACATGAATAAGTTTTGTATGAGGAATCTTACAAAAGCTCTTTCACAGTTCTCTGTTATGATTCAACCTGTAAATTCTGTTAATGAACATCAATGTAAAATTAATGACGAAGAATGTGACCATACTGACATTTTTGGCTTGACCCTTGGAATCCTTGGCTCCTTTGTTGCCTCTATCTTGGTTTCTTCCTGCCTTAGACTTGTGAGAGCCTGCAGATGAGCTGGCACGAGATCGAGCCAGATTGGCTGCAGCCTTGACCTGCTCCTTTAACACGCTGACACTCTGCTTGGCCTTCAAGTATAAGGCAAGAGACTTAAACAGTTTAATTTAGTATTAGAATTAAGTTTAGCTACCCTTGTCTGTGTGTGTCCTGGCTGTGTGAACGCTGTGTCAATGGGAATTAAACTACATTCAGCACATGTAATAGTTGTTCACTGACTTCCACTTCACCTTTAAGGGTGTGAAGATACTGTATACTCTTTAATTTGAGCTGGCATAGGGGGTTTTACACCTTCAAACTTATCAAAATACACACATTATCAGAACTCAAGAACATCAAGAACAACAGAGTATACTTTTGAGTATACTTAATGGGGTTGTACAGAATACATCCCATTACTGATCTCTGAATTCTCTGAACTAGACTCACAGAAATGGAAATTAAGGTAATCATTTCACCAGATTTGACTTAAGTGATCCGACATACTTTTTAAAGGGTTTCTCTAAAACACTCAGCTAAATGTTCTTAACTTAAAAAATCAAGATCAAGAACTATATGTATGCTCATAAAATAAACAAATAAACAAAAATGACAGCAACTGAGTCATCTATGTGTATTTTTGGGGGACCTTGTTCTGCAGCTTCACTTCGGAGAAAGGCTCAATGCTGTATGCTCCTCTGATGCGGCTAACTCCAGCATATAGCAGCTGCCCCATGTCTACAAACGCCATGCCATGAAAAGGGATCTCTGGGTCCTCCTCACCTGGCTAAACACAGACATACACTTACACATGCATACACTGATAGGCCTGTATACTGTTAAATTTCTATCCGTACAACATGTTTCTGGAAACAGAGGTTATAATTTAGAGTCAACACAATAGAGAGGGGAGGAGAACATTTCTGAATCTCTGGTGTAATAACTGAACTGTCTTACCTGCGGGCTTTTTGCAACCTTTGCCAGTGGGACCGAAGACCTCATGATCTCTACAGGCCAAAGTCTGCACTGAGTGATTCTCTGCCGCAGCCTGTAATTACAGCCAATGTCAATGTTATTCTGATTTGGCAACAGTGTAATTTCCTGGTTTTCCTGAAGACCATGCAATGATCTCAAAGAGTGGTATTTCTAGAAATTTTAAAATTCCAGAGGTAGTCTTTAAAAACACTTAATAGATTTTAACTTTTGAAAATGATCCCTTAAAAGCCATATCTAACTATGAGCATGATAGCTGATTGCATGGAGGAGAGAGTCGTGTGGCTGACCTGGCTGTCCCTCCTTCATCCAGGAAGCAGCATATCTCTGTGTCCCAGCTAACCCTGTGTTTCATGGTCTCCGCCTCAACACGAAACTCAGAGTCCTAAAGAAATATTCAGACTTTGCCTCTGTGATTAGTTCATTTACTCATTGTACACAGTGATTTTGAACTAGTTAGACACGCAGTAAACATTAACTGATTATTGAAACATGAAATAGTTAGTCACAATTTAATCAAATCTGTCACATGAGAAGTACCCATAAAACACCCCCCCTCTAACATGTTTTCATTTACAGTGTTGATATAAAGAACGGTCAAGTGCTATACTTCAAAACTGATAAATGTACTTGCTAAAAACTGGCAGCAGGTGGGAGTATTGCAATTACAGTACCTCTATACCAGTCAGCTCGCCGGCCTCTGTTTCTGCAGGCTCTTCCTGAATAAAAGCACCAGGAAGAAAGTGGTTCCCAGGGGCCAGCAGGGCGTGATTGGGTCTTTTCTTCTGTCTTCTCCATTCTTCCCTCAGGCCTCCCACTTTCAGCTGCCCTTCAGAGAAGACCAGCACCTGATCTTGCTAGAAGTCAGAAGAATAATAGAGTCCTGGTTGATAAAACCCTTCAGCTTAGAAAATTAAGTAAGGATTTTTTCCCTATTAAACATTTTTGATATCACTCCATAGCTTAAAGATCTTAGATCATTTAGAGTTAAAAATTTCCCTGCTCTTTTCCACAAAGCTAAACTTACCTTGAACAGCAAATCCAAGGAGTTTAAAATAGTCAGTGCCAGGTGGTTATGTTAATTTAAATATCATTGAGTAGCCACATGAAACACACAAACACTTACCTGAGCTGTAAGAGGGACCTCTAGGGCTGCAGTGTGTGTGCAAGGGGTAGGGCCTGTTTGCTGCAGCCATGCCTCAGGGACAGAGTAGGCTGTCTCCACAGTTACCCTCAGCAGGTTGGAGGCTGAGAGTTCAGCTTCAGACAACACTGGCTCTTGCACACTGACATGTACATCCAGGCTCATCAGCTAAATGGGGGGAAAAAATATCAAGAAATCATGTTTGATTTTGAAACTTAAATTTGAAGCAATTGACGGGAATATAGAGTATCTCTCTTTCAGACTAAAGGTTTCAGTTCATCATGGCTTTGTTAAGACACAGCAAGGGTCATCACTAGGAGTACAATACTGACTACATTTTTCCCATGTTTGTTTTGGAACAGTCTTCAGAAAACTGTGCAGGGTTGATGATAGGAACTCAGCTTTTTATGATGGTACATATTGATAATTTTACTACAAAAATACAAAGACTGTGTGTGTATTGGGAATTAATATCAAGGAAACTTGACGAAAAGACTAAACATTAATGATTTAGCTAATGCTGAGATAAATATGATATCCAGTATACTGTGAGGTCATGCCATAGCAAAAGCTCCACAGGTTTACAGAACTCTACTACTGTATTTCACTGATATTGTCTTACTACCCAAATCTTAAATTAAATCATATTTCAATCCTCAAAGAGCAGTGAAAGGTTTTCCAAATTCTAATCCAGCAGGGAAAAGCAGCAATTTGTGTTGAATTGTTGCACTTACAAAGGGTAGTGAGCTAACAGAGAACAAATTTGCAGATGGACCCTTACTGTAATAATTAAAAATGATTTTACTATGAGCTTTGTGCCCTTTGTGTAACATAGCCAAAAATCAGCTGATACTTCCACATTGGGATGAGTTTTATTTTTTACTTTTAATATACTTTAAGCTGGAATTCCTGCGCCATAAATATGCAGTAAAGTAATATACCAGCTCAGCTTTGGGGGGCTGGCACCCTTGAGCAGCTGCTCAATTGGTAAAGCTGGTAATCAAGTAAACATTGGTAAGGGATTTAGGGAAAAACACAATGTTAAATTAAGAGCAGATAACTTAATTTCTTTCGACTTTGTAATGGTGTGTTTTTAATGCAAACCTTTTGCACTTAACATTCTTACCTTGGCTGTTGAGCTGGTCATTGGATTCAGTGGGACTGTGCACAAGAAGCTAGACTGACCTATGGAAAGGAGAAAGAATCAACAGTCCAAACTCTTTAAAGTTCATGTCTTCTCATGAAGCAATGTCTTAGGGTGATAAATTAGTAAAGTTTTCATGACAATATTACAAAAGGTTTGTTTTTTAAAAGGGGGAAACTTTACCTTGTAACAATGGAAACAGGTCAACCACAGCTTGGCCCAGCACCTCTGTCTTCACTTTACTTTTCTTGTCCTCGGGTAGGATCTTTGTCACAGTCACTGATTGCACAAAACCATTCATATCAGTGCATTAAAAGATATTAGCTACAAATTCAAAAACATGATGCTGAACAGTCTATTGCATCAGATAACAGAGGAAAAATAATATTTTAACTTGGCTTACAAATGATTGGTTTCTGGGCAATGTTACTGAGTGCCTGAGCATCACTGGGGCAGTAAAAACTGCAGGTGAAGTTGTAATCAACACACTCCTCCACAGGATTGAACTGCTTCTGGTCTGACTGCCCCAGCACATTTCCATCTACTTCAGCCTGGAGAAAACTCTGGAAGATGTCCTCCTTTTCTCCTTGCTGAAAATACAAAAAAATAAAAATAAAAAAGTCAGTGAATAAGGTTGATACAGAATAAGAAGGATTTGATGGTCACCATCATCTACATGGTATCTGCGAGCCTGGCACTGGACCATTTCTTTTATTTATTCTAGACAGCTAAATTGGGAAAAAAATGAAGTTCATTTTCACTGATATCAGGCACTTGGCATGATATCTGCTCATTTTTTCTCGTCTAACCATAACACCTATGTAGGATGAGAGATAATAATAGAGGAGTAAAGATGGCAATTCACCAAATTCATGCAAAAGAATGTGCCAATGTCTCTCCAGTGTGACATCAGTCTGCATGTGGGAGTCTATTTTTCTTCACTGTAAGATCTTTTGTGTGAATGTGGACAACTTTTTGCCTCCTCTGTCTCAGTCAGAGGTCAAAAGTCTGCAGTCTGCAATCAAACCTCACAAGAACACAGCTCTGGCTGCTGGTCTTCACAGAGTTATTGTGCCTTTCATGGTTTAAGTGCAGCATGTATAGTTCAATTTGAGCTTTTTGCCCACCTTTATTACTTCCACTGTTATTTTCTTGCCTACCACAGTGACATGCACTTATTTTTCCCACCTTGTCACCTGCAAGCCAGCTGTTTTCCCTGTGTACACTGAAAAAATTAACTGATTAGATTTACTGCTGATCAATGCTGCAATATCAAGTAACACTTACTTGCCAGTATCAAGTAAATTTTACTTTCCATAAAACAGAACAGTTGTGAAGATATTTAGTAACATTTACTTAATTACATCCAAGTTTTAAGTTATATTTATTTTAACAAATTAAGTAAAGTCTACTTGAGGTTCATAGGCAGGAACCTCGCATGTGTTGTATGTTCATAATTCCACTGTAGCCTACTCACGGTAGATGACTACAAAAGAGTTTACCGGACTATTTCCACGGCTGACGGTTATTTTTATCTCCATGTCTGTTCCTCCTCGACTCTCAAGCGTCTCCATCGTGTAAATCACTTAACCTTGGCAAAAATCAAGAAATGTGCACAGACTCTGTCTTAGTTTCGGCCGTTGATACTTGTTCGTGAGCCGTGCGAGCTGTTTCCATGGAAACGTGTTAAACATAGGGAGGCGTTCACGTACAGTCTGTAAAAACTATAACTCTCTCTCTATATTTTTTTATTTGTCCTAGTCTAGCAGACCCGCAGTTATTTAAAAGATTACAAAAATAATGTAATCTTTTATCTCGACTTCAGAATTTCTCCTTGCAGCCTGTTATTGCCTTCATGCCTTTAACTATCTTTTGTGCACTGTAGTACAACCAGAGGGGCAGCAGGGGTCACTATTTTCACAAGAAATATTGCTAAACTTGGATCAGTATTTGCTGTGTAGTTGTACTGTAAACTTAAGCATCACGTGCATTTTGGACGACCACCTCTTAGGGGTTTGAATAAATGAAGCATCTACAATTACCAAGGAAATAGGTTAATAGGAAACCCAAACAATACGAGAACCCTACAACATAAAAGGAGACCATGAGGACCAAAATAAAAACATAAAATAGGTAAGAAGAAGACATGTAATAAAAAAGGGTGTTGAAAGCAGAAAACAGGATATTAAATATAAAAAGACAGTATTCATAATAATTATAAAATCATAATTAAATAATATTGATGGTAATATTAATGATAAAATGGAACAACATAAATGAGAAGAACAAATAAAAATAAATAAATAAATTAATTGATTAAATTAAATAAATAAAAGGCCTTAAAGGTTAAATAAGAAAATATTATAAGTAAAACAGAGACTAAAGGGACAATAAGTCTAAAAAGAAGCCCGGTCAGAGCAGCTGACCTCCGTATCACAGGGGGGCGCTCTAAGTAAAACTCCCACCTCTTTAGTGTTATCGTCAACTTGCGCTGCTCTAAACGGCTCGGCTAACTTCTTCCGGGAGTTATACTATCAATGATTTTGTCAGTTTAGTGGGATTGAAACACTTCTCTGGTGTTTGTATTTTACTGTCGTCAAAAATGTCGTACAACTACGTGGTAACCGCCCAGAAGCCAACGGCAGTGAACGCCTGTATCACAGGTAAATACTTGCTGTTTGTTTGTGCAGAGATGAGGCTTCAGCTCCTGCGTGCTCGCTCAGCTCCCGCGCTGCGAGTGTAAAGCTCCAGACAGGCCTGTGGCTAGCCTAGCTGATGTTGTGCTAAATCAAGTGTTTACATCCAGGAATAGGCATACGTGTTTCCATGCAATTAATGCAAATAAGCCTCTAATCGTTAGAAATCTGTGTTAAAGCACCCTGTTGTCGCTGTTTCGTGTTCAGTCGGTCGCTGGTGTTTGTGCAGAGTTTGGTTACCCAACATGAAAACTGAGATCGTCTGTTATGAGCCAGAGCTGTTTAAAACGGCTACAGTCATGGCTTAGAAGGTTTCATTTTGGCATCTGTTTTTTTCTGCAAACAGCTCTCCGTTAACTGTTTATAAAATTGTGTGATCTCATGCATATGGGCCACAACACACTGAAAATAGAGAAATGCTGAGAGGCTGGTGAGACGAGATTTATACTGACATGTAATGAAGCAACATTTTCAAACTCTTCTGGCCAATACAGAAATTATACATCTTAATTTTTAGGTGTTGTTTTTGCCTTTATAAACCAGTGTCCTTTTGACATGTTCTCAGACTCTGGTTTCACCCACTTTAGCCATATTATCACAATCTCTGCAACAGCACTTTATCCACTCATACCATCACCATAATGACTGTTTTTTTTTTTTTTTTTGTTAAATTTTCCTAGTAGGATGAATCACTGTTATGGTTTTCTAACAAGAGTCCCTGAAGCCATCTGCAGTTCATTTAGATTTCTGACCATGTCTTAAGAAGTGCAGCACACTACTCTGGCATTAATAGGAGGACTCACACATCCCCTATTCTTAAAGCACTACATTGGCTGCCTGTGTCCTCTAGGATCAATTTCAAAATTCTGGTCCTAACATTTAGAGCCTTGCATGGTCAGGCTCCATCTTATATGTGTGATCTGATCCAGCCTTACACCCCCTCTCGGGCTCTGAGGTCCGTGGATCAGAATCTGCCGATGTTTCCGTGCACTCGTTTTTGGACCAGAGGAGACCGATCCTTCCAGGCTGTTGCCCCCAGGCTTTGGAATGATCTTCCTCTCTCTCTGCGCTTAATTGACTCTGTTGACTCCTTTAAAAGCCAACTCAAAACTTATTTATTTGCTCAGGCATTTGTTTAATTGTTTTTGGGGCTGCTCTGACTGTTTAATGTTGTTGTCTTGGCCTTTTAATTTGTATGTACGTTTTTATTTTTGTCTATGTGAAGCACTTTGTGACTCTTTTGTCTGTGAAAAGTGCTATACAAATACAGTTTACTTACTTACTTAATTACTTACTTATAATATTTGCACCAGCTACTAGTCAACTACGTGATAAAACAAAGTATTTTAACCAAGTTACAAGTCATTTGCTGTTCTAGTAACAGTTTATTATTATTCAGACATTTTTAAAATACTTAAGCCAAACCGGAACCTCAGGACCTCTGCCTCAGATCTGCTAATAAAAGCCCAACGTCCTGAAAAAACATAGTGAGGCAGATTTGTACCTTTATGTCACCTGTTGACTGATTGGTGCTGCTTATACCAGTAGTTTATGAGTCTGATAACCAACATTAGGAACTGATATGCATTTACAGTACAAATGACAAACTTTCTGTCATAATTTAGATTATTACAATCTCCAATACAAGATGTTGTTTTACTACATTTAACAAATGATAGGATTGAAGTGAAACTTGTAACTGCACATATAGGGAATCCCCAAATTTGAAGTACCGCAGGTTTGAAGTACTTTGCTATTAATCATGTGGTGTAGACCCAATCAGATCATGTTGAGGGTTGGATAGTGGATGAGACAAAGTTATAAAACTGAACAGTCTCAGAAGGAAAATAACAGAATTATCAGGGATCAGCAAAATAAAATGCAGACAAACATAGTCCACTGGAAGGTGATCTGCCTGAGGTGATTTTTGTACAATTCATCATCATTGAAGATGAGGTAGGTGATGATGGTGCACTTGAGTGTGACATATTGAAATATGTTGTCTGCGTCAGTTACACACAAAGGGGAACAAAATAACAAGAACGCCTTTTGAAAAAGGTGACGGATGCATGTAAGTTGCATTAGATTGCACAGGTCTTTATTATGTTGTGGCAGGTGAAAGTACTATGTTTGTACATACACATACATGTAATTTTAGCTCTCTCTCTTTTTGAACTTGTGCCTTTGTCATCTACTTAAATATTTTATTACTACTTCACCATATTTAAAATCTGGTGTTTTCACAGGTCACTTCACCTCTGCAGAGGACCTCAATCTGCTCATAGCCAAAAACACACGATTGGAGATCTATGTGGTCACAGCAGAGGGGCTGAGGCCTGTGAAGGAAGTGGGCATGTATGGAAAGATTGCTGTCATGGAGCTGTTCAGGCCAAAAGTAAGTGGGTGGATGTGTGTGTGTGTTTGTAACAATGAGTGGAGGTGTTTTATGTAGCTTTTGCATTTATTCATCGAGGATCCAGAGTAATTTTCTTCCAAGATGGACAAAATAAAGGGCTGGACTTTGATCTGTTTTTCTTTTTTTCCTGGAAGCTCTGTGATTTGAAAGTTTATGTGTAGAGACAAAAAATCTGATTGATACAATTTGTCCGACTTGATATTAAATCAAGGAAGCAGAGACATCCTCTGCTCTGTAAATTGAATTCTGTTTTGGATAGAAAAAAGATACCCCAGTTGAAGAGTTCCTGTAGCTTATTATAGTCTGCCTATTTAAGCTGGTGGACAAAGTCAGGGGCCTGTTTCTCAATGGTATTTTCGAATGATCTGTGCAGTTTAACCACTCTCAATGGAGCCCCTAGCTAATTCTGATTCAAGTTTACCAGTTTAGATGTAAAGCAAGCCTAATAACCTAACCTTCAGGCAAGTTCATTTCCATCCAGGTTTCTATGGTAACAACCAGTTAAACCTGTTGACCAGATGATAAAATGATTCAAAATCTCAGTTGTTGTGGAGAGTCTTGTGAAAACGGTTATCAGAAATCTAAGAAACAAGGATGGTGACTAGGCCTGTCACGATAACAAATTTTGCTGGACGATAATTGTGCTACAAATTATCGCCGATAAACGATATTATTGACACCATTTTTTAAATTATAGATAATGATATTATATGGCATAATAATGCGAGTACACCATGTCAAAAGTGATAAACTTTAATTTCCACACGAGAACAACACTGGTTGTTTTCGTTGACTAAAATATTTCCCTTTTCTCCCACGACAAAGACGTAACGTTGACAAGCTAAACATAAGTCGGAGATGACTAAAATGTGACGAGACGAAAGTGCGTTTACGTTGATGGGACGAGACGAAAATGACGAACAGAGTTGCAAAACTCAGTCAGTTAAACGCTAAACATATAGGAGCCGCTTCAGTCCACTCCGACAGCTCTCATCAGCCTGCTGTGCTCCTCCAACACACAGACACACACGCACGCGCGCGCGCACACACACACACGTGGAGTTTTGTGGTTGACTAAAACGAAACTGGTTTAAAGCCGAAATATTCCCACACTTGGGCTGTTGCGTTCGGTTTAGACACCGAAGCTGTCGTGTTCATTCTGTTAGATTGCTTTTCACTCACGACGCTCACTTGCAGCACTGTATCCAAAAAGTCTGTGTCTGTATGCCTGTGCGCGCCTACGTGTACCTGTGCGCGCGCCCCCCCGTGACAAAGAAACTGAATGACTGACAGGAGGGTTCACTAACTCCGTTCATTCTGCTATAGAGCCAACGCCCCCAATGCGCAGAGTGAGACCTCTTCTCTCATCCAGCGTGTTTGGTAGCGAGAGAGGAGGAAAACAAACGCACGTCAATTATCGAGGCTGGCAAAGTTATCGACCTCGTTTTTATTTATCGAGCGATAAGGCGATTTATTGATTATCGCGACAGGCCTAATGGTGACATTTGTTTATGTTCCACCAAGGAGTTTTGAATCTGCAAAGGACGACTGTGTGATTTTGAAAGGTTTTATTTTTCATTTTTCATTGTTGTCCGGTGTTTGAGCTTGTAAAGTAGATGATCATTCTGAAATATTTCAATCAATTTCAATTGTCTGTATGTGTTACACATTGCAGAATTTACACCAAAACATCCTTGAACCTTGAGGAAATATTTACATGGTTATTATAATTTCTAGTTTGTAAAAAAAAGTCATAGCATACATATTACCAGTTGTGAGTCAGTCCTTTTTTGTTTCCCAAACAGAATTTCTTTTTTAATTGATGAATTTAAAGGCTAAATAGAAAAATATTGTCTCTTTCTCGAGCTGGTAAAGCTGCTATCAGGACCCATATTTTGAAAACTAAAAATAAATGTGTTTGCCATGTGGTGACTTTGGTGTCATTTGTTCAGGGTGAGAGCAAAGACCTGCTGTTCATTCTCACGTCCAAGTACAACGCCTGCATCCTGGAGTACAAACAGAACGGAGAGAGCATTGACATCATCACCCGTGCACACGGCAATGTCCAGGTGGGTGAGAAGAACGTGTTTTGCAAATTCACGCCACAGATAAATCTACCAGGAATAAAAATAATTTGAAGTGGTTTTCTGTTTTTTTTTTACAGTTAGTATTTTAAGTGTCTCTCATTAATTTTGTTGGACTCCTTAGGGCCTCATTAATCAAGCTTTGTAGAGACAGTCTTTATACTTTCGGTCTCATTGTGCATTTTTCAGGTGTTTCTGTTAGAAATTGCAAGAAAATTTCATATGACTTTTTTAATGTGATTTCTTTTGTTATTGTTAAACTTATTTTATAAAAACCAAAGCTGTGGAAACCTTATGTCTCATTTTAGAGTAAAAGAAATCTGATGATGGTAAATAAGTTGTATTGTATTCAACACTCTTTTGCAGGATCGTATCGGGCGTCCATCAGAGACAGGCATTATCGGCATCGTAGACCCAGAATGCCGTATGATTGGCTTGCGGCTCTATGACGGCCTGTTCAAAGTGATCCCCCTGGACCGAGACAATCGTGAGCTGAAGGCCTTCAACATCAGACTAGAGGAGCTGCAGGTCATTGACGTTCACTTCCTGTATGGATGTCAGGCCCCGACTGTCTGCTTCATTTACCAGGTATTGCAGTAGGAGTGGGATCTGTGTGGGGAATGGTGGATTATGCTTATAAATATACAGAAAGTTCTTGTGTGTATTGTATGGTCTTTCAAGTACTGTAGAGAACACTTAATTATAGTGGGATATTTTATTGTAGCACCTCAGCAGTTTCCCTGGAAACAGCAATGTGTTAGACTTACACTTAGATTTCATTGTGAGGATCCTTAAGCTCCAACAAACACACCCTGTATGTTTTTCACAAGACCTTTGTCTAGTCAATATTAAATTTGATTACATCTTGGAGTTTTGCTGCCAGCTATTGATCAGAGGAATAGCTGGCGGTCAAACAATGAACAAAAATGAGTCATCCTTAGACAAACAGCTCCATAGCTTAATGAGGCCTTAAACTCCACAGGGAACTTGTAAGTAAAATACACTTCCAACTTAATGCCATAGTGACTTTCTGAAACCTTTTTAAAAACCAAACATTTGTTGTGTGTGGCAGGACCCCCAGGGACGACATGTGAAGACCTATGAGGTTTCTCTGAGGGAGAAGGAGTTCAACAAGGGACCCTGGAAACAAGAGAATGTGGAGGCCGAGGCATCCATGGTCATCCCGGGTAAACAGAGCTCAGATTGTATAAATTTAAAGTGTTGCATTTAGTGATAAGCAGAAAATAAAGTTTAAAAACATTTATATTTTCTATAGTGTGTATGAGATTTTCCAATTTCAGGGTATTGACCTGAATTTAAAAAAAGAGTCTTTAGAATTAACAAGTTCTTCAAAAGGGTTTGTGAAGATACTTTGACAAACAGTAACATTGTATGTGTTGATATTATACTTGGTTGATATGTAGTGTTGTTTTTGTAGGTACAAAAAAGTTCTGTAAAGTTCTATAATTTAAGTTATTTAAGAAAAAAAACTCAACCTCAGCATGACAGTTATCCAGTTCCCTCAAAGAACTCTATTTTATGGGTTTATAGTACAGCTAAGCAGGGGTTAATAAGTAAAGTAATAATTAGATTATATAACAATTGACTAGATAATATCATAAGTGATAAAAATGAGCTATAGCCCAACTTGAATATATTCATGATTCAAAAAATCATCTTTTCTGGGCCTGTAACAACACAAACGCAGCTCTGATCCTTTTTCACTGTGTGCTTGTATTTTAGTGCCTGAGCCATTTGGTGGCGCTATCATCATAGGACAAGAGTCCATCACCTACCACAATGGAGACAAATACTTGGCCATTGCACCACCAACTATCAAGGTAAAATATTTATTTGCGCTTTCTCAACCCTGAAGCTTTAGATTTTTCATCATCTACACTCCAAAGGAAGGATTCAGAGCCCAATCACAGTGAATTATATGCACAATATGCCCAACAACACACAGAAACAACTCTCATTTTATCTTGATATACTTTTTGTTGTGCGATCAATGAACATTTTACAATTGGAAAATGAAACAGAAGATAGCTCTGTGTCTCTGTTTGTTAGACTCATCATGACAGTCGTTTGGATTTCACTGATTAGACAGTTAATGTTCAGAGGGGAGAGGAAGCCGAGAAAAATGTTGCTCAAGTAGAAGGAGGTTCTGCTGGAAATGAATTCCCACACGCTGAACTCTCCCAGAAATCATAATTAAATCAAAATGGTACCAGCAAAACTGTCATTCGAATCTGTTTCAAATGAGCATGTTCGTATTCTTCTACATTCACTGCACCCTGAGGTGTACACGTTGGAGTCAATTTGTCCTGAACCCTGTGATTAATGTTGAAATAGCATCTAAAGGCGGGTTTAAAACAGCCGAGATGATGACTTTAGCTCCCCATACACCATTGCCTTTAGTGTTATCTTAACAAGATTAAGCTGTAGTCTGCACTGCTCTGCTCTTATTTAACAAAGCTCAAGACCCAGAGGAGCTCCTCAACAGCATTCTGCTACTATAATTAGAGAGTGTTTCCTCACTGTCCCGCTGCTTGTGGTACCAAGGCCTCACACACTCTAGAAAGAACATTTGAAATTGTTCCGATTTCTTGGCTTGTGGCCCCGAGCCTAGAGCCATTTTTTATCTTCATGAATAAAAGTACAGTTATTAGTTTTATTATTGTCTATAGGAATGTTGAGTTTGAGTTGAGTTTATTTATCTAAACCAGGGACAATACATATTAATGAACATATACATGTAAATATGCAAGATTATAGCCAACGGCTAATTTCCATCTTTAGTCCCTTCAGCAGGTTGATGTCAACAACATAAGATAATAAAATCAATAAAACTACAGTAACAACAGGTAGAACAGTTAGCCTTCATGGCCAGTATGTGCAGGGGGAGTAATTACAGAGAGGGAAAACGTGTCTTTGAAAACACAATAGGACAGAAAATGAAAAATTAAAGCAACAATGAAAAGTATAGTGGGACCATAAGTATTTCACTAGCGTTAAATGCTAAAATTAGCTATCAAAGGGCTGATTAAAGTGCAGAGTGCTGAAGTGCTAAAGCATTAGGTGTGTAATTATATTGCAGATTGCCCGATTGCACAGTAAATGTAAAGTGCTATTTTAAATGCACAATACTCAGAATATAAAGTGCATGCCTTGCATGTGGCCCTAATGCCTAAAAAGTAAATAAAGATATAATAAATAGTAAAAATATTAATGGGGGAGAGGGAGTAGTAGTAATAATAGTAAAGCAGAGATGTTCATGTGTGTACTCTGTAGGAATTGCGGATGGTACCCCAACAATTAGCTAGCATTAAACAAATATACATGTTCAGGCACGGTTGTGGCAACAGTGTTGTTCTTCTAATAGCCAAGCTATAAGATGTTTGGTAAAAGAGGTCAGAGTCGGGAGTTCACATATTGTGTTTGGTATTGAATTCCAGATGTGAGAAGCACGAACAGAAAAAGTGGCTTGACTAAAGGCACTCTTTCTAGGAACAAGTTTGGTTGAGTAAGGTTGAGTTCAGTAGGGATGGACGATCATGATTTATCGTCAGAAAAATCCTCCACCATGATTATTTGCCATCTCACAATAAATGCAGTAAATGCAAGTAAATGACATAAGCACGAGCGATGGACTGGCAGCCGTGACCCACAAAGAGCAGAATAACAAACATGGCCGAAGGTGGTGAAGGTTGCTCCACATAACGGATTCCCTTCAAGATTGGGGCTTAGACGAGTGCAATCAGGTATGCCTGACATCAGACAGTGGATCTGCTGCTGCTGTTCACTCTGTGCGATAAGAGTTTTCAATAAATGTTGAAAGTTTTTTCATATTTCAGACTTGTTTGGTGTCATTAGTTTTCTTCATAACCTAACCACACAAACTTGAGGATGAGTATCTTACTTGACTATGCCAACTGGTGTTTCCAAGACAGAGTCAAATACATGGATTGGAATCATAATATTTCTTTATCTGGACTTTTATCCTTATTGCCAGAATTGCAAAACTTATGATACATTTTATTGCCGATACCACCCATCCCTAATGTTCAGTCAACTAAACTATCAAACGTGGTTGGCACCAAAACCATTTATTTTCTCAACCTTGGCCATATGTTGGTCTAAGCTGCAGCATAGCCACCGAAGCTTGGATTGATGGCCGCTGCCCAAACACCACACTGTTTAACTTTGAAGATTCAAACAAGCACAGATGACAGATGGCGTCTTGCTGCACGGTGTGGTTTGGCAGTACTTTGATCAAGAAAATAAAGATAAAGTTGTTTCTGGCTGTGTCTAGTCAGCTCAATAAACCTAGACGTAGGTGGGATGTTCTGGTGGTGCGAGCTCTGCCATCTTTAGATCCTATATCGTAGCAGACATGCTATAAAAGTTGTAATATGCAGTTCAGCTGGAGTATAAGCATCCTTTTGCTGAGTATCCATGAAACTTTAAGGAGTTTTCTCTTGCAGCATCTGTTTGACTGTTCATGACTCTTCTGTGACATGTAAAAATGTGACATTAGTATAGTTCAAATATAGTTCAAGTTAGGGTTTGTCTAGTGGATGTTGTCTCATCATAAGCTGCTAAATATACCGGGATCCCGCTCATCATTCTTTCTTTAAAAGCTCCAAACAGCCTTCAAGCACACTTTACACTTGTTTTGCAAGCTGTCACGTCTGTAACAGCTCTGTTTCTGCAGTGGCCTTGCCCAAGATTGCCAAGCAGATGTTTGAGGGGAGATGTAGAGGGACATCTGTTGCTGCTGTGAGACTAATGAAGCTTAATTCCAAATGAAGATGAAGTTTTTTATCCTCGATTTCTCTTCACACCTTATGCTGAATTAGAATTCCGCTGAAACACTCTGCACTTCATTCAGCAGTGTCAAAAAACATAGATGCATATCCGTAGATTCGTGACAACATTTTGACAGCTTATTAATAAATTGTCACTGCAGAGTAAGGAGGGAAAAACTGAGACACAGAAGATCCTGCCCGCATCTAGGTCTCCTGAAAGTGTCTGAACTTGTGAGCCGTTTTTGGGACTGGTGTAAAATGGGCCAGCGGACTGGTTTCACTTTTTCAGTCTAACAGTCTAATTAGGCGCTTTTCAGAGAGGAAGCCTGCAGGCTCGTGGAAAACAAAAGTGGATCCATTGTTTGACGTAGATGTAAGCAATATTACAGGCGGGCAGATTGTGAAAAAACGTTTTGTAAAGGTTCAATCAAGTGAGAAATTGACTCTGTCTTCTACAAAAGACAATAACAGTTTGGTCTTTTGAAGGAAAGCTCAGTCACGCTACGTGATTTTAATGCAGCTCCAATCATGACCACTATTCTAGCCAGCTTATCTTGGTTAAAGGGGGACAGGAAACTCTGGCTCTTTAGAAACTCCACTCTTAAACTCTTAAGATGTTTTTATTGGAAAATTTGTCTAACTTGGTCTGGATTGCTCATGTGTTTTGAGTAGAGTAAGTCTGTTCTGGGCTGAAAGTCGAGTGTGGCTCTGATGATAGGGAACTTATTCCAAGTAATTTTCTGTTATTGTTTGCTACTTCAACTTTTTTTTAACGGTCCATTATAATTCTTCTTTGACTGAGTTTGCAGTAAGTTTCTGTCAAAAGATTTTTATTTCCCAAAAAAGTTTATTTTCCACATAATTTCAGTCAAAAAGTCAAACTTCTTTTTATTCTAGGCTGTCGCATGCAAAGTGAAATATTTGAGGACTTTTGTATTTTGATTTTGATGATTACACCTCACACTTTATAAGAATCAAACGCCCACCATCTCAGTGCATTAAAATGTCACAAAACAGCAAATTCACAAAAATGATTCATAGTACAAAAATGTCGATCATGTTCATTTGTGCTTTTAGTTTCTTTGTTAGTGCACTAAGAATTGCTGCATCAGTTTGACCTGACATGAAGGTAGTCAGTGTACGTCTTTGCTGGGGTGTTATTGAAGCCCAGGTTGCTTTCATAGCTCTCCTAGCTGGTCCGTATTTTGGGCTGTTGTGTCTCTTGTCTTTCTCTTGACGATACCCCAGAGAATCTTTATGTGGTTTAGGTCAGGCCAGTTGGCTGGCCAATCAAACGCAGTAACACCATGATCAGCAGACCAGTTTCTGGTAGTTTTGGCACTGTGGGTAGCTGCCAGGTCCTGCTGGAAAAGGAAATTTGTATCTCCATAAAACTCAGCAGATGGAAGCATGAAGTGCTCTAAAACCTCCTGGTCCTGGTTTGAAGCTGCACCAGTGTGTTGAATGGTCTTGTAACATGCCCATGTCTGAAATTATGTAGTAAATTAGCAGGGCTCTAGAACGTCAGCCAGTTTGGTGTATTAGCCCCTATCAGGCTAATACAAGTTCAAACAAGTTCAGCAAAATAACAATAAATCTTGTTGTCTACTGTCTCTCTCATAGAGTGTGAATATACGGACCCAGAGGGAGACACACTTATGTTTTTTGAAGCAAGCACAAGATACTTATTCTCTAATTAAAAAGATAAGCTCTCGACGAATAAAACCACCTCATTATGTCCTGTTAGCAATATTTATTCTCTAATGATAACTCCCATTGTCTACCACATAGCCCCTAATGTTCCCCACAGACATGTAGATAGATGAGGATAAATGGGCTGTGAGAACCAGCACATCACTGAGGTCATCCAGAGGGCACCTCCCTTCATCAGGGTTTTGTCAAGTTTCGCCCACAACGCCATGGCGCCCTGTAAAGGAAAAGACAAAAGAGAAAGGAGTCTGAAGTGAGGTGTTAGAAAAAGAGCAGGGGAGGCAGAGCTGGACTGAGAAGTCTGGGCTCAAGCTCACACCTGCCAAATCTACCATGTCTGACATCTCCTCTACCTCCTATCGTGAGCTCTGCACTCCAGTTCTCACAATAACAGGGTCGTTGCCCATCCACTTCTGTGGGGTAAACCCTCACTTTCCAACATGGCTGCTCAGCTTCTGCTGCCAATTATAAGTCGTCCTAGGGCACAAGAGTTCTGTGAATTAAACTCGGAGCTGACTTGCAAGTCGTAATAAGATGCTAGGCTTCAAGTTAATCTGAACTGCGTTAATATGGAACAAAAAGTTTGCCTCACAAGACTTCCTGCATTTCCCAGTTATTAGCACTGTGTAGGTGTCCTTTTTTGTGCCTTCTTGAAAAATGAAAAGCTGTGTCATTCTCATAATTTGTCCCTTTAGGTGGAGTGTCATGGTATGCATTACATTTTTTAGATATAGCCACAACAGTGCATGTTGTTATCAGTTAACGTATCCAAATTCAAAGGATCCTTGTCATAATCGTTGAAAAATCCAAATCTATGGCTTCAAAGGTCTGGCATCGGGCTTTAACGGCGTGAGTTTTAAAAAGAGTCTTCAATCTTTTCCATGTTTGACTCATTAGATTTGTAATTGACTTTCAAATTGTATGAGTCATAAAAATGAAAGCTTCTGGACAGCATGGAGTTCTTCTCCTCATCCATGGGCCTTTGTGTTCCTCCTGTAGTGAGCAGGATCCCGACAGTATGACAGGCAGACTTGTTTAATCACTTCTTTTCTTGTCAGGCAGAATTTGAAGAGTCTGAAGCTGTAAGAGTCGGGATTAAGCCGTACGCTGGGGAATCTCCTCAGAGAGTGTTTTGATAATGAGAGCCTACAAAGCAAATATTATGAAGACAGGTCTTGCTGGCTGTAATTAGACAAATATATTAAAGCCTTCCTTCCTATCAGGAGCCTCCTGCACGATTAGGGTTAGGCATGTTTTAATGATATGCTTTTGTTCTACTGTGTTGCAGCAAAGCACCATCGTTTGTCACAACCGCGTGGACCCCAACGGCTCACGTTACCTGCTGGGCGACATGGAGGGGCGTCTGTTTATGCTGCTGTTGGAGAAGGAGGAGCCCATGGACGGCACAGTGGTGCTCAAAGACCTGCATGTGGAGCTGCTTGGAGAGGTCCTCTATTTATCTTCCTCTGTCTGTCTCTTTATCTCTGTCTGTTGTCACCGTATTTATCCACCTGTCTTTCCTCTGGCGTCTGCTTCTCTGCGACTGGCTCGACCACCCTCTCTGCTGCTGGTTGATTTTCCTCCAGCTGCTTGTCTCTGTCACCACTCCCTTTTGCTACAATTGACTTTTAATGGTTTATGGTCCTGACAGGGGCTAATGTATCAGTCTATACTTGTGTAGAGGATGAGGAGAAATGATCCTACCTCTCCGTTGCATACTTGCCAGTGAGCCACTTATCCCTCTTAAGTTGATTTAGACAATCACTGCATGTCAATACTTTGCCGGGAGCTAAATCTCATGGTAAAGGCGCCCAGCTTTTGGCTTGTGCTACCTTTCTCTGATGACTTGCCAAGGTAGAGCGCTTTCTTCTGAGCCTGCTGAGTGATGCAGCAGCTTGAAACAATCAAGGAGAGTAGGACTGCCGAGCTCGAGACAGATTGCTTCTCAAATCAGTCTTAACTTTATTGTTTGGTGCAGTCTGCTCAGCCAACAGGCAGCAGTTCTACTTCAAAATATCGCAGTAAAAGCTGCCTGCACTGTGCAAACAGTGACATTGGAGCGTAACGCCATGCTCCCACTGACGAGGCTGAGTTAAAAACATTCCTTTTTTTTTTTTCATCAATTACTATAAAACTCTAAAAAAGAACGTTTTTCTGTCGGTTTTGTAGCTTCATTTGTATGCTGATAACTGGACAGTTTTTCCCAGTGACCTTTCTGTTTATGCTTTTAGATAATTGCAGAAATTGGGTTGTAAAAAATGTGTGATTTCTATTATCATATTCTCTGCCAATTACTTTTTTGGTAAATGATTGAGTGTAAAAAAGGTCAAAAAAAGAGATTTCACCCTTTCAAAAATCCAAAGCTTAAAGTTTTAACAGGAATTACTTTTTTTGTTAATAATAAAAACAGAAAAGAACAAATCAATTAAACGTTCTTAATGACTGTAAAAAGACAACTATAACATGTTTACATTATCCTAAATGTATATCAGGTGATTAGCACACACACTTGGTCAAAGTTGTCGCCACCAAACTCTACTTTTTCACTGAGATTCTTGTTTTAGGATTACGTTTGATCAAATTTGATTACTTTATCTGTTTTTGCCAACTCCAATGTCCGTTATCAATTTGACGTAAAATTTATGAAATTTGAAGAGAAAGTTATAAACCTAAAATAGCGTGCATATTGATCTATCTGAACTGGAGTCTTTGCAACTAGTCCTCTGAGTTGTATGAGTTTTTGTTCCAGCTGAATGAAGTGTTAAAAAGGATATTGGTTTGCTTAGATGCTGACAAAGCTGTTATGTTTAATTATATTGAGCAAGTTTATTGTGTGTCGACATTGTTAAGGTTGATGGAGATTTGATTAGATCAGAAGGTATTTTTTTAACCCTAAATTGACAATAAATTAAAATGGAATTGGTTCACTGAAAGCTTTACTGAGGAATTTTTTTTTACGTCAATAAAATAATCAGAAATTCATATTGTTGTTTTTTTATGATATGCAATAGCTAACGAGAACACCAGCGACCAGTTTGACCATTTTTAAAGTGTGGTTTTTAATGCCTGGAACTGCTGTGAGGGGTAGATGTTAGCCTAACCCTAGCTTTGTTCTTACATTTTCCACATTAAATATTCACAATGAATTATAAATTTGACTTTCAAAAGTGGCATGATAAGATTTTGATGTCTCTACCCAACATGACAGCAACCAAGTCCAGCAGTTCATCCACACATTTCAGCCAGCATCAGTATGTTGTCAAAATTTAAGTTCTGTGTCATTAGGCTAGGGAGGTATTTGATGAACTGCTGGGTCAACATTTCCATCCTTAGAGGTGATCATCTTTAATTAAAATAGATGTTAAGCCATCCCACAAATGGTTCAGAGATCAAGATGTTTTTGTGTGTCTCTCTTTCTCACGGCAGACCTCTATCGCTGAGTGTTTGACCTACCTGGATAACGGTGTGGTCTTTGTGGGCTCAAGACTGGGAGACTCCCAGCTGGTGAAGGTAAGCAGCAAAAAACAGATTTACACCCTCTTCAATAAATAACTGTTATCTGTGGTTATTTTTTACCTTGAACCCTTAGTGCATTTAGGTCTTTCTTATCTTGTCAGAGAATAGGAAATAGAGTGATGGTGGAAAATCTGCCCCTTATTTAAGGATGAGAAAATTGCTCATGGTCTTTAATGTGCCTCATGCTGCCTCTCTGTTTGTCATGTCATATCATCCTCCACCTTTGATTTATTAAGCTGGTTTTGTTTTTCTCCCTGTAGCTCAGTGTGGACAGCAATGACCAAGGCTCATATGTGGCAGTGATGGAGACGTTCACCAATCTGGGGCCCATCGTGGACATGTGTGTTGTAGACCTGGAGAGACAAGGCCAGGGCCAGGTAATACCCACACGCTTTTTTTTCTTCAATTCTGTGAGACGTAAATGAAAAACACGTTTTGTACCACAGTTACATATTATAGGTCAATCTTCCAGTTAGAATAAAAGAGATTTCGCAGTGGTTGCCAGAGGCTTCAGACATGACATGGTGATTACCAAGAAGCCCTTGTAACAGTCAGCGGATGCATTGCCTCGCCTTTGGTGAGTCTCCGGCGCCTGTGTTTTCCTTTTTATCTCCCACTTTGTCACAGCCTTCAGGGAATCTGGGCTCGTACCACTGATGTAGCCAGCTCTTCAGTCGTGTTAACAGTGGTTTTGTCAGCAGAATTAAAGCTACATCATACCAAAGTACAAACCCGCCACTGGCCAGAATAGCGGGGGTGCAGTGTATTCAGGAGATTCTTGCTGACATGAAACACACAGCTTTGTAGCTTTTATGTGCAGTCTGGATCCTCCTTTTTTGGTCTTGTATCCTCTCTTGTTGCCAGTATTCCCTGTACAATCCCTGTAACACAGGCCCTGAATCCCAGTTACATCAGCTGGTCTGTGATCTGTAGCTGAAAGTGCATCTCGGGTACACCAACCTCACTTGAATTTCGCTCCTAATATTCACACATCTTCTAAAAATCAAAGTGCAAAGACTTTTTCTCGCTCACCCCGTTCGCACATTTCCAGATAATCCATCATCTTTAGCACTGCTGTTTACTGAAGCTATTTTCATTCAGAAGTTGTCAGTTTGTGTTCTGAAAGTAATTTGTTTGAAGGGAAATAAAGACAGTAAATGGAATCCATTTTTCTGTCTGTAACAAAAATATATAAATTTTTTTCACAATTGTCAGTGGCTTCTGGCACTTCTGATTTATGCCCTTCAATTATCGAATAGACAGCATCATTTAAGCTACAGCAGCTTTTACAGTTTTTTTGCAGTGATTGAAATATTTCACACAAAATACCTGTTTCATAAAAAAAGGAGCATTAATCGTAGGATTCTTATATATTGATATAAAAAAGTTGATTCTGTACATTGTCAGTGATGAATTGTATTTAATTTACAGCCTGAGTTGGGATGCTGTGTTAAATATTGATCAAACCAGAATTTGGTGGTCTGCAAATCATTGAAAGCTCATATTCAAAGAAAACAGCCCAGAGAGAGCACATCAAATTTTGATCTGAAAAGAATTGCTGTAGAAAAAAAACATTCAGGCTTTTTAAAAAAAATTGATTCGAGCAACAAATTGGATAGGGACGACAAAACCCTGAAAAAGTTGAGTAATGCTAAAAATACAGTGCGGGAATATCTTTAAACTAATTACATTAACTCTCAACATGTTTATAGCATGACTGAGTATAAAAAAGGTATCCCAGAGAGATGGAGTCCTTCAGAAATCAAGAGTGAAAGAGGTTCATCACTCTGGGGAAGATTGGGTGAGGAAATACTTCAGCAATTCCAGATGAATGTTTCTGAGAATTCAGAGATTTCACCTTCTGCAGAGCAAATTTGATCAAAAAGTATCTCAAACAATCTTTGTAAAAAAGAGACAAGGCAGATAACTTTAACTGTATCACCAAAAAGTGACATGACTCTGTAGTGGACGTCACTGCATGGGCTCAAAATCACACCCAAAACTCTGTTTATTGCCTGTAGGTTGCTCTTGACCATGCAAAAAGTAAAACCATGTCTAAAGATGATGCAGGAATGCTGACCTCTCTGGGCCCAAGGCCGTTAAAGGTGGTCTGAGGCGAAGTGAAAAACGGTCCTGCAGTCTGACAATCAAAATTTGACATTCTTTTAGAAATGGACCATGGGTGCTGCCTACTTTCTTCTAAAGGGGAGAGGGACCGCCTGGCTTGTTAGCAGCACACAGTTTAAAAGCCAGCATCCCAGATGGTACGAGAAAGCATAAATGCCAATAGTATTTGGAGTTTACACATTTGAAAGGTTCTATTAGTGCTGAACAAATTATACAGGTTTACAAGCAGGAAATGCTGCCATCCAGTCAGTGCATTTCTCAGGAAAGTCCCTCCACGATACAGCAAGAGAATCCAAACTATATTTTGCATTATTAAAATGGCATAGTTCCACAGGAGAAGAATAAAAGGGCTCAAATGGCCTGCCTGCAGGCATCTACTGCAATTATTTGGCACATCATGACACAAAAAATACGACAAAGGAGACCTTGAAGTGTTGAGCTGCAGAAATCCAGCAGCCGGCGAGAATAGGGCATTAAACTCTCAGAACCCCAGAAACTGGTCTCTTCTGTTCCCCTGTGTTCACTCAGGATTGCTAAAAGAGGAAGTGATGCTGCAGCCCCAACTTTTTTAAACATGCTCCACATGTAATCAAATTAAAAATTAGATTTGATCTGTTATGTTTTCTTGTCAAGATTTTCAGTAAAATTCAGGCTTTGAATGTTTGCAAACCATCAAATTATGTTTTTATCACCATGTCACAGTGTCCCGACTCTTATGGAATTTGGGTTGTTGTGCTCATCACAAAATCCTAACAATACTCAACCCAAAGTATTTGACTAAACCACTTTTTGATGTGATCGTTTGTCCTCCTTTTGTATGAAACCAGTGAGGCAGAGGAAGATGAAACAGTGAAGTAGCAAGAGGGATAGGGTACAGAAGGTTTTGTTGGCAGATTTTGACACCAGGCCTCGGGGAAGTTGGATGTGAATCCAAAGGCAGTGGTCCACTCGAGCTGTGAGCCACAGCCTGGGTCCAGACCAACACACAATCGCCCTCTGACAGCATTCAGTCACACGCTCCAGCTCATTTCAGCCTGCTGAGTCCCAGACCGAAATACAATAACAATGGTACAAATAATGAGCCATTCGCTATGAATCCACAGAGAATTTGGCCTGGTTAATTAGGGCGGACAAATTCCAAGACATTCAACACAGCAGAGGATTGATGCATCGGCCCTAGTACAAATAAATACCCAAAATACCACGGCGGCACATTTTGCTGTCAAATTATTACATTCACAGATGTGCAACTGAGAACCACATCGAGTTTCCTGTCTGACAAAACCTGCATAAATAAAAGCCACTGAAATAAAATACACTATGTGCAGATTGTCAGGATTCAGACAGCCCCTTGAGAGTGTTACTGAGAGTGTGAGGGCATGTGAGAACAAGTGTGGGGGAGTAAGGTGAGTTGCCAGGTTTACAATGGTTATTTCCATTAGGATGAAGCTTTTTGGTGGCAGGTGTTAGAGGCTAAGATTATACGGTCTCTGGTATTAATCCTGTTAGAGAGCCATGACTGGATGAATGAATAACATTCTGACATTCTCCAGTCAGAGTGCACAGACACCAGAGTTATTTACCTTCAGGGCGCCGGATGTTAACACTGTTGCCATGTTTGAACTGGCAATCTAAGAGAGGCTCGACTATAAGCTGATGCGGCTGCACAAATCCAGCATCACAACAACTGTCAGTGCTGCTGCCATGACCCCGGCTGCTGCCGTGACTTCTTGCAGAACTGCTCTGGATGACATTTACAGTCGTCTGAACATTAATGAGTGAGAGTACTTTCCCCTCGAGGTCCACAGTTATTACCGCAACTAATGAGTTAAACAAAGAGCTGCCATATTTAATTACTCAGAAGGTAATTAAAAAGAAACTTATTTTACAGATTTGTCATCTGGGCAAGATTTCTGTGAGATATCTTAATGATCCTCAAAGTTACACCTATTAATGTAGGTAAGATGTGAAATGAAAAATACTTCCGGTTGAATTGAGGTTTCTCTGTCTTTGGAGTGCTGCAAAATCTGATTTTCTTCACGCACCACCACCGCCATTTGAAATAGTTTCAGGCTGCTCAAACTGCAAAGTAGCAACATTCCCGGAAGCAAAACATGCCACTCCAAAGTCTGAATACTGTGAGAACGTGTAGATTTTTCGGGCTGACTGAGATTTTCTGCAGTATTTAATTGAGCCAAGTGTTCGGATGATGAAATGATGCAGAGTGAGGTCGAGGTTGAGGCTCCTCTCCTGCGTGGTGCATGTGAGAATTTCTTGCCCAGCTCTGTGAACTGTTAAGCTCAGCCCTTTCAGTCAATGCGGCGCATGATGAGGCACTTATCGCTGCAATTAACCTCATTTACCATCACCACTGATCTGGAATTAGCATAAAACTGTGCAAAAACCCTTTCTGTCGTAAATACCAAACATTCCACCGACTCAGCTTCAAGTATTAGAGGAATTACATCATTATAAGAGGGGTGGGTGTCACGGCCCAAAATGTTTTCCTTTCTTTTCTTCTCTTGCCCCCTGCGGTACCAGTTTTATATCACAGTCTTATAAAATAAAAAGGGGTCATACAAGTTCAATCACTAAAACCTCCTCTCCCCCTCAAACAAGCCTGTGATGCTGTACTAAACTCATTTCTGTGCCAGAGAGCAGAGAAAGAGGATTTTTTATAAATAACTGTGTTCTCACTTCTTGGTGTGCCGTGACTTTTAACTGAATCTGCGCTCCGAGTTGTCACTTCTTACCTTTGTCCCTATTTTTAGAAAACAGCACATGTTATTTTACATGTTATTTAAGTGTTGATGAGTTACTCCTTCAGAAAAAGATGCTGCTTCCAGGCTTAGCTGTAAAAAAAAACCATATCAACCGGGGACTTTTATTTTGAAAAACTTATCAGAATTTAGATGTAATGCCAATCCCAATGAACTGAGCTTTACTTGAGCTATAATTATCAGTGTGGGGAGTACAGACAGTCATTTGACTACATGTCAGTCACCTCTTTTTATCTGTCCAAGCCATCAGTTGAATCACACTTTCAAGCAGATAGAGCTGTTACTATGGAAATGCAAATGCCTGCAGTGCTGCTACTTACCAGCCTCAAACTTGGCGAGAACAGGGGAAAAGTTTACGTGATTGCTGAGCCATTATTCACTCTCACTGTAAATGCCGACACCCGCTCAGACAGACTAAGGTGGTGCCCTTTAATTTGTGAGTCTGGCTCTGGCTCTGGGAAGTTTGAGCCAAACAGGGAGCAGTCCAGTATTAGACCCAACTTCTTTTACTCATCACCACTGCTGCATCACTGCTAGGGGGGACAGCACCTCCATCTCCTCTCACTGTGAAATATGAAGCCAAATCCGCCACAATAGGCCCATGGCACATACTGAAGCTATGCTATTTGCAATTTTCAAGTCAGATTTTGGGGGATTTTAATTATAAGAACTACAAAATATGACCTAAGCTGTATATAAAGGGGAAAGGTTTGTGAAGGTTTAAGAGAAATTTGTAAAAATAACAGGATTGGCTATTAAAAAAGGAAGTCCAGACAAACATCTCATATGAACCCAAGGCACACGTCTTTGTCCTTTTTCTGCCTGCAGCTGGTGACATGTTCAGGTGCATTCAAGGAAGGCTCTCTACGGATCATCCGCAACGGCATTGGAATTCATGAGCATGCCAGCATTGACCTCCCAGGAATCAAAGGTTTGTGTGCACTGTCTACGTATGTCTGTGTCTCCTCCACTGCACCGTCTCGAGTGTTGACTTTATGTGGACTTTAATCCTTCACTGACTAGACGGCGATACCTCTTCAACCTGCACATCTGTCCGCATCTGCCTCACCTTGCCAAGACGGCAGCTGTTGCAGGTCTCGGCTCAGCATGACAGTCTGGGCAGATGGCTCGGATGTCATAGGTCTTGGCTCAGTACCTTAAAAAAAAAGAAGTATTGCCAATTTGGGAACATTTGTTTTCATTAAGTAAACCAACAAGCACTGCAGTGTCTGCAGTAGTAAACTGTCAAGTTGAAGAATGCCGTCAGCTGTAATGATGGCAGACAACTCTTAATCTCGGAAAATGAGGTTCCTCTCCAAAGACTTCTCTGAGGCTTAAATGAGACACACAGGCAGAGTCCAGGTCTGCTGGCACTTGTTCAGCTTCAGCTGTTTATTGACCGTTTCTGCCCTAAAAGTCTCAGCTGTGGCCTCTTGCCCCTGGCCTCTTCATGAGAGGCAATTATTCACTCAGCCAATCAATTGCCTTCTGAGAGGGATCAGCAACCTGTACATCTCTCAGCATGTTAGTATTTGATGAATGGTATAGTTTCGAATCTGCTGGAACGCTGTTTGTCTGGATATTGTCTTTCTTGCTCTGCAGAATGCTGCACAAAGTAACTTCAACTTTTCCCTCGCAGGTTTGTGGCCGCTCCGCTCTGAGGCAGGCAGGGAGACAGATGACATGCTGGTGCTGTCGTTCGTGGGTCAAACACGGTGAGTACATCCTGCAAGATAAGTGCGCAGTCGATCCTAAATGTTTTTTATCTTATCTTAAGAGTGCGTTTCCCCCCAGAGTGTTGATGCTGAGCGGGGAGGAAGTGGAGGAGACTGAACTTCCCGGCTTTGTGGACAACCAGCAGACTTTTTACTGCGGCAACGTGGCCCACCAACAACTCATTCAAGTTCGTATTCTCACGCATGCACTCTCTTTCGTTATGTGTGCCAAGTTCATGTACCGATACTCCAAGTCTGGCCCTGCTCTGTTTGAATAAGCTGACTTTGTACATTCCAGTTCAAAGTAGAAATGGCATCCAATTTCACAAATTTAAATTTAATTAGAGAAATTAATAATTCAACTGTGGCCTTTTCCCGTTTAATACGATAGACTTCGCAGGAACTGAGTCATACATGATTGAAAGGGGCAGCTGTGAATAGAAAGGGTGCAAAAGGACCTCATGTATTTTACGCTTAGTGAGATGAATATTGCACTTCATCTAAATTCCAGTTTTCGCCTGCCTTCTCTAAAACAAGGATGAAACCTGCTGGGAATTCTGCCAACTGTAAGACCCGGCACCATAAATCTTTAGGCTGTTATGACAACAATGCTCATGTTTAAAGGCTGGAATATTTTATGAAGTCTCCCGCCTGTCAGAGTCGGTTCACCGAATGCATTTTTAAGTTTGAGCCCATCTATGTTTTTTGTTTTCATGGCTTATGGTTTATGACCTGAGAAAAGTAACTTTAAATAATAAAAGTTGCACTTAAATTTGCACTGAAGGCTCCTGCAGCAGACAGAGATTTTTTTTTTTTGCTTTTGGCCTTCAGTGGTTTTATCAAAAAGACACTTATTTTGGTGGATAAACAGACTGAAAGAAACGACAATAAAGGCTGCTGTGATTCAAAACAACAGTGCTATATTTTATTTTTCAAAATAGGTTGTAATCATTTGCAAATTGTGGACATAACTCTAATTCTTCTACTTAGAATGCTTTGACATGAAAGGGTTGTATGTTTCTGCAGCTTCTAGCCTTATTTTAGCCTCATTATTTCGGTCTCCTGCCCTGAACAAAGAAGATGCGCTTGAGCTTATGCTGCTCTGATTAACCCCACTATAAAAAAAAAATGAAACAAACTAAAGCAACAGTTTTCTGCAAACGAGTTCAAAGAAGCCTACTGTGCAAAACCCCGCCACACAGAAAAAGAGCCACGTAAGCGGCTATTAAAAAAACGCTGAACATCTAGAAAGAACAAGATATTCTTCTCAGGGAGATTCAGAGACTAAAGCCAGATCCCACGACTCAAAGGCACACAACCATAGATCTAACATGATGCTTCCACGTGGGCGGACACCTGCCTGCTACAACTCATCAAAAATGAGTGTCCGTTTCCACAAGAGATTCCCACAACTTATTTTACTTATTTTTTTACTGTTTTGTCCAGATTGAAAACTCGATAGATGTAGCTAAAAATTGTGCACCATATTTACGATCAATAGAGGTCAATACCCTGCAAATTCGTGGCCCTATGACTTTTACTCTCTTCCTATAAAAGGGTCAATTTGTAAAGATCGACATGTAGATGACTCATATATATAGACTTCACATCCTCTCTCATCTGTGAGCACTGAGGCAGCCTCTGACTTACGTATTCTCTCCCACCATCTGGTCAAATGAGAAAAAATCCAAGAGTTTAGTGTTTACCAAATAACCTTAAACACGCCGACTTCTTCATTAGCTCACTAAACTAACTATGAGGTAACTTTTTAAATCTTCAGTGCAGTGGAGCGCTCTTAAAGCATCTTAGTAGTCCGACCACGTTAGCACACTGATGTTTGCATTCAGCTGAAAGCACCGCTGTGCTTAAGAACAGCCTCACACAGCCACTAAAGCGGCTGCAGACTCTTAGTCTTGTTTGACAAAATAACCTCCCCAGGTGTTTGGACACTGGTTGTGCCTCAACTGTGCGTCCCGTTAAAAAGACTTAACTCTTGTAGAAAAGATGTCTCCACTTATATTCACAACAAGAAGTCAAACTTTACCGTTTTCTTCCCCTCAAATGTGTTTTGATTTGCTCTCCAAACATAAACAGGCTGCAGAAACTGGGCAATATAATCTTCATAACTGCTTTCAAGGACTCCATTAAGAACCCATATTGGATAGATGCCTTGGTTTCACATTTCATTTCACCTCTATATTATATTAGTTCCCCAACAGTGCAACACCTCCATTTATAGTTTGACTGGTGTTTGTACCTGCTGCAGTCTGTTAATGATGCTTCTGCAGCTCTTATTCTCTGCTGCACAGCTCACCCAGTCATATCATCACATTTTAGATATTAAATGTGTATTCCTCTATAGCCTGAGGGGCTTTTATCAGATTCTTACAAGCCTTTTGCACTGGCAGTACAAACGCAATAAAATGAACTTTTATAACAACATTAATAGATCTTGTAAAGTGAAACATCTACAATATCTAATGAAACAAACACAAGGCTGAAGTTTTGCATCAGTTTTTTCCATCTTAAGCTATATGTCTTAACTCGAGTACTGTGATTGAAGTGCCATATTTTCCATGAATGCATTTGTTTTCTACAAAATGTGATTGCGACCCTCATGTAGTCTTCAACTTTGATTCTCTCTCCTCATAAACATCAGTTTTTGCTCCATCAGAAATCACTTTTTCAACATTAACCGAAGGCTGACAGATTTCATAAAATCACCGAAATTGAGTGCAGAGTGATTTGTTTTCTAGCGCAGTCTCTTCATGTTTTTATTTAGACAAACAGATATTGTTCAAAAGTCTTTTTGCAATTAATCATCATTTCATTCCAGTCGTTTTCAAATGCACTTACGTTCTTGGCTCAGAAGTAATGAGATTTACCTTCACACTGTTTCATATTTCAGTCTCCTCTTTAACATTTCTGTCACTCCCCTGAAATACTGTGGAAAAGAATATCTCACAAAGGAAAAAACTGTGTGCTTCCAGATCACGTCAGGCTCTGTGCGCCTGGTGCTGCAGGACAGCAAAGCATTAGTGAGCGAATGGAAGGAGCCACAGGGCAGGAACATCAGCGTGGCTGCCTGTAACCACACGCAGGTAGTGCTCGCCGTGGGACGGGCCCTTTACTACCTGCAGATCCTGGCTGGAGAGCTCAAACAGATCAGGTAGTACACAGCCACACGCAGGGCAGACTGCGGGTTATTGATGTTTTCAGGATAGTTTTGACTTAAACTGATCAGCTTGGGATTTAGCTGTCAATACCCAACTCCTCTGCAAACAAGGCCACAGTATCAACACTATAAATCATGTATCATACAGGTACCCAAGAGCTGCTTTTTGTGAAACATGCATCACATTATATCAAAATCCAATGACAATCTCCAGAGCAAAAAGGAAGAAGCTGGCTTGGAAGTGCTAAACATGCAGTCCCTTCAGTGTCCTCTTGGTCTGAATCTAAAACAGAGTAAATCCCCACGGAGGCCTGTATACACGGAATAACCCAACTTTTTCAGCAGAATTGAACATGATCAGAGCCTGCCAAAAAAGTGCTTTAGCCCTGATAACGACCACAGAGAGCTGAATTTTTATTACTCCTCCCTTTATTGCCAAAAGTTATTTAATTATTCACCTCTCGTAGGATATCAAACCGGCTGTGATGCAGCGATAAATTACAAAATAGACAGTTTGGTGCAGTATTGAAACTTCTATGGAGTAAGTCTTTTACATTGGAAATGTATCCCTTAATGGACTTCTCTGTTACACTTCCATAAGTACAGAATAACAATGACTTTATACCGAAAACTTAGCGAGTTGGTATGAGTGTGAGCATGAGTGGTTGTCTATCTCTCTATGTGGCCCTGCAAATGACTGGCGACCGATTCATGGTGTACCCCGCCTCTGGGATAGTCCCAAACCACCCATGACCCCGAAAGGGATAGGCGGTATAAAAGATGAATGAATGAATGAACAAACAACCAAGCAAAAGTGACAGAGTTGAAGTTACTTTCTGATTGTTCCATGAAGGTTACGCTTTGAATCAGAATCAGAAATACTTTGATAATCCCCAGGGGGAAATCGCTTTGCGTTACAGTAACTCCAGTGCAAATGAAGTGGAAAGAGGAGATGAATAAATAGACAAAGTAAGAAAAAAATAAAGAAATCAAAATATGCAATATGTATACAGTTTTACAATATACAAGAATGTACACTATATACAACACAAAATAGTAAAATAATAAAAAAATAATAATAATAATAAAATTGAAGACTTTGTAAATACATCCACACCACTGCCCAAGCACCCAGGAAGGTTTCCGATTTGGTTTTCTTCCCGCTGAAGTCACACTTCTTCCTGCCTGCTTTGTGTCCCTCTGATCTGCCCTCTGTCACAGCCTCTGCAGTGCTAACCCTCCTCATTCACAGGTCAGCAAGTCCTGACGTGTCTTTGGTCCCATTAGCTTCTAATAAGGGCGTGCACTTTAGGTTTATGAGTGTAACAGACGGTGAGCAGAGGAGAGAGACAGGGATATCACCATGTTTTCTATGTGTGTCATCCTGTTGGCTGTTAACAGGGAGAATCACAGCATTGAATGATGACAGATGGCTGAAACGGTTACATTAGTGCATAAACACCCACCTCCCCTAGATTACAAATAATGATTCAGATCAAGTATTGTCAGGTTTTGGTCTATGATCCGCTACTTTTTTGTGCAGCTTGGAAATCACAAATTATAGATGCCGTTTTATGTGGAGTTTAACTTCTGTTGTTGCGGTATAGAAATGTGTATCGATCCAGCGGTTTTTTACTTGTGTTGTAAAAGAATCAAAATCCTGACAGCCAGACAACTCTGGATTATGGCCTTTGAATGATTGGTCGAGGGAGCAGTCCTGTAGGTGTCGCTCAAGCTGACAGAAGTCGGTGAGCTCGACCTCTTCCCAGTCCTTCCTCATGACTAAAGACAGTCTTTTCAGGCCTTCAGTAAATCACAGTGACAACAGCCACACCTGAAAATTAAACACAGCAGGTGATGTCAGGGTGGTTTCACTCTGCTGTGTCCACTGAATAAATCCATAAAACATAATTCAGGATCTCCTGGTGTCACATCACACAAAGAATGTCAACAGACACATGTTCTTGTGCTCTCTGGAATCATTTGACATTACATGGAATACCGTCTGTATTTCCACAACATTTTTTCCTCTCTTGGTGAGAGCAGAAGCAGAAGATATGAAACCACTCTCTTGATTTTACATTATGTCTGAAATTAAACCAGCAGTAATTTCTCACGAAGACCCTAGAACACAAGGAAGTGAGAGTCTGGTTCAGTCTGGACTGGAGACACAAGATCAGGCAACAAACAAACCTATGGGGGGATTGGAATGGTACACAGATGGTTTACAGAAGTTGTAAGAAGTTGCTGTCCTTCCTCTTCTTCTGCCAGAGCACAAGCGATGAATAAGTGGGCCCAAAGACAGAGGAACAGTCTTCTGGACTTTCCTACAAGCATGTTAAGCAATGGTACCAAGCAGATAAATGTTACATGTGGACAGAGACAGGCTGGTATGTTCTCTTTCCAAATTTGTCTCAAGCTTAGCCAACCTGCTGCCAGGCCCTGCTGTACATTCACAGTACAGATATGATAGCAGTATCAACTTTTTACCTCACTCTCAGCTGGGCTGTCTTTCCCCTCATATGTCAAACTACTATCTCACTGCCAACAGAAACTATCTTTGAGCCTGTTGATTGGCCGCCTGACATCTGAAACAGCCTCTGTGTTGTACACAAAGGATACTGATATGATACTACCCCATCTTTAATTTATCGTCTAATTTCATGTGCACGTAAAACATTTGTAACACTCCTGTTTCTGAGTGGGATGGAACGATAACACCTGTGGAGCCGTGGGCTGGTGCTGTGTTCCTAAATTGGCGGAAACATCTGTCAGAGAAAAGCCACTGTAGACCAGCAGACTCACGCTTTTTCTTTTTTAAACTCTTTGTTCAGCGTGAAGAATTTATAAGAGACGAGTCAGCTTGCTGTCTTTGGAGGTTAGACTTGCAGGTGCACAAACGCTCATGAGTTAAAAAAAGATACAGCATCTTTCCTCAGCTGTCTGCTGGCCTGTGATCTTTGCAAAGATGACCTTTATCATGAAAGCTACAGCACCTAAAAAGTTACAGGAATTTCAGACAACAGAAAAAAAAAGACTCTTTCGCCTTGTGCCTTATTCGTAAACGAAACCATCAACAAGACTTACTGTTAACAAAAGATTCTGACTGATTGAAGAGCAGGTTGATTTAATTTTTAAAGTGATAACACAGCAGGGGGAGAATATGGGAAACTCTGCAACAACAATACCCAACAGAGGTGCCATTTGAAAGTTAAATTAATCAAACATCAATTTATCGTATCCCCAATAGTCCAGCAGCTTTGCCTCTGAGTCGCAGTTCTTTGTGATCTTATTTTCCTGAACTATCTTACTCTTAATTTAATCTCTTCTTTTCAGATATGCAGTCAAGTTGGAGATAAGTGATTTACATCTCATTTCTCAAGTCTGAAGTGAATAGTGGAGTTGAACTGTAGGGTACACTTGATTATATTTCTGTCGTGTTGCTGTTGAGGTTTACCCCTGTGGCTGTCGTTGTGCCAGCACTGCTTAGGGACACAAAGCCCAGGTTACACACGCTTTCTTTTATTTTGTCAGAGTAAGACATATTGCTTGAAAAGGACGCCACCAGACCTCCTCGAAGCAAGAAGTGTTTGTTTTCAGCCGACGAGTAATGATAAATGATGGAAACATGGAGAAGACAGAGGGAAGAGTCTCATCACAGCTGTGAACCAGAGTTCAGCCAACACTGGTTTTCCACCTAATTAAACAAATCTGTATAAAATCACAATAACTGGGATTCTTCTGCATACTTACAACACATAGATACAAACATGATGATTGAATACCTGAATTTAAAATGATCTATATCTGAACACTGTGCATTTGAATGCATATGTGGACTGAAGTGGCTAATATAAAGACGTGTGGTGCTGAGGGAGTGGTTGTAATTAACAGTTGGAAACAGTGATGTTACTGTCTTCAACTGTTAATTGGAACAGTTGGAAACTACAGACGGTGGTTTCCTTTTTAAACACGCTGCATTCATGGATTGTCATACCCAGACAAGAAACACCCTAGTTTATTTAAATTATTCCACGATAAATTTGTGAGTTTGTAGAAACAGATAACAATTCAGGTTATTCTGGTGTTTTGCAGAGCTTTTGTTGTACTCAACAATATTTTTGTTAGTTTTATATGGATTAATACAGTACAGCTCTTTAAAGAGCACAAGATACAAAGGAAACACATCACAAACACCCCCTTTCCTTCAAGACCCCGTCTACTGCTGGATATTCCTATTTCTGTGCTTAAACAACAAATTCTGGAGCTAAAAAAAACAAGTGAGTGCTGAAATTCAGGTTTTGTAGATCTTAGAATATAAAGACGTTGAGTAATATAAAGTAAAAAGAAAATAAGTTAAATGAACTACTGTACGTTAAGAGAAATACATGTCGCTGAAATGTAGAGCTTTTTAAAATGTAAATTCAACTTTTTACTTAATTAAGGACCTTTTTTGTGGGAAATTTACATAATTTCTGTGAACATAACTCCTCTCTCTCGGCCCTAATGCCATTTTGAGGATTTTTTTTTACCTGCCCTGGTATCCTGTCTTAAATTTTAATGGTTGTGTTGTGAGGAAAGTGGAATCGTTATAAAGATTTAATCATTTTTCCTTAAGTGGTCCTGTCCTGTAACTTTTAGTACTTTTAGCGTGATGGCGACAGAGGTGGTTCAGTTTACATATTAAGGCTCATGGTTCATGTTGCAAGAGTTACTACTAGAGTTGTTGAGTATTTTAAAACTTTAAACAACACAGGTGAATCCCTTGACTCAAATCAGGCATCTACACAACCTGTAGTCTTCTTCTTTATGTCTGTGTGTGGTGTGGCAGAGATCCAGCTGGGTGCACTTGGGTCGTGTTAAGTGTTGTGCCCTCGTTTTTCCACTCTGCTTGCGCTCCTTTTAAAGGCTTTAAAGGAGCATTGCTGCTGCCCCTGCCCTCTCACCACAGTCAATGTGTATGTCTCTGATCAGAGGCTTGGAGGCGGAGAGGGCAGACCCACTGCAATTTATATATATATCAATAAATAGCAAAGCTGTTCATCATCTGATTACTCAATACGCTTAAGTCTGCATGGCGTATGGGAAAACTTTAACACCCTTACTATGCAGGCAGGCACCACGTTGCTGTCACCTATGTGTCAGCCTGACCCTACCAATGACAAAACGTTAAATTTAGAAGCATTCACCCTTAAGACAGTGCCTTGATCGATTAATCATATAAATTAACGATCAATCATTGAGTTGATCTTTTTTTATGCGATTGGCAGAAAATACGCAAAATAACTTGTTCTTCCTCATTGAAATGCTGGAGGATGGACACCTGTTGTCAGGCCTTTTTTAATAACATTAGATCAATTGGACTTTTGAGTGATCTACGTAATTCTTAACAATCAATTAATCAGTCGTCAGTTAATCATGCCCATTCCTAGTTTACCCTCACTTCTCCTCAGTTACACATTCACACATGCTAAAACAGACAGAGTAATCTTTCTCTCATTTTGTTTGAAGCAGAGGTCAGTGCTTCAAGAGAACAGGAAAAGATTGCTGCAGTCTGTTACTGCGGATCACCCATAGTTCAAACCATACAGGATGGTGGATCACGGACCAACAGTGATCTGTGCACCACTCATTTTAGAGAGGTTATACAGAGGAAATGGCAGTTGGATTTTGCAGTGTGTAGATCTTCGCCTCACATCTTGAGTCTGTGTGAACTCACAGCTCAGCTCCCGTAATGACCGTCAGACGTTTCTCAATTTTCAAACCATGTGGGAATAAAGGCAACCACAACCCGTGCACTGTTGCATTTGACACATTTATGGCAGTTGTTCTGAAGTTCTGCTGTGCATCCTAACCTTTATGGTACACTGCCACTTTCACACAAAGGGAAGGGCGGCTTGTTACTGTGTTTCTCATGCCCTCTAATCTTCCATCAGCACCACGGAGATGGAGCACGAGGTGGCTTGCCTGGACATCACACCTCTGGGGGAGGGAGGTGGTGAGTCACTGCTCTGCGCTGTGGGACTGTGGACCGACATCTCTGCCCGTGTGCTCAAACTGCCCTGCTTCACCGCCCTGCACAAGGAGATGCTGGGAGGAGGTAAGAGGGAAAAAAAGGAGCTGTAAGGGCTTGTGTAAGACAGGAAGATAGATGCAGGTGGGGTTGAGTTTTTCTCTGAATTCCAGCAGCACATACAAGGACTTAATGGGCCGCTTATTTTTATCCGACTAATGCAAGCCTTTTCAAAAAGCTATTACACACCCACCGCAAAATCTTAACACATAGTTGCAAAAATGTCTTTCACTCTCTGCTTTTTGCTGCTTAACAAACCACAGCCGGAGTACAAGAGCAGGAGAGGACACAGCTCAGTGCCTACTTAACCTTGACAGATTACACAGTATTTAGAAGCAGACAATGTTGGTAATTGTGGCTTTTTAAGTGCTAAATTAGAAGAAATATATATCTATTTGAATGGATATCACCAAAAATAGAAGGCAGTTTTCTTTTTCCTTACTTTTGTGTTCAAGTTTTAAAAAGGGAGACATTAATATTAAAGCTGCTGATCAATCAAGCAGGAATACATGCAAGTTCAGAAATCGTTCAGATCAGCTCAGACACGAAAAGAAGAAACTGGTATTGCTGTTTCACATTTTTGAATCAAAGTTGAAAGTGTAAACGTATTTCTCATTCAGTGAGTTGAAATGTGGTCAACGAATTCATTCCCACATTCTGAAGAAGCTATAATCAGCAGCATTGCAGAGGAACTTTGACTAGAGGATGGTTACTGAAAATGAAAATGTGACAAACGATATCTGATTAGCAGTTCTGGTTCAATTCTACTGCAGTGAATTCACTTATAAAGGAATGGTCCAACTTCCCTTTATAGTATTACTTTAAAAAAAGAAGGTTTTTAGGTCTCTGCAGTGAAAATGGATGGAAACTACCAGCAGGGATCAGTGGGAAAGAAAGAATAATAACCTCCATCATCTCTACATGTTATTAAATTAACATGGGATCAAGAATTCTCTGCAGCTTCCAGCTGAGATACAGCCTACATAGACTGCCCCGTTAAACTGTGATAGCAAATTACCTTCTACAAGTATTGTGCATTTTGAATAAACCAATTTTTGCGTGTGAATTGGGAGCTTTAAAGGTGATAGTAGGTTAAATTTGCTACTACTACCTTTTGCAGAGTGTGGAGCTATTCCTTGGAGAAGTCTGATGTATAAAGTCTAAGCAGGACAGGGTCTATTATGGTGAAGTGGAGGCTGATAGGGATCATATCTCCAGTTCCATGTATAGATGTAAATATTATCCCCCATTAAGTGCCTCATTTTTACTATGTTCCAAGTGACTACTTGAACATTAAATATGCTCTCAACCTGAATGCATTAAGCGCACCATTTAGACCCTCCAAAGTGTTTAAACTGCGAATGTTAAAATATGCAGGAGAGGACTTGACTACTTTTGGTTAAACTTATCAAAAAGTCAGCAGTCACTGGAGACTGGAGTTTCAGAACATGGTGAACCGGCACAGACAGGACTCTCACTCTCCAATTAGACTGCTGCATCCATGAGGAGGATTTCCACACTCTCACCCACAGTGTCACACTGTATTATCCAAGTGTATTTGATTGACAACTGCTCAAACTTTTCAGGCTGCTCTCTCACGCACTGCTTTAACAAGGACAGTATGGCTCCAATCAGGATACCTTCAAACTAGAAGCCTGGATCTGACCTGATTGTTGGGGACACTGGCCCATTACACAGTTTCCCTTTATCTGCATTAGCTTTGTTAACTTGAATGATTATTATGATAATGAAGATCAACTTTTCCTGTTTGTATTTTATTTCGGACACAACCCTAATGACTCTGTTTTTAATATCTTGGCTCACTTCCTTCAAATAACTGATGTAAGTTACCATGGAAACCTGCAACCTTTCAAAAAGCCACATTTCCAACACTGCTGCTCTGCAGAGAGACGGCTAGAGAGCATTTAATCAGAGCCAATGTTGTTTTGATGTAATTGGCCCGCAGTCAGAGAAACCAGCAGAGAAGACAGAAGACTTTTCTATTTATCCTGCAGCATTTAAATGTTTTTCCAAAAGTTAACAGCCAGCCCAGCCAATAACCTTTATTGATTTTTCTGACAGAGACATTTTTGCAGACATTTTTCACTTTGGTGTTTATCCATGAACCTGTGACTCCAGAGTACAGGAGGAATAAATCATCTGCCTGTGTGTATCCTCAGAGATCATCCCCCGCTCGATCCTAATGACCACCTTTGAAGGCAGCTACTACCTGCTGTGTGCGCTGGGGGACGGAGCTCTCTTCTACTTCGGCCTGGACCTGCAGACCGGTAGGATCTTCACACCGCTGTCACGACATAGCTTACATGAGAGCTTTTCTAACTTCTCAGACTCTTGAGGTCCTCCAGGCAAGGCCACAGGCATCCGTCTGAGAACATTTTCAATCTTAGAGAGGTATTTCATGGAGAATTATATAACCTCAAGCTCTATATTTGGATGTAATAGTGGAGAAACTCTGTGGTCTGAAGAAACTAGTGCGAGTTTGTTGGCCTGACAACAAAGAGGGATTTCTGTGATGCAATCAAATTGTGTGATTTCATAGACAGCGAACCTGAGTGCTGTCAAAGCTGGCAGGAGAATATTCCCTGACCAAAATATACAATTCGATCCGAACACATTCTTCAACCTTTTGTGTTGCTTTTTCATCACAGACATAAAGAGCTTTTGTCTGGGAACCTGCCAAGTTCCCAGGGTAGCGGTGAAATGTATCTACTTTATGTTTTTATCTTCCTGTTTTTTGATGGTTTTTAAATTGCTTTTGGTAAACACACGGGAACAAGTAGCTTTTTAAAAGACTGAAGATTTACTTTCGCTTTTGGAACATCAGAGAGTCATGCTGTCAATCAACAAGGAGCCAATTAATCCTCAAATACCTGTTTTGTATTTTTCCCTCATGGGAGCAGCACAAACAAGTTGCTCATTGAAATATCAACTTCCAAGTTAAGATGGGGAACTTTTTCGCAAACTGTGAAAGCACTGTCATTCAATTAGACTCAAACAAATCTTGTTTTTGAGCTTTGTCTTTGTCTTTACCAGCTGCTAAAACTCTTTAAGTTGTTAAATGCTCGACTGTGTCAAGCAGCTGCTCTATCTCTGAGTCTGCTTCGTGATGCTGAGCAGATAGTCTACACCAGGTTTTTAAGGCAGCTGTCAACTGCTTCTGAAACATTGCTGGAAGAGCAGTGAGCATGAACCAAAACAGAAAGTTGCATGGGAGCAGATCAACAGTGAGCTGAATTTGACTTCAAACTTCAGTTACTGAAACCTGGTGGGATCTGCAGACACAGTAGATAATTTTGTTTGCTTGTACTGCTCACCAAAATGTTGAATAATTTAGAACTGCTGGTTAAAATGAGACAAACAGAAGTTGAAACCTCCCAGAAAAACTTTTTTTATTAGAAACCGAAGCTCGATAATGTCTTTTTTTTTTGTGCCAAAAGTTTTTTCATTCCCCTAGATAGGGATGAGGGGTCAGTGTCAAAAATGTGAAGCCTCACCAGGTGAAGACATCCAAGAGTTTTCCGGAGCCGCAGTTTAAACTTTAAACTTTATAGAGTTTTCACAGACTGTACAGTTCTCGCTGTGAAGAGCAAACTGATTTTGACATGAAAGCACTTTGGGACAGGTCTTTTAATTGCTGCCTTATTGAACACCCGTCTGTGCCAACTAAAGCTGACTTCAGGGTCTGTCTTTTGACTTTTGAATCAATGCAGAACACAGAAAATAGTTTTGTCAAACCTTATGAGGCTTTATGTTCTGCTTGAAGAAATCTGAATTTGAAAACAAATTATTGACTTTGTCTTCTTTATTCTAAGAAAAGGGGATTAGGTAAATGTTGGATTTCTTCATCCTTAGTTTCTTTAGCTGGACTTTTTCAATCAGTTCTCGACAGAAGAGCTACTTTGGTAAAAATGAAAAAGAAAGAGTGAAGAAGTTTCTTTTTCACTCTTGGTTATGGCCTCACCTCACACAGTAAGTGGAAAAGAAAATCAACCCTGGAGTAAACCCCCCTGCAGACAGCTGAATGTTACAGTTAAATACAGAGGGATTGGAATATAATCAGATCATTTTTGTACCTTGTAAACCTTGTTAAGAACTTAATGAAGAACTCACTACCAGACAACAGCGTGCATATAAATGTACTCATTAATTCTGATTTAGTTTGAACGCTTCTGAGTCAATGTGTTCAGTGTTAAGACAGGCTGCATAAAAGAGCAACCAAGTACACACTTTGTTTATCTTCCATGACTGAATCCACACACTTATTGACGAGGCAGCAGGAAAGATAAATATATGGAGAAACATAAAAAGGCAGATGCTTCATGCTGGAAAAAACAGATGATTATTCTGCACATGAGGACAAACTTTATCCAGGAAGTATTTCTTTTAACCCCAGCGATGGTTCCTGCCCACGCCACCTCATGTCTACATCCTCTCTCCTTCCCGCTAGGCGCCCTGAGTGAGCGTAAGAAAGTCACCCTTGGCACCCAGCCTACAGTGCTTAGGACCTTCAGATCCCTGTCCACCTCCAACGTCTTCGCCTGCTCTGACAGACCAACCGTCATCTACTCCTCCAACCACAAGCTGGTTTTCTCCAACGTCAACCTGAAGGAGGTCAACTACATGTGCCCCCTCAACTCTGAGGGTTACCCTGACAGGTATGCGGCTAGACTCTGAACGTGCTGCTGCCTTTTATTGGACTGCAGCTGCACAGGAAAGTTTTGCTCTTTCATGTTTCCTCCTCAGGCTTTGAAGTCTTCAAAAATGCAGCCTTGTTTGTCTTTACAGACTGTCGGCTCTCACACAAATGCATTCCAATCTTTTCTTTTGATATGTGTAAAAAGGATGAATCACTCATGTTCTCTTTCTTTCTTTTACAGTCTGGCTCTGGCCAACAACAGCACCCTGACCATCGGCACCATCGACGAGATCCAGAAGCTTCACATTCGCACGGTTCCCCTCTACGAGTCTCCACGGTCAGTCTGCTGGTCTTAAAATTTAGTTAGAGGTGACCTGCAAATGAACATTTCACACCTTTAATCTGTGCAAACAGGCTGTGTGCTCTTCATGTTTGCAGTGAGTCTGCTCTTTCTCCTGTTGATTTTACCTTGTCAGTGCTGAATATGTCTTTTTTTCTTCCTTTTTTGAGGAAAAAGTCTTTAGTGACCATTTTTGTTGATCTGTCTTTAAATACAAAGATATAACATTGCAATGTTTGATGTCTACTCTAAACCTGGGCAAAGTTGAAACCTCTGGATGTGTTTTCCGGCGTCTCTGAGCAGCTCATGACCATAAATACGCGCGGCCTTGTTAAAGGACTTACCCACCTTTTCGTCGGAAGAGTCCGCCTCCCTGCTTATAGCTCAAACTCTGCTCTCCACTCTCTTGATTCAATATCCTTTAGAAAGTTGCTTCTAAGTGTTCTTTCGGTTGCGAAGGAAAGACACGACTATTTTGGTGTTCTGCAAAGATGAAGGCACCAGAAGACAGTGGGAGGTTTTCTATTTCATCCCTTCTGACCGCCAGAGGCGGTGCTTTAAGCACTGAATGATTCCCTTCGCGCATGCGCAGTTCGAGCATTTGTACCAAAATAGTCACGCGTGACCCCGGGATGAACCGGCAGAGGTTATTTATTCCGCCGGTCACCGAGGGTTCAGTCCCTTTTTCTTTCTCGCGCGCAGGTCACAAGCTTGCGATGAGAAGCATTTTTCTAAAAAAAAAAAACAAAAAACCTACCTTTAAACCGTATGTGAAGTCGCTGGTAGTCCCGTGGCCGTAGGTCGGGGTAGCGAAAATCGCCCTCCAGGGACTGTGACTTCCTTTGAGTTGTTCCTTATTTCTGCTGTTTATCTCCGACTGAGCGGAGCTTCACTAACTTCGTCGAATGCTGGGGCGTTCGCCCGTAAGGAAGGGTCGGCGTCCCCCTCTCCTCCGGACAAGGTAGGTTGCTGTTGCATTAAGCTTGGTTAGCGGACTTTAATTGTTTTACAAGTCACAACCTATGCTGGTAGAGGCCGTGTGCGCACCGTTTCCCCCCTGCATATGGTTGAGTACCGTGAATGTAAGCGTAACGCTGCGTATCGGTTACTTGCTGTAGCTAAAAGTCTGCTCGTTTCGTTCTTTTTGTTGAAAGAAAAAACCGAGGCCAAAGCTAGTTCTAAAAGAAGAAAGCCGGTACGCGGTGTCGCCATCCGGCCGCAGCCGGCGCTACCGTTGTTGTAGTCGGCCTCAGTGGTGTAAGCGGTTAGACCGCTGCCCCACTCTCTTTTGTCGTACTATCGGTCCACTAGCGCTTTTGAATAGCTTCATATTTGTTTGGTGTCATTAGTATAACCAGTTGCGTTAGCGCCCTGGTCACTTTAAGTGCTCTTGTGCTGGATAGCATTATTATTATTTATTTATTTATTTTTTGTGGCATTGACCATTATAACCAGTTGCGTTAGCGCCCTGGTCACTTTGAGTGCTCTTTTGCTGAATAGCATCAATTTGTTTGCATTGATCATTAAAGCCAGTCGTGTTAGCACCCTGGTCACTTAAGTGCTCTTCTGTTTGCTGAATAGCCTTATTTATTTACTTATTTACTTGCTTATAACTGTCAGCTTAATTGCGACTCAGTACTGGTATAGGCAGCGTTCGCGCTCCCTCCCCCCAGTATAAGCAACCTTCCGTCCAGCTAAAGCTAGCCTCCGCTGGTGCAGGCAGCGTTCGCGCTCCCTCCCCCAGCTCACGGCGTCTATTGTCCGGCGGCCAGTAGCGTCAGCGCCCTGGCCTAGTTGGGACAGCTAGGTAGGATGGATAGCGCCCACTACTGCTCTTCATGTCAGGTTGGCCTCCAGCCTGACGACGGACATGACCTCTGCCCAGCCTGCCTCGGACCCGAACACCTCAGGGAGGCACTTGAAGGGGACCCCTGCATGAACTGCAGCTACATGCCTCAGGAGGCAAGGCTGGCCAGGCTGGCGGAGGTAGAGCCGCCACAGGGTGACGACGACCTCGCCCCATCGGGCCAAGCATCCACGCCCAGGACCAGGCGCTCAAAACGCCGGGCCCATGTAGCCACTGCTGCCCCCGCTTCCAAAAGGACATCGAGGTCTGACCGCTCCCGCCTTTCATCAAGGGTGGAGAAGCTCTCAGCCGAGCTGGACCGCATGAGGTCCATGCTTCAGGCCCACCAGCCTGGGTCCCCTTCGGAGGAGGCTCGGGGGCCCACTCCGCCCATGCCACTCCTAGTTCCAGAGGAAGATACACTCTCCCTAGCGGCATCGGCTACTCACTTTCATGAGTATGGTGACCGTGATGGCGGCGAGGGAGACGGGGTCTCCCAGGTGTCCGATCAGGGCTCTCACTCCTCAGCTCAAACTTTGCTGCCAGAGGAGGACGGTTCCATGCGTGCCATCCTGCGGATGGCCCTGGAGCAATTAGGTCTGCCCATACCGCAGCAGGCAGAGCCCGCCCCTGCGAGTGCCTTCTTCAGGCGCAGGCCAACCTCCACTGCATTCGCCGTCCCGCATGCGGAGGACTATATAAAGGAGCTGCATGCCTGCTGGAGAGACTCCAGGGCTTGCTCCCGCCTCTCGGCAGACGGTCGTACCCTGGCGGCAATGCACGACACCGCAGGGGTCGGCCTGGATCACATGCCGGCAATCGAGCCCAGCATTGCAGCCCTTATTGTCTCCCCCGACGAGGCTCTGCGACGGGATACAAGGTGTCCTCGCCCGCAGTGCAGGCTGACGGACGACCTGCTCATCAGGGGCTACGATGCGGCGGCACGTGCTGCTAGGATCGGGAACTCCCTGTCACACCTCCTGCTTGCCCTGTCAGCGTCCCTGCAGGAGGGCTACTCTAACGGGGAACCCGTCACCTTCTGTGATGCGGCACTTGAGGCATTCGGCCTTATGTCGCGAGAGCTAGGAAGGACAATGTCCTACCTGGTACAGGCTCGACGCCAGGTCTGGCTCTCCCAGTCGGGCTTGACTGAGGCATCCAGGAAGACGCTCCGGGCTCTCCCTGTCGAGCCAGGAGCGGTTTTTGGCCCACGTGCCCAAGAGGCGCTGGAGCAGACGATACAGGCTGGGCAGACCAGGCAGCAGCTTCTGAGTATGCGCCGCATGCCACCCCCCAGCAGGCCTCCCTCTGGCAGGGGCAGGGGCCCCCCAGCCGCCTCTGGAGCCCGGCTGCCAGTAGCTCAGAATAGAGGTCAGCGTTCTCAGCGGCCTACGCAGAGGCAGACCCGGGACTCGCGGGACTCCAGCCGCCTGCCTTCTAGGCAGTTTCGAGCCCCGGACCCTGGTGGACCCCCCGCTTCCAGGGCCCCTAGGGGCCGGGGGGGCAGACGCTGAGCCCGGGGGGCCGGCCGTCGGATACTTTACACAGCAGCAGCTCAGATGCTGGGCTGCTCAAGCTTCAGACCCGTGGGTTCTTACCACCTTAACCCACGGGTACAAGCTGCAGTTCCGACGCCGGCCCCCCACAGGAAGCCGGGTCAGGATTACCATCATTGCCGACCCGGCAAAAGCCCTCGCTCTCGACCAGGAGCTATCCGCCCTCCTGGCCAAGGGCGCCATCGAGGAAGTGGACCCGCTGCTGCATCCCAGGGGGTTCTATTCTACATACTTCCTCGTCACCAAAAAGACCGGCGGATTCCGGCCCATCCTGGACTTGAGGGGACTGAACAGGTACTTAAAGACCTTGCCTTTTCGTATGCTGACTACAGCGGGTGTGCTACAGTCCATTGTCCGAAACGAATGGTTTACATCTGTCGACCTGAAAGATGCCTACTTTCATGTTCCCATCGCGAGGCAACACCGCCGGTTCCTACGATTTGCCTACAGAGGCCGCCACTGGCAATTTCGTGTGCTCCCATTCGGGCTTTCTCTCTCCCCAAGAGTGTTCAGCAGGGTGGTGGCAGCTGCACTCCAACCTCTGCAGTCCCGGGGCACCAAGATACTGCCATATTTGGACGATTGGCTGATCTGCGCTCCGTCCCAGGCGCAGGCAGCCAGGGAGACATCACAGCTCCTGTCCCACGTGGCGAGCCTTGGACTCAAAGTAAATGCAGAGAAAAGCTGCCTGGTACCGTCCCAGAGCGTAACCTTTATCGGTCTGGCCCTAGACACCAGAACGATGGTGGCACGTCCGTCCCCCAGTCGGGTGGACGGCATCTTAAGGCTGTTGCCAGCCTTCAAGAGAGGCAGGCGACTGCCGCTCCTCACCTTCCTCCGCCTCTTGGGCACGCTGACGTCCGTTGCGGCCGTCGTGCCGCTGGGCCTGCTGGCGCTACGGCCCCTGCAAAGGTGGCTGAACAGTTTCCACCTAGACCCAGAGCGACACAGGCACCGGAAGATCGTCGTGTCACGGCAGTGCCTCCTTGCCCTAGCCACATGGAGGGACAGGGCCTACATTGTAAGGGGTGTCCCTATGGGGGCTGTCCCATCCCGCAGGGAGACCGTTGCCACGGACGCCTGCCCCTTGGGCTGGGGCGCAGTGTGGCAGGGCAGGACAGTTCGGGGACAGTGGTCTGTGGCAGACCACAGCAACCATATCAATGTGCTGGAGCTGAAAGCGGTGCACTTGGCCCTAAGGCACTTTCTGCCTTACTTGGCAGGCAGACATGTTCTGGTTCGGTCGGACAATACTTCGACCGTTTATCACATAAATCATCAGGGCGGTACAAAATCTGCGCGGCTGCTACAGGCGTCAAGGGACCTCCTGACGTGGGCAGCCCCTCGCCTGTTGAGCCTGCGGGCCATGCACATACCAGGAGAGCAGAACCAGGTGGCAGACCTTCTCTCCCGCCGGAAGCCTCCATCAGGAGAATGGTGCCTTCACCCAGATGTGGTGCACACCATATGGAGCCGCTTCGGCAGGGCAGGGGTCGATCTTTTCGCCTCAGAGGTGTCGACCCACTGCCCGCTCTGGTTCTCCCTAGCGGAGACAACCAGCCCTCTCGGCCAAGATGCGTTCTCCCACCCCTGGCCGAGGGCACTCCTCTACGCTTTCCCACCTCTCCCTCTAATTCACCAAGTCCTTCAGAGAGTAGCTCAGGAGGGCCACACCGTTCTCCTGGTGGCCCCTTTCTGGCCAGGGCGAATATGGTTCCCCCTCCTCCACCAACTCTGCCACGGGACGCCATGGCGCCTCCCTGCCAGGACGGACCTGCTTTCGCAGCTAGGGGGGCGGCTATGGCATCCGGACCCACAACGCCTCCAGCTGTGCGTTTGGCCGTTGGGGGGCCCGAGCCGCTGCTGAGTGGCTGTGTAGAGACGGTTCAACATACCATCTTGAACGCGAGGGCACCATCCACCAGGCTGCAGTACGAGAACAGGTGGCAGCTGTTCTCTAACTGGTGTAGAGACCGGGGCAGGGACCCAGTTCACTGCCCGGTGCCTGCAATCCTAGAGTTCCTGCAAGGTCTCCTTGATAAGGGCCGGACCCCTTCGACGTTAAGAGTGTACGTGGCAGCAATATCCTCCCGGCACACTGGTGTCAATAACGGCACAGTTGGGAGCCACCGTCTGGTGTCGCTCTTTCTCAGGGGGGCTCAGAGATTAAATCCTCCGAGAGCCCCAAGAGCACCAGCATGGGACCTCAATCTCGTACTGGACTCCCTATGTAAGGCTCCTTTTGAACCCTTGTCTCGCACAGAATTGAAGTGGTTGTCCTGCAAGACAGCCTTTCTTATAGCCATCACCTCGGCAAAGCGCGTCAGTGAGTTGCATGCCCTGTCAGTGAGCGATTCGTGTCTGAGGTGGAACCCGGACGGATCAGGTGTCACTCTATGGCCCAACACGGCCTTCCTACCAAAGGTACTGTCGACGGCACACCTGAACCAGCCTATTAGGCTGGCCCAGTTTAGCCTTCCACCGGGAGAGAGGACAGACAAGCTGGAACTGCTGTGCCCGGTGCGGGCCCTCAGGGCCTATATCGGAGCCACTGCACGCATTCGCCGGTCAGATCAGCTATTCGTGTGTTATGGTGGCCCAAATAAAGGCAGTGCTCTGTCAAAGCAGCGCCTGTCCCACTGGGTCGTAGACACGATCAGCCACGCCTATCAGGATAGTAACCATCCCACGCCATCCAGGATACGGTGCCACTCAACGAGGAGTGTCTCCACCTCATGGGCTGCCCTTAGGGGAGTTCCCCTGGAGGAGATCTGCTCTGCTGCCTCGTGGGCGTCATCATGCACGTTCGCAAGATTCTATAGGGTGAACGTGGCCACTCCCCACCCATTGGGTGTGGTTCTCCTTCCAGAGTCCTCCGATTCCGCCCTCTGAGGTTTGTAATTGGGGTTCCTCGTGACTTTGCTGGTATAAGTCATTCAGTGCTTAAAGCACCGCCTCTGGCGGTCAGAAGGGATGAAATAGAACGAAAGTTACGTATGTAACTAAGGTTCTATGAATCCCGAATGACCGCCAGAGCACTCCGTCACTCAGAACCCTCGTGTTCTCGCGAGAAAGTTCTGTAGGGACTGAACCCTCGGTGACCGGCGGAATAAATAACCTCTGCCGGTTCATCCCGGGGTCACGCGTGACTATTTTGGTACAAATGCTCGAACTGCGCATGCGCGAAGGGAATCATTCAGTGCTTAAAGCACCGCCTCTGGCGGTCATTCGGGATTCATAGAACCTTAGTTACATACGTAACTTTCGTTTTATGTTTTCGGGACAACTATGTAGGTGTTTGTGCTTCCCACTTCACTGATAACTGCTTTGTAGATTGAGGCCAGTGTGAGCTGGCTTTGCATCTCAACTATTACTAAAAACTTGAGACTGTTTCATCCATAAAGAGTGTCCATGAACCGCAAACTGTAACATCGTAATAGCAGCTCATTTAATGAAAGCAAATGTACATTGAAGAGCTGTTTACCAGCCTCAGATGTTATCTGTAAGGGCAAAACTCTTGAGGAATTTCTTGACTAAAAAGCTTTATGAACATTAACACCCACAAGTTATATCTAACTTTATATCAGTGGAAAAGCAGCATAAACACAGTGTTTCAGACAGAGGCTGAAATTAGGGCATTCATAGACGTCAGCATAAGATAAATGAGGAGAGTTATTCTGGGTTGCGAGCCATGCAAAGCTGCTCTGAAGGTGTCCCAGACTGTCAAAGTGAAAGGTGAAAATGATTGTAATAGGTCTTCTTTAAAAGTTCGACAGCCATGTTATCCACAAGATTTCCAGCATATTTTCGAGCTCAGCTCACCCCTGCATGTATGATTCATGTTTGCCAGCGTCTTCCTTCAGCTCCCCCCCTGATCCTTTTTCTCCTCCTGTTCACTCCCCACCAGGCGGATCTGTTACCAGGAGGTCTCCCAGTGTTTCGGGGTTCTGTCCAGCCGGGTGGAGATTCAGGACGTGAGCGGCACCACATCTGCTGTGCGCCCCAGTGCAAGCACTCAGGTACTGTAGCCCCATGCTGTTGTTTGCATGATAAACACCCAAAGGCTTGTTTGTTTTGCACTCTTATCTAACCAGGCGTGCTGACTAAGAGCATTATTTATAACATTAACTGGAAGCCTGTCAAGACAACACATGTCCTTTCCTGTTAGTCACTTAGCATGTGTGCTGGAACTGCCTTGAAATCTTAACACTCTTTGGTTCATTGACTTTTGTCTCCAGAAATGTAATCTCAGTATAACTGTTGCTCTTACTGGCTGAAAATTAGCTCCTTAAAAATATAGTTTGTAATAAAAACTGTAATAATGATAAAATTACACACTTAATTTTTCTCCTTTTGTGTTTCAGCGCTCCTCCCGCAACAGTTTAGCAATACAAAATGCAATGAACGAAAGCAGGGTGTCATTTTTTAAAAATGTTTCTACTCAAGCTAAATTTAGCTGCAGGGAGAGTTTAAATCAAGTTCAAATTGAATTAAACATAATCGTTTTTTGTCTAATATGCAGTCAAGGAATTAGAAACAATGGCATCAGCTGCCAAGAAAAAAATAGTGGGCGCAACATTTAAAAGACATTTGTACTTGGAGAGCTAATCAGAAAGTCCTTTCAGGCAGATTTACACTGACAGCATGTGTTGTGTCCACTCAGCCCGGCTCTACAGCTTCCCCCAGGGGGACAGGGGCATACTTTATTTGGGATTGTATTTATTGCTGCAGCACAAAACAAAGCCGAGCCAGAAGCCTCTCACCGAAAGACCGGAAAGATGTTTACCTGATTTTAAATGGTGCACATCTGCTGCTACAGATGGTGCCGACTGTGCTGTCGAACTCGGGCAGAAATAGAGATTTGAATTGCTTTACAGCTTTTATTAGGTTTCTCTTCGCCTCTATCTCTCCCTCCCGTCCTCTCTGATAAAATCGACATCTCTTTGCAGGCTCTCTCCAGCAGCGTCAGCTCCAGCAAGCTCTTCCCCAGCAGCACTTCTCCCCACGAGACCTCCTTTGGAGAAGAGGTGGAGGTTCACAGTCTCCTCGTTGTGGATCAGCACACCTTTGAAGGTGAGACAGCTGGATGAACATTTCTATTTGATCTTACAGAGCTGGTGCTTTCGTATGGAGCCTCTGATGGTGACATATTGTTCGCTCGGCTCGAAGAATAACAAGGTCAGAGCGGGAAACCCTCTCCCTGTTATGGTACTGACAGTCATGTCTTAACTAATAAGGGGTGCGAAAACATTTCAACAGATAATCCTGAGTTAATCTGCTTTTACACTTCATGAGATAAGCTTTTGTTTTCATCATAACTTAACGTCCAAAACTTAAGCGGGCTGTTAAGCATCATGCGGGCTCTCTCTGTGGCAAATCCTACACTTTAATAGAAGGTTTTTCCTCCACCCTGTTTTGCAATGCAGATTTGACTGCACCAGACCTCCCTATGGAAACCAGAGAGTTACCACATCTGCATACATTACAGTATGGTGTATGTTAATGATATGTAAATGAAGGAGTGTTTCAGCAAAACATATCCACAGCTGACTCCACTTTATCAATGTGTGATCAGATAACTGCTTATTTATGTGTCATGGGATTATCATCAATCAGATGTGGAAACATCCTCATGCGCAGTAGTTTAGTGTATTAGTACACTATAGATGCTTATCTGTCTGTCTGTGAACACGGTGCATTGATTCACGTCGCTGCGCTGGTTCCTCTTATTGAACGAGAGATGCAGGGGTCATGCATATACATAGTGGAACCAATTTACAGCTTACAGCTACAGCCCATGAATCTGCTGTTGTTTTTAACAAGGCTTTGCATTCTGCACTGCCTCTACTTAATCATCTTAAGCTATGTCAACAAGGTTTTAATGGATGCCTAATTTTCCCTCACGTCTTCAGGTAATGGAACATGTGATTCACAGCCATACCTTTTGCAGAGCGCTTTACTTCTTATTTTTATCGGTAGGCTCTTGTTTGCTGACTAAATTAAGCCCAAATACCTGGGAGAAAAAATTTAAGCGAAACCAGAAATTTAACTGAAACAAACCAGAGAGGGGGGGGGGTATGAGCAAATAGGAAAATGTCTGTGCGGAGCTAATCAGAGGGGATTCAGTGACTGAGAACACCTGTTCACGTGCGCCAAAATCATTAAAGCCTTGACGTGGGAACATGACAACTCTCAGTAAAAAAGGTGAGGAAACATTCGTGAGCGCAGGTTGTACTAAAATGACTGCATTAGTTTTCAGGTATAAAGAGGAAACTCACGTGTCAAAGTTTCAGTCACACATGCTTTAAGTGCGTGTTCTCGTAGCAGTTTTGACATCATCACACTTGCCAGAGTTGTGAGTGCTCACAGTTCTCCTCAACAAGGTTTCTTTTCTTGGTATATGATGTAGGGGATGTATAAATGCAAGCACTTGTAGCACTTGTCATGGTGTTCTTTCAATCCAGGTGCAGATGCATATAGATCGGTATACATGCTGAACTACAGGTAATTGAAACCATAAGCCCCTCTCCCACAGACAGATAGGGAAACAGGAGCGAACCACACACCCCGCATACATAGCCCATCATGCAGGAGGCTACTGGAGCATCAGTTTCAGTATCGTGACTTTCTCGACAAATCCCCTCAAAACATACTGAGCTCTAATCCTTTTTATCAGTGATCAGTTTATGCTGTGAACTCACACACAGTAACTACCTGTGATCATCTACCGCAGTGAGGGAGCAGAAAGTGCACTTATTGATGAGCACAGATTGTGTCACCATCAGGAGGAGAAAATAAAAACATATCAAACCTTTTGCTCGGCCATGAAAACCTGACTATACAAGACTTAGAGTTTGCTATCCTGTCTAAATCCTAAAAACCTGGAGTAGCTGATGTTCCGTGTCGTAACGTGGTGTGCGTAAGCTCGGCCCCACAAAGCTCTGACACGCAGACAGCAGAAGGGCTTAAAAACGAAACTGTGGTTACACCAAAACACAATAAAAACCCAGCATAGTTTATTTTTAAGTAGGTCACCATCGGGTCTGCCAAAAAAATCAACTTGGAACAAATATTGAACATGACATGCAAATGTTTGGATGTGTTCCAAATTTGCAAAGTCATCGCTGACAGCGTTTGTCTGAGCCTCAGTCGTACCACACATCTCCTCCTCAGCCGCCACTGCTGCACGTCGGTAAGAAGCCATCAGGCGAGCCCGCAAATCTATCATGAAGACAGCTGCTTAATTCAAAGTTGACAAAGAGCTCCATCTTTTATTTTCACACCTGCGCTCTGATCCCAGAATATTTCAACACTGAGTTTCTCAGATGCTTTGGTGCTGTGATTGTCCGCTCAGTGCTGCTTTGCTCGACCACAACCACATTTACTGAGGTCAAGAGCGCACAGATTGGCAAGCGCCTCCTGCTGGATCATGTGACAAACTACTTCAGGCGTACTTCTCCCCCGGAGTTCGAATGAAGGTTCCAGTTTGTAATAAAATCTGACAGCCCTAGTGATAATGTTGTTATGAGTGTTTACATGTTTTGTGCCAAATGAACTTCAGGGATTCACTCACCAAACAGAAAATTTGCAGCTTGGCGCTAAATTGGTGCTTGGCTGTGTTAATTTGAAACCCTGCATTATACTGTTTTTATTTTGTTTTATTCTGTGTGTCTTTGTTTCCAATCCGGGTCGAACCAAACCCTTTTTTCCCCTGTCAGAACTCTAGAACAACATGTGCTCCCTAATTCGTCATCATCTTGAAATCTCATTTTTCTGGTCATCCATATTGTTTCATTCTTGCCCTGTGAGGCTTTGCTGCATCAATGTTTCTGCAGGTTCCTAGAAATTCTAAATCAAGTATTTTTCCATAACCAAATGAGCTTTGGCTTGTTTTCAGAAACACAATTTCAATGGGGAAACTCTGTAATAAATCAGCATCCTCAGTTTCAGAATGCTTTGTGTTCTCCTGTGACCTCATGTTAGGTCAGCCGCTGAGCTAGTCCCTGCCTTCGTCTTATTGATCCTGTTCTTATCATCCGTAGCCGTGCACAGCATAAAAGAGGACATGAGCTCAGATTTCCTGATAAAAACATGAAGGGGCTTCCTGTAGATATCAAAGGATTTACACTTCCTCAGAGGAAAGAGACTTCACTAAACCTCCTTGAGTAGTATTTCTTATTCCCTTTAACGGACTAATATTTGTGGAGCTGGAAAATAGCTTTGCTGCTCTATAATCATCACGGGAAGTACATCATTTTCTTGACTCATATTCTTTCTCTATCACGCCACGGGACAAATACTCCCACCCTAATTATGTAACCTGGGTTATTGCCTTGATTCACAGAGCCACCAGGGCAGTGTCATAACTGTTGCAACATTTGGACACCTGAGTACAACCACACTCGCAAATGCACGCATGAAACCCAGAGCTTACCCAGACCGTACCCTGAGGAGCTACATGTGAGAACATAAATGCCAAAAACAATCCAAGTGGACATCAAACAGATCTCATCCCCCCAGTGTCCAATGACCTCACGTGTGAACACAGCGGGCTATTTTTACAGGACTGTCGACAAGTTTCTCCCTTGTGGATTGTCTTTGCTTTCCTCTTTTTTAAGCTGATTTTGCAAACCCGTCTAATTACCCATAAACAGTCATCAGTAAAGATGTGTCCTCTCTGCAGGAGCTCTAGCCTTGTCAAATTAAAGCAAAGTATTTTTAACATGTGAGAACATTTCTGACACAATCTGCCAGTGACATTCTGGCAGCTCACATGAGAAAACAGCTGTAGTTTATGGCTTGAAGGGAGTCTAAATGAAGAGTGAATCAATAGTCACTACAAGAGTGGGGTTTTTATTTAAGTTTAAGTTCCTGTGAGATACTTTGTTTGTGTTAATTTAGACAATAAGGGCCTTGTCGATATTGTCTTGTATGTAAGTGCAAATCTGTGTTTTTTCTCCTCATCCCGCTTTCTTTCAACCATCAAGCACATCGCTCATCATCAATCTCGTCCTGTGGCAGATTTCTGTTTATCACCACTCATCTGCAGCAGTTTATGTTCCCTCATTCTACTCAACAGAAATGATTAAGGCCAATTAACAATAAGTTTTCATGGCCTTTTCCCCCCTCTAAACCTGTGCAAATAAGACAAAATGGAACCATCTTATTCATGCAGCACATGCAGAGACCACTTTTGTTTGTGTGCACTCAAATGAGCCATTAATTCATCTATTTGAGGGAAAATTACTTCATGTGTTCAAATGAGCTTTGTCAAAACTAATTCCCAAACAAATCTGCTGGTGAATTATCTAAAAATATTTTTTCCGTAAATACAGTCTTACTCATTACTACTACAGTGATTGTCAGGAGTCGTTGCACATGTGAATGAGTCCCTCTCTTTGGATCTGGTCCAGCTGCACCTGCATATGCCACTCAGAGCACTTTACAGTCGTAGTTTTACGAACAGTTGGAGCTAGATTACTTAATAAGACATGTCACAGATCCTCCAAACTCATCGTCCGTATGTGTATAGATATGAAATCTCAGGGTGAGATTGCTCAGCGGAGAGCGGAGCTGCTAATGGCTCATTTCCACTATCAGACACAAAGCCAGATTAAACTGCAGAGAACCGAGAATGTAGTGGGCGTGTGTGAGCTTGACTATCATCGGCCAGCTTGTTCTCGAGTATGGAAATCTCAGATTCTCTAAGGACCCATAAGGCATCATCTGAAAATACAGCATCTGGGAGTGTAGCAATAGGCAAGGAACAAAGAACTTAACACCCTAACTTCCCTTTGTGCACCGACTTTGATGGTCTGTTCAGAAACTTGAGAAATGAGAATGGAGTTGGAGTTTTGGGACAGTGGCTGCAGCAGATATCTGCTCAAACTAAAAGTGCTGTTGCATGAATGATGATGGATCCAGGTTAGCATCCCAGCGGATTGCGTTCTGCCTTCTTTTACTCCCCTACACTGTTTTCTTGGCTGATTTCCTGCGTACAGCCAATACCCTTGGCACACTAGAGGACAATTATTCTCAGAAAAGGCCCAGAAAACCAACACACCTCCGTTTCTGAAATCAAGCCCTGTGCCTGTATTTTTATGTAAATTATGTGCATATAGATGAAAGACTGAGCGATATGTCTATCATGCGGTAAAAATTCAGTATTTGAATTCTTTACACTGAAAGAATAAAGTGGGAGAACAGACAAAAAGTACATAAAAGAGCAGGTAAATATAGATCCTTTTCAGGAGGAGATAAAGAGTTCTGCAGTCTCAGCTTTTAATGTATGTGTTTTCTTTTCCCCTCAGTTCTACACGCCCATCAGTTCCTCCCCAGCGAGTACGCACTCAGCATGGTGTCCTGTCGTCTGGGAAAAGACCCATCAGTGTATTTCATCGTGGGCACGGCCATGGTGTACCCAGAGGAGGCTGAGCCGAAGCAGGGGCGCATCGTCGTCTTTCACTACACTGATGGTCAGTTAATGAGCTTCTTTTAGCTTTCCCTGTTAACACGCACAAACTCAAGAGCAAGTTGGTGATTTTTCTCTCAACTTTATCCTGTTTCTCTCCTCGTCCAGCTCATTCTGCTTTCCTGCCTCTCTCCTTCACACTGTTTCATTTTCTCCTCCCCTCCTCTCTGCCCTGTTTGTCCTATGGTGCTCTTGTTTCCCTCCTCACTTAATCATTCTCTTATCTCTCCTCATCAGACTTTCCTCCTCTCACCTCTACTGATTCCCCTCATTTTCTTTCATACCTTGTCCCTCTCAAGGTGCATGGTTTGCCTTTTATTTACCCTCCTTTAGCTTTTTGTTCTTTCCTCCACCTTATTCCCGGAGCCTCACCTCCCTTTATTTCACTCTTTCCTCTGTCGCGTTCACAGTTGCAGAGCTGTACTCTGTGTTCTGCCTCACTGAGATCTTGTAGGTGCTAGTTAAAGTTGACATTGAGTGTGTAACACTTAAATTGTTCACTGAACGGACAGGCTGACAGGCATGCTGCTCTTTACCTGCAGGTAAACTGCAGACCGTGGCTGAGAAGGAGGTGAAAGGAGCTGTCTATTCTATGGTGGAGTTCAATGGCAAGCTGCTAGCCAGCATCAATAGCACAGTAAGTGATGCTTGAGAGTTCAGCAAGACGTATACAGCACCTGACTTATTTCTTTTTACCTTGCTTTTATGTCGTACAATGTGTGTACAAATCTGAAGAGGAAAGTGCAGCTTGATGTTTGAGTTTGTTTCAAGGTAAACTTTGAGGTGAGTCGATTTGTCAGACGATGTCTTTACTGCACTCACTGTCAGAAAGCCTGAAGTCTTGGTGGTGCACTTGAAAGCTTTAGTCTGAACTCTTGATAAGGTGCTGACCACCGGCTTCTTTCAAGTGCACCTCCTGTCTGTGTGTCAAGAGGTGTTTTTTTAGTTCTGACGTAGTTGTGTTTACGCTGAACTATTGACATAGATAGATATCTGGACAGAGAGAGCATCAACAGCACTCGGTTATTACTTTGGAAGACTAGCAGTTTTTTTGTTTCGACTGAGTAAAAATGGTGACTGCAGTGTGAGGATTTATCTTACCTTAGTATTAGGACTATGAACATCTAAAATTACCAAAAACTGGAACCAATACAGTCACAGTGAACTGGTTCAGACTGACAGGGAGTTTTAAACTGGTTTTGAAACAGACTGGAATTAAAACCAAAACACACGCTGTTCAGTGCTGCTGCTTGTCCACTGCATCCTGGTTTTTGGGGGTTTTGCCTCGTGCTCATCTCCAAGAGCCAGAAAACCTTTTTCTAGTGAAATAACATAAACTGAAAATCACCACTGATTTACCTTGAAAAGATAGGAAATTACTCTTTTGTTTTAACACAATGAGAGGTGCAAGAACAAAGTGATTGGTTTTGATAAAACTCTTCATAAAACAAATGAATAAATGATGAAACAGAAGAGTGAAAACTTTTGATTTCATGTCACTGGATTAGGTTAAGTCTTTCAACAAATTCACTTAGCATTAAAATTAACATGAGCTAGACACCAGTAGTAGAGTCATTCATTTGTTATTTGTGGTGTTTTTACATCAGAAGACACTGAACTCCACTCCTCTTGAACCTCAAGCCTTTTTCTCACCAGCCAGCCAACCTCTGGATGACTTTTCTATCTTTGATTATTAAAGGAGAATGTGACCTGCTCAAGAGGAGAAGTGCCTCTTCAGTCTTTTCAAAATACCAACAACCTAATAGATTTATCCCACATAGACTGCTCTGTGAAATCACTTGACTTACAGTGTGAATGAACCAGCTTCCCCCCTGACTGTCCTGTAATGCCACGCTCATCCACACTGAGCCATAGATGGATTACAAGGATTAAAAGCCTGAAAAGGAGGCTTTATCTGGAGATATCGAGAATCAAACAGTCATGGTTTGCAGATTTCTGGAACTAATCTCAACGTCCAGTGATTGATTGGTTACCACTTCCTCTCTGTATCATTTTTAACAAATCACTTCCCCCATAATTCCTCAAAATACACTTCAGAATTACTACTGAGGACTTCAACTTGTGTTTCCTGAAGCAGCAGCATCACCACAATCATCAGAACCGATTAATCAAACAAGTGATAACTTGACAGTTTTACCATCTGACGTTGGCCTCAGTGGATTACAATACATGACTGAGGGGGAACGTCGCACCATTTACTCGGAAAATGCTTTTTCACTTCTTAAATATAAATAATATATAATATTAAATATATTTTTTTTATTTTTTTGTTGCATTTTTTGTCTTTATTTTATTAGATTGGACGACTTAAGAGAGAACATGGAACTAAAACACCAACTAGGCACACACTTATGAAATAACATGCCTGACTTTTTTCATATCGTGTCCAAATGCCTGTAATAAAAATTGTGTCTGTCTAACTGTTACCAACAATTTAAAATTAAAGACAGAACAACAGTTTAGGAACAAACAGCATTAAAAACACTTAAACATAAAAACACATCTGTTTTTCACCCACCCTGCAGTCAATTTCTGGATAAAATATGTAAATAAAATATCTTGCATATCCACATCTTGATGGCTTATCTTTGCACTAATTACACAAAATAACCCTCCATCCTTACTTAATTATTCGATCACTTCTTAATCACCCTTCCCTGCTGACTGTGGCAAAAAGAAGCATTTCTGATTTTCATTCATATCACCTTTATTCGTTTTAATGAACAATACATGAAATAAATAGCACATTAGTTTTGAGGTTTTCAGGTGGACTGAAAATTCCAGTTTCAGCAAAATAAATAAGAACGTGTGAGTGAAGATAAGATTTCCTGCTGGGAAAATGAAGCAACAAAATGTACTTGAGAAATAAATAGGTTTCAGGTCAGTGTGTGGGGTGTACATATTGATGTACGCATATAGTCAGTAAAAGTAGAGGGATCTTATTTCTATGATGCTGCGAAAGAAGATACTGCCTAAGGAAGGCTTCTTGACTAAAAGGATTGATAAATGAAATGCAGTAATGGAGAGCATTAGAAGAAATAAAAGACAGAAATCAAAGTAAACACAACACAATATGCTTTTTTCTCACACTTGAAGGAAAGGGAGGTAAGATGTACTTAAAATGAAGCTTTGATAAAGACAAGCAAAGTTATACAAGCCTCATAACATAAAAAAGCTCCACATTCAAAAAAATCATCCTTTTGATTTCCACCAACTTGTCCAACGCCAACTAGCTTTTCATTCAGAGATCAAGTATAGACATAAAAACACATTTGTCTGTTCCTTCGTTCTAACACCGCGGAGCTCTGAACTCTGGCAAAGCTGGGATGTTTGATCTTGTACTACCATCCTGGCGATGCTTTCGACATCTCTCTCACATCAGGAGGAGAGATAACAGATTTCACAGATCAAACCGTCACCTCTCCATCACTGAGTCAGCCCAAAACCATTTTAAAGAAGTCTTAGAAGGTGCAGACAGTGTGAAACGGTGGGTGTAATTAGCCGTTAACTCTTGGCGTAATGTGGCAGCTGATGGCTCAGACGGTTAATCAGCACTTCAGCCTCACTCAGGCTCATCTTATCCAGAGTGATAGCGACGCGGCGCCAAGGTGTCAGCCAGTTCATCAAACGCTGCTGAGGCTAATTGCCGATCTTCTTCTTCCTGGCTGCGCGCGCCACAACAAAACAATCACTCACCTCTGCTGTTTGTTTCAGGTCCGTCTGTACGAGTGGACGGCCGAGAAAGAGCTGAGGACCGAGTGCAACCACTACAACAACATCATGGCTCTGTACCTGAAGACCAAAGGAGACTTCATTCTGGTGGGGGACCTGATGCGGTCCGTCTTGCTGCTTGCCTACAAACCCATGGAGGGCAACTTTGAAGAGGTCAGACATGAGATAGACTTCAGAGTTTCATAACTGTAAAAGCCAAAAGTGATATTTAAGTGGGTCGCTGTAAACCTAAAGGCTCTGTTAAAACAAATTAAGGCTTTCACTTTGCTGCTCATTTTTTGGGATTCATATTCTTACGTGCTGAGATACCATCACACTTCAAACAAACATTTAGTCAGAGTCTGTTTATCCACACTTAATATCTCTTTGGTGTGTAGATGTTTTCTCCCTATATGCCAAGCATTGTGGCAGACATATACCTCCCAGCATTTTGGAGAGCCGAGTGTTCAAATTGATTTGCGGTGGAAAGATGAAGAGATTTGTGGACGAGTCACGCACACTGTTGAGCACATGCTGCGGCGCTGCGCTCAGTGTGATAAGTGGAGGGAGAGCAGGAAAAGGGCTTTTTGAAATTATTCACAAACAAAACAGACCTCAGAGTTGCACAGACTCTAAGATGGAGAGCAGTTATTAATTTGTAACTTTGAGACAAAGTTGCTGTGCATCAAGCCAAACTCTGTTTCCACTGACTTTGGTTTATTTGGGTTGGTTTAAGAGCAGAGTATAGAAAGGAGGCACTATATGGAATTTCTTTAAGTGTGCAAGCCCGTCCTAATAACTTACAACATGGTATCTCACAATATCGAGTACACTCCTCACATATCTGCAAATATTTAATGATATCTTTTCATGGGACAAAACTGAAGAAATGACACTTTGATACAATGTGAAGTAGTCAGTGTACAGCTTGTATAACAGTGTAAATTTACTATCCTCACAGCCATTAATGTGTACAGCACTGGCAACCAATGTGAGTACAGCACTAAGTGAAAATGTCCAAATTGGGCCCAGTTAGCTATTTCACCTCCCTGGTGTCATGTCACTCATTAGTGTTACAAGGTCTCAGGGGTGAGCGGGGAGCAGTTGGGTTAAATTTCTTTCTCATACCGGTCACTGGAAGGTCAAAGTGGAACCTCATGGCGAAGAACTCTCTGAGGATCTGAGTAATTGTTGCTCCGCATAAGAGATGGCTGAGGCTAGAAGAAGATCGCCAACACCCTGAAACAGAGCTGCAGCAGAGTGGCCAATAAGGCTGGGCGATAAACTCAAAATTTACCGATAACAAACTTTACGACAATAACTGACATTTTGCCCATGTCAATATATTCGGTGTCAAAAAAATAAATAAAAGTTGTTGTTGATGTGTGTAGGAAGGCTATGGTCTCATGTCCCTTTAAGACGCTGTCCTACGTCAGAGACGTGACTCCACCCCATCCAACAAGAGGGAAAGACAGGCAAGGAGATGGAGGACGTTCAAAAGTTGTACTGGCTGGAGCGGCTGAAGTAGACGAAGTCAATGTGAGAGGGAGTGAGCAGCTTGTGGAGTAATTATCATCCATTTATTGTTATCGAGGTGAACTGCTCACAATATTGTAATATTAATTTGAGGCCATATCGCCCAGCCCTATATGCCAAGACCACTAACAGGTTCTACTCAGAACAGGCCTCAACATGGTCGACAGAAGAAGTTGCGCATGTTCAGAGTCATATCCAGAGGTTGACTTTGGATAAAAGTTGATAAGTTCCGGGAGGAAGCTTCTTCTAAACATGATGCTCAAGAAGGCCTGTTTACTTAAGACAAGCAGATGTAGGCCATGGGCTACTGGTACCACTTCCTGTGAGACCAAGATAAATGGTTCAGATGGTGTCCAGTGTGCATGGCAGCAACCAGGCGAGGAATACAAAGACAAGTGTGTCTTGCCTACAGTCAAGCGTGGTGGTGGGAGTGTCATGGTCTGGGGCCGCATGAGTGCTGCCAGCAGCGGGGAGTTCATTGAGGGAGCCATGAATGCCAACATGTACTGTGACATACTGAAGAAGAGCAGGATCCCCTCCCTTCAGAAACTGGGCTGCAGGACAGTATTCCAACAGGATAAAGACCTCAAACACACCTCAGAGATGATCACTGCCTTGCTAAAGAAACAGAGGGTAAAGTTGATGGACTGGCCAATCGTGTCTCCAGACGTAAACCCTTTTGAGCATCTGTGGGGCATCTTCATACAGAGAGCAGGGGAGCACAAAGTCTCTTACTTCAGAGGTTCATGAGTCCATAGTAAAACTTAGATCACTGATCTTGTTTCGACTCAGAATACCGCCCCAAATCCTGGTAAACTTTCTGCGGCTCTAAAATCAACTCTGGAGCATTTGCCTTTTTTGTGCCAGCTGCTGCTTCATATTTCATCAACACATCTTTTTTTTTGGAATGACAACTCTCTAACTTCCTATCAAACAGGTGGCATTAAAATTTGAGGACATATTCCTCTCCTCTCAGAATACTCAGCCCATGTTTTGCAAAGTGCAGTTGTGTTAACCCTCTCTCAAAAACCAGCAAAACACCCACACAAGAGACCTCTTTTTTTCTCTCATTATTTTGATCTGGCTGTGCTTGTTCTCTGAAAGTAATGGTGAATCGAAACCGTTGAATGCAGCTTTTATCAGCTGATAAAAATCCTTATTCTGGCCCTAATACTCTGTCTAATGTGCAACCAGAAACAAGAAACATCAGTCAGAAAACTTTAAAACCAAATAACTTTGTATAATATGTAATATCACTCTGTCTACAGCATGTAAAGGATATATACAGAAGAAGAGCTGTCTGTTTTGCATGCGCACAGCCTTTATTGTGATGAAATGTTCTTTTTTTCCCCCGACTAGGACCTTGCAGGTCAAAATGTTGCATTAAAGATGGTGAGAAATGATGTCTTGTTCATTATGTGTGCAGACAGTTTCTCCTGTTCTCTTCAGTATAAAGTGAAAAAAAAATCTTCTTGTATTTTTTTCAAGCCAATATCATTAACAGGCAAACTGACTGTGGTTTGAGATGCTGCTATATACCTTATTTACCTGTAAAGTAATGAGCTGCAGCAGAGTACAGGCACAACCTTTTCAAACAGATCATAGCGCTAAATTGTGTTTATTTTTCTTCACAAACTCTGACAAATAGAGAGATGTTCAGTGGATGCATCTCTTACGGTGAGGCAAACATCATTAAGAGTTTCCCAGCCTGTTATTTGCATTAAAACATGTCGACTACGTCTGAATTTCAGCATTTAGTTTGACCTAATTTCTACCCTTTGCCCGTGGATAATACAGGATTTACTCGTAGATCGGAACTATACAGACCTTGACCTTGTCTTGTTTACCGTCCACTCCATCACGTCTCATGTTTTTCTCGGTCAGATCGCACGTGACTTTAATCCCAACTGGATGAGCGCTGTGGAAATCCTGGACGACGACAACTTCCTGGGGGCAGAGAACGCCTTCAATCTGTTTGTCTGCCAGAAGGACAGGTGAGAGAGACATGATGTCCCATTGTACTCAGAGCGAGAGCTGCGATGAGATTTTCTGCTGATGAATTTCAACCTTTCCCACACTGATTGCAGCCCCCTCAGCTCCTTCATTGTTGCCAAAATGTCAAAAAGTTTCTGACTCACCTGGAATTATCCCCTCAAATCCCCGTTATGTCATTACAGAGAGTCTCAGGACACTCTCCAGAGCAGCATCATTGATACAAATGTGGCTTAACAGCATTGTCCTTGCATCTGTTGTGGAAGTTATGAGTCATCTCACCACCACCACTGAGCTTTTAGCCGCCCAGCTACATCTCCCATTTTAGTCATTTTCTATTAGACAAGTGTTGATTTCATGGAAAAGGAAGAAAGATGTGGTCTAAAATTGAGTGTGTTGCATTAACGCCACCGCCTATTATCCCTCTAATACATCAGGTCGGGCCACTCAATGCTTTTGACCTTTATTTTTGTATCACATCTTTCTTCCTGCTGCTCTCTCTTTTTTTCCTTTGGACTTTTTCCCATTACCTCTCAATTACTCTCTGACCTTTTCTAAAGCTGCAGATATCTTTGCTCCTCTTGTTTGTCTTTTGCTTAATCTATCATTCTTGGTACCTAAACATTTCCAACTTTGCCTTAGACATCTCTTCTTCTTTTCCTCTCACTTCATTTGATCTCTCTCCTTTCCATTCGCTCGTGTACAACCTCCCCCCTTTTATCTCACATGATCTGTCCCCTGATGTTTTTAATCTCTCCCTCTCTCCTCTTTCCATTTCTCTCCTGCTATCCTTCCCGTGGTCAGCGCTGCCACCACAGACGAGGAGCGACAGCACCTCCAGGAGGTGGGGGTCTTCCACCTGGGGGAGTTTGTGAATGTCTTCTGTCACGGCTCACTGGTGCTGCAGAATCTGGGAGAGAGCTCCACACCCACCCAGGGCTCGGTGCTCTTCGGCACCGTTAACGGCATGATTGGTAGGCACATGGACAATTTAACACTCGCTCAAGCATTTACATGCACACAAACATCGCTGAAGGTAGAGCGGCTGCTGTGTTTCTCATCAGTTTCTCACCCACAACAATAACGAGATATCACAAACACTCAAGTGTTCAAACCTACTTATTAAAAGACTAGTGCAAGATTTTGCAACTACAACCATTTGTGTCGTTGCAGGTACCCACTATTCATAAAAGACGCCCATAAACTTCCCTTTTGAGACTTTCATGGCTGTAGATTTTATACTTTCTGTGAGGCTCGAGTCAGCTAACAACTTGCCTTGCTTAGCACAAACTCTTGGAACCGGGAGAAACAGCTGGCTGGACTCCATGAAGTTAAAAGGTTACCTATTAAAGGAGACCTATTATTCTCATCTGTACTTTAATACACACTGTAAAATCCAGTCTATAAAATGTACTATAAAAGTCCTTTTTGTTATCTAGACAGTGAGCCAGTCTAAACAGCAGAGCAGCCGATATACCAATATATCTGTCTGATGAAAAACACGTATCTCCACTTCAAGCGTTCTGGACTTTTTTCAACACATGCATGGTCCATAATATTCCCTAACAACCTGTAGCTTTGGGTATCCAAATGACCAAAAGAAAGACATTTTATAACATCATCTTTCCAGCACATATCTCCACTGGGTGTCGGAAGTGTCAACAAAGCACGTACCTCCCGCCCTGGCCCTGTGTTGTCATGTCAGCAAACAGACTTTACACTGTGACGGACTCACTACAGTCCAGAGTGATGCTACACTGATGTCCTCACACCGACTGATGCCGACCTAAAGCTTTTTTTTAACCATGACAGTGTTGCTTACCCGTACGTTTGATTTCTTCAGCCGAATTCATCGCCAGGGGGGATTTGCCTCCGCAGAGGCAAAGCTGCTGCTATTTTCTCTCTCTCTTGTTCGCAGACACTGGTGCATGTTAAATTGGTAGCCACGACTCAAAAAGGTTGACAACCAATGTGGAAATGTAGGATAGCTCTCTATCTATCTACTTGTTAATAACTCGTACTCGTAAATAATCAAACGTCATTGGAGCACATTATTAAAAAACACATTTGTCCACTATCACTCACAACGCAAAGCACATAAGTCTGTTTAAAATATCAAACTGGTCACTGATGACTGTAAATGCAGATTTTAATTTCGGGTCCTAATTGTGTTTAACCACAGTGTTTAGGTTTTATTCTGTAAGGTAGTTTATGAATAAAACTGTTTTTTAATGTTCCTGAAAAAAACACCTTTTGGAGATATATGTTTTTTATTAGTATTGTATCGCATTATGATATCTTAGAAAGACGATAATATTAGATTAAATATAACTTCATATGTCCTTTTGCGAAGGTTCCCTCAAGGAAATTGAAAGGTGGATATTTATTAATGGATGTTAAAGAAGACAAGTCCAGCCCCACTTTTAAAAAGCTGTACACCCTCATTAGGTCATAACCATGCACATACAGAAAAGTAAGGTCTAGTGTTTGGTTAAGGAATCATGTGGAGTGCTGGTTTGATTGAAAAGGCGGACAGTAGATTCAGCAAACTGGTAGCCATCAAATAGGTACTGCTTGTAGGAGTTAAAGCTCGTGTATTCCCATGGTCCATCCATACGTGACAACAGAAACACTGCCTCTACACTTTGTGGACTTAGTAGAAAGTTATAGAAGTCTTCAGAATGAGAGACAGGCCTTTTTCTCTCAAGACACCACCCACAATTTACAATTTAACATATCAAGACTTGACCTGAACTTGACATTCGACTCTGCTGTCTTACTAAGACATGTTGGAGGAAATGCCCACCAAGCAGCTCTTTCAAGGACACACCCGCTCAGAGGTTCTCTCACAGTTTCCTCCTCTGGAAAGTCCATTTCACTGCTGTTGATTGATACATGTCTCAGAAAGTTGCTCAGAAGTGTTGTGAAAGAAAGTCACAGATATTATTTTCTTTCCGATGGATAAGTCACCAGACGAGCAGGGGGAGTTTTTGTGTTGTTGTTTGGGAAAATAACAGTCACTACAGAGCTGTTTGTGCCCGACACTTCACTAACGACTCCTTAAAGGCCAGTATGAGCATGACTCGCTTAATCTGGAGCTGCTTCATCTATATAAGTCTTTCGTGAAGGCTCAGAAACCACAGTCTGAAAGTCACTTTAACACATAAGTTAATGTAACAGCAGGAGAGACATGGAGTGCAAACACGCCAGTGGCTATTCTCAGACATACAAAGCTGTGCAAAAAGTAACACCCACAAGCTGTGTCTTAAAGATTACTTTGTCAACCGCAAAAACAACCTATTCTTGGCCCCATGGTCATTTGTGTCCAACTAAATGACAGTTGTGGTTTGTTTCTGACAGTTTTCAGTGCCCACATCTCTTGAGTTCAGCTTGAATCAGTTGAGATGAAGTATTTGTCAAACTCACCTAACTGAAAGATTATATTTAGAAACTTCAAAGCTGTCTTCATCTCCAAGTACAGTATGTCTGTTGCTGAGGAGATGCTTTAAAATCTCTTCAAATTGTTATATTTTCCTCTTTTTCAGAAAAAAAAGTACACAACTGGAGCAGAACACAGTCTGAAAAGTTTAAAGTGAGCTATTGTTAAAGTCACTTTTATTGTTCTCATACCTACCTTAAAAAGCTTCCTCTCTGCAAATTGAAGAAAATAAACCCAACATTTGGTTTTAAACCATTAACCAAGAAAAATCCCCCCATCCAGTTTTACAGTTTGAGATATGAGTTTTATCGCCACTCCGAGACAGCTCTCATGTCTAGTTTTTCCAATAATCAGCTGCCTGCAGCAAAGCAGACCAATTAGGGAGTACACAAACTTTTGTCTGAGCCATTTATTCTGAACCAATGTTTCTGTTTGAAGAGGCGAGAAGAAAAAGAAGGGAAATTATATTTTTTTACACCTCATTACTCAGATTTAAACTAGTAACTTTCAGCCTGGCAGTAATGATGGCAAAGATGAAAAGTACAGAGAGCTCATCATTTGGACACAGTAATTTACACCATGTGCTCACCAAAGCGCTGACACACAGCGTGTTATTTCACCTCAACACCTACTGTAATATTTTAGAGTCCCAGAGGAAAGTTTAACTGAAAATGAGAATGTTTTATCTCCCAGTAAAAAGTTTAAAATACTATCTCAAAATCATAACAAGCTGCAGCGTAATAAAGAAAACAGCTCTCCAGACTCAAGCTGCTCAAAGTGGCAAATTAGAAACTCACATGAATATTCAGTCGAAAGAACAGCAAGTGGACAAACTGAACAAACTTCTCATGGACTTGTTTTGAATCATGAACCGGGTCCTTGTGTGCAGGACAGATTATCAGACAGACAGGTATATGAAACAAGACTCCAACCTGATATGGTGATAGTTACAGCAGTTTTATCTACAAAGCAGATTTCAGAAAAAACACACTAACAGTTTCTTTGAGTCACGAATCAAATCAAAGAAAGCAAACTCCATCCAACATACATCAGACACACCACACGGCAATTAAGCGTAAAAAAATACAGAATGATCAAAAACGAGAAAAAGATTGCTTTACAAGCAACCAACCATACAAGACATCATATTTACACGCCCACAGAGCTACTGAGTGAATAAATGAGTGTTTATCATGATGATCAAACACTATAGAACTAAAGCTTACAGCTTGTGTGAATACTCAGCTTACAAAAAGCAAAATTATGTAATTCTGCGTGTCTGAGCCGGTCCAATTTATATGATAAAACACATAATCAAGAGGGGGGTTTCTTTTTATTCCGTACAATCCATCATATTACACCAGCAGCACGCTACAATAACAATAACAACAGCTGATTCACTCTGAACTATCGTCAGTTATTATTTTTTTGTTGTTGTAATTATCAATTGGTTTATATTTGAAGACCTTTTTAAAATGCTGCAATTTTAATTTATCACTAAGGTCGTTTCATAATTAGATTTTTATATCAGTTCTCACTTTACATTTTTTTCTGTTAGGGAACAAAACACACTTAGCTCTTCTCATGTGGTTTAATGGTGATATACTGTGTGCTGTAGTGCGTGTATATCATGCATTTGTTATGTTTTGTGTTAATTATACATGCATTTATTTTTCTTGTTTTTTATGATCATTCTCGTTTATATTTGTTCATTATTTAATTTCAGTGCTTTCATAATGAAGTACAGCATCTTAGCTTCAGGGGAAATGCTGCTCTATCATCCATGAACATACTTCATAACTGTGTCCATACAAAAATACCTGGAAATCAGAATACAAAACTACGATTAGACTTGTAGTTTTTCGTGAAAGATTTAACCAAGAACAGTTTTTTGGGTTATTTTTTCAAATGAATCATTATTACGAAGAGTCAACAGAAGATTTATTACCAGGGAAATTCATGGTTCCTGCGGCTCTGCCAACTTCCATATGGTCCCTGTCAGTTTGTCCCAAAACTCAAACACTTCCTCGTGTTCGTGTTCAGGAAAACATGATCTGCATTAAAACCTTTGCAGCACATTGTTCAAAAACGTTTGTCTCTTTTTGTGTTCTGTCAAATCCAGCAGAGATCTTTTCCCCAGAGCATCTCCATAATGCACTCTCTGTCTCAGAAATGGCTTTTTCCCTTTTTTTCTTCTTTTTTTTTTACATCGAAGAAAGCACGTTATTATTTTAAAGCCTGTGGCTCTTCAGATTTATGAGGAAATTACCCTAAAAAGAAAGCCTTTTTAAAGCAGCCTTGAATTATTGACGTATTCAAATCACACTACTTTACTCCTTACATAGTGCCACTATATGTGCATGAAAGTTGCAGGAGGAGGACTGCAGTCACACTAATGATCTGTTAGTTTATTTATTATGAAGCTTTTAATGCCTCTCTGCTGACTGGAGCTGTGGTTTGAGGGGTTATAATTTTTGTTTCCCTTTTCTCCTCAATGCGATATCCGAGAAATGAGGGTATTTCTCTGGTTTTGGCACAAATGTCCTCGTGGACGACCTGACTAGATTTTGGTGGTCAGAGGACAAAGTTTGGTTCAGCTGCGTGCTCTCCTCTCTCTGTAGTATTGTGTCCTTATATCAGTGCTCTGCTCTTGGATAATGAACAGTCTGACTGAGAAGGCAGCAAGTTTCTCAAAGTGATTTATGCACTCATATTCAAGATGTCAACAAATTGATAAATCCCAATTCACCTTATAAACATCTAATGTATGTTGATGAAATTTCTCCAGTCTTTCCTGCATATTACATTAGTGCAGGTAGACAGATATCAACTGCAATGTGACTGGTCGGCAGCCAAGCAAATATCATGACGGTTTTAATCTACTTTGAGTTCTATTTTGGATCTAGTTCAAAACCTCTTCCTTTATTTATGTTAATGAGAAATAAAAAGTATCAACCATCTGCCAAAGAGAGATGCAAATCTGTTCCGACTGCTACGCCTTCAAAGAAACACTTGTTTGTATTGCTGATTGATGTGTTTGCATTTGTGTGTGCGTGTGTGTGTTTTTCAGGTCTGGTGACGTCCCTGTCTGAGGGCTGGTACAGCCTCCTCCTGGACCTGCAGAACCGTCTCAACAAGGTCATCAAGAGTGTGGGCAAGATCGAGCACAGCTTATATCCTTTTTATATTCAGACGTACATTACCATCTGTCACCCAGACTGAGACGAGCTGCACTGACAGCTGTGGTGGACTTGTGGGCAGTGAGCCCAGAGAGTGACAGAGTGATTACAGCCACTTTAAATGGCACTGCAGGTGTTTCAGAGACGTCTAATGCATGGAACAGTCTGGAAGGAGCTACTTTGTCTCATAACATGACGGTTATTTGTGCAGGAAACTGAAACTGTTATACAGGAAATCAATCAATCAAGAAGTGTTATCGAAATATTTTTTTTTTCTCCGCACACGAATTCTCGACAGTTTCTTGATTATTTTCAGGGATTTCCTCTCAAATTTGTATCATTGTCAGAGCGTCAGGGTTACACACACCCCCACAACTGTAAATACGAGTCTGAGGATGGAAGTTTCTAAAGTTTCTAGGTTTTAGTGACGACAACATGTCAAAGTTTTCCAGACACAAACACACAAGAACAGGAAATAATGTACACACAAAGCCCAAAAACTCAGATTTATCTCAGCTGAAATTTGGATGTTACAATTTCTCTGATGTAGATTGTTGGCAGAAAGATGTGTGCTTCAGTTTAAATATAGTAATTAACAGTACAAAAGGAGGTATTATGTAAAATAGATAATTATATTTGCAAGATAATACAATATACAAGATAAAGTCAGTACACTCCCTATTACAAGTAATGTATTGCGCAATATCTAGATGAGCAAAAGTACAATTTCCAAAGTTTTGACAAAGCTGAGTTTAACATCACATTTTATTTACCATAAGATGGAAATAAGAATGATATGGTGACTAAAATTTAGCTTTGCTCCCAGAACTTTGATTGGGGTGTACTCAATTTTTGCATCCCGTTTTTAAACTTTAAAAAATACTTTTTTGTATGCAAATTAAAAAATCTTATTTGCAATCAATAGCATACACCCAGGGGAGTATTTTGATGTATAGTCTCACATAGAATGTGTTAATTTTAAAAAGGAAACTAAAGGTTTTCTGACAACTCTGAAGGGGTTTACTCATTTATGCTGAGCACTGTATGTAGTAGATATTGGACTGTGGTAATGCAGAAGTGAGTACAAATATGACAGAAAACACGCATGCAAATAAAAACCCACAAAAATGCGCATCGGTTAAAACTAAATGCTGTGGATGGGTTTGTATTATTTGAATATTACTGCTAATATTGTTAAATTAGAATGGATAATCATAAAAGATGAGTCAAAAAATACAAAATTAAATTTTCCCTTTCAGCAGAAAAGACCATTTTGCACTATCCCTCCAACATAAAACGGTTTTAATGTGTAATCTCCAGCCTGATATTACTGAAGTCTTTAGTTAATAGGAGTGTGATAAAAGCTGGGTGATTAGAGTTCACTTTTGAAGAAACTATTCCCTGAATAGCTTTTATAAGGCTTCATAAAAGAGGCAGGAAGCCTTTTTCTTTTATGATATTTTTGGGCCGTTTTTTGTCTTTTTTGAAAGAACACCGATCAATAAAGAAAAGCTGTGAATGTGGAGAAGGGAGAATGGGAGATGACATACATAAATGGTAGCGGCTGAAAGGCTGACCCGCGATCACATTAAGGGTTATAGTCTCTACATATGAGTCGTGCACTTTAAATAACAAGTTAAACTGGGACCATGAAAGGCTTATTTTGATCAACAGTTAGCCTGTGTGTCATTTATAAAGGCCAGTGTTTATCAAACGTTACCCTGGATCTATTTTTTTTAACAGTGGTGTGATCCAAAAAAGGGTTTTGGCGTTGACTTCGACACCCACATCAGTCACTGTGATTTTTACTGTAATGGTTGTGTTCTCTATCATTTCTGTGTTTTTTATGATCAATCTTCACAACTATAGTAAATTTGAGGACAGGGGGAAAAAAAGGAAGTCCACTTAAGTAGTTTTCTATTTAGATTAAACCTTCAAAGGTATAATTTAGAAACGACTCCAAAAATCAAAGGTGATTACTTTATATCAAGACGCTCCGTATAAAAATAGTTTGCATTAAACGCCATCTTCAGGCTGTACACCAGCTCTCTGCGGGGTCAGTGTTTTCCATATGAGATCCTGATAGGCTGACACCACCAGCCACCTGTTTATATGAGCACAGCTGCATTTATAGGACTTCTTAGACTTCAAGCTGAATATTTGTTGACTTAGTCAGAGATAAAATATGTGATGGTGTAGCTAAAGTGCAGTCCTCAGGAAAAGCAGCAGCCTTGAATTGATTTTTCCTTGACCTGTTGGCACTTGGAGGTCCTTTCACACCGAACGGAAGACGGAGCAGGCCACGGGATTCATCGATGGGGATCTGATTGAGAGTTTCTTGGATCTGGGCCGAGCTAAGATGCAGGAGGTGGTCAGCACTCTGCAGGTAGGCGCTTATCTCTATTCACAGCCGCACTTATATATGTTGCAAGAGATGAAATATGAGTCTTGCCTTTCCTGTAAATCTTTTATCCCTCCCCGCTAGCTATAGCTGTGTCTAGAGGCGCAATGTTTTTAGGTTTTCTGTACATCTTTCCATTTATAGGTCTGATTCTTTTGACAAGGTCATCTGAAGAAAGCCTTAGGGCAGTGGTTCTCAAGTCAAGTCCTCGAGGCCCCCCGTCCTGCATGTTTTGGATGTTTCCCTGCTCCAACACACCTGATTCAAATGATCAGCTCGTTATTAAGCTCTGGAATGGCTTAATAACGAGCTAATTATTTGAATCAGGTGTGTTGGAGCAGGGAAACATCCAAAACATGCAGGACAGTGGGCCTCGAGGACTGGACTTGAGAACCACTGCCTAAGGGGACATTTGACTCCAACTTCCTTTGGACTCAAGGTTAAATTGATCTAATTAATGAGTTGACAGCTCAGGATCACTGTGCCTTCTGGGAAAAAAAAAACACCTTAGCTTATTTCTTACAGTGTTAAATTATTAAATAATACAAACTAAATATATCTTATCCTAGAGATCAAGTGTGTGTACATGAGTAATCGAACCAAAAAGATAAGCAAACACGGCGAAGAAATGACAGAAACTTTGCGAACAGACTTAAAAATGTCCACAGAGGAGGAGGACTTGATTGAAAAAGGTGAGCTACTTCATAGCTCTGAGGCTGCTACAGCAACGACACGGTAAACCTTTCCTTTTAGCTTTGACTAAGGAACAGCTGGTGGGATGATCTCAAAGCTCTGCGGAGATGTGCTGTGTGAAGCTTTAAAAACAAACAAAAACACCTTAAAAATCAATCCTGACCTTGATCGATGTCGGCGTCGTGACAAAAAGTAGAGCAGAACGTGGTGAGGACATTTCACCTGCAGAGATTTAGAGCAGCTCGATACCACAGCTTTATCGCACAGTTTGTCTACAAATAATTAACTATTAGCTATACCATTTATAAACTAATAACCTTGAAATTTGTTTAATAATTATTCTCGGATCCTTTTACTTCTGCTTCTTCTACGTTATCAGTTTGGCATTTGTCTACTTCACTGGTTCTGAATCAATAAAAAAAATCCTGAATTCCCATCACTAACAGCATTACATCAAGGCTGCTTACCTGAGACTGATAAAGAATCCAAACCCTGTCCTCACAGATCATAGATAACTTGAGCGAGATTATACAGCCTCTGTAGATTTAATCCATGGATCTCTACAGATATAAAATATTTGAATTTAATCTTTGACTGGATTGGATGTGGGAACCCTCATCTGTTGCAGCATGAAATGAGGTATACCGTCAGATTTCCAACAAGTTCTGTTATTAACTTGAACTCCCATGAGTTTGTTTTCTGTGAAACTCCCAATGCTTATCAAATTTCTCATTGCTGACTGAATGACGGTTTCTCCGCCTTGGAAAACGTCACCGTCTCCTCATCTAGATACTGTGTGACAGTGTCTGGAAGGCGTTTGTGTCCATCACTTTCAGCGTTGCGTTTGGCAGCTCTGGCGAAGGCTTCACCAACTCTGAGCTGTCAACTCACTCAGGCATGAACTGATCTGCACTGGAGGGGGCGGCGCTGAATTTTCATACTACCACGTCTGAATCAGCTGGTTCAACTCTTTTCATTTGGTGACGCCACAGCCCGTGTTGTACGTCGGTCTGTTATGCTCCATGTTTAGCCTGTTAATATTTCATTTTGGCGAAGATGCGCTAAAGAATAAAGAGACTGATAAAACAATGGCTGATTAAATCTCACTACAATGTGAACTTAATGCAGTAAAATTTATAGGGTTGCTTTCTTTGTTAATTGAATCCTTTTGTTGTTGTTAAATTAACATAAATAAAGGCACATTAATCATAACATATGGCATAAAATCCACGTGGGAAATAAAGGTTAAACACTAAATCTTCCAGGGAAGGACCTAATCCATTTCCAAGGTAAAAAGCAAACGCGTGATAACAGCTTGATAAAAACACGAGCCGACGATCTGATAAAACTCAACATGAGATCCTATTTAAGAAAACGCCTAAGGTACAGTAAATGCTACAACTCAAGATAGGAAGGTGAAGTAATAATAATAAAGTGGAGGTAATAAATAAGACATTACAAACCCAAAAGATTGATCGGGGAAAAGTGAGTAGGATAATAAAAAAGATGATCTACTGAAGTGAAAGAGAATAAGACAATAAAGTTCTGGAGGATAATCCATAAAAACAAACTACAATGATACACTAAAACATAAAAAATAACAATCTATAACAATAAAATAACAGGAGACCCTATAAAACAGACTTGTGTGTGAAATAATTAAACATACTGTTACATAAGATTGAAATTGGTCGGTGTTGAGATTTGTTTTTCAGATGATTCATGTTGGCATGGTTTTGTTTCAAGGACAGTGTGTTAATAGATTATCATTGGGTAAAAATATCCTCTGTCCAGACCTGACTCGCATTGTTATTCTGCTGGAAACACTGACGGGTGTAAACTGGAACTTGAACGGTCGGCTGAGCCATAAAACTGCGGGGCGATAATTCAGGTTTTATCCTGCGATCATGAAAGGAGTTATTCAGCATTGTGAGCACACTGAATGGCTTCATACTCAAAGGGAGATTAAGCACGGAGGCATTAAGCTAGCTCAACAGCCCTCTCTTTGCCAGGCTGTTGGCACGCCTCGAATTGACCTGTAATTGACACAAATATTAAAGTTCATTTTATAACAGCTTGTTATTAGAGCCAGGACCTCTGCTCCGGCAACAAGCTCACTCTGTTCTCCCAAAAAAACATCTGCTGAAGAAGCAAACTAATGCTGTGCTGTCACTTGTGTTTTTGGATTTCAGCAACATTGAACTCTCAGAGACCCCACAGACAGTTTTATTAGCTGTTCTTTTGCTGTTTGAGAGAGAGCTGGGAATTAGACTCATGGCAGAACAGGTGGCAAAATCAGTTTTGGCAGATAAATAAATGAGCATATTCTGCCGTGTCTCTCCTTGCTCTCATATTTTTCTTTTTAAATCACACCTTTAGCTCATAAACAAAACACTGCTCCCTTGTTTCTCTTCAGTCAAGGCTGATAAAGACAGTCCAATATACAGGGATGATTTCTTCGCCAGGGAGCTGCTCTTTAGAGCTGAAATTCAACTGAAGCTGAACCTTTGCTGCAAATATAAATATAATACAGCATTAGCGGCTGACTTGTGCTTTTGCTCAGATAGGGGTAAGCGATGCACTAGTTTCACTAATGTCACGGTTTGCATACAATACTGTTAGCATGTGTTTTGGTTTATGTACACACATTTTGATTATGATAGAGGATTACCAGTCATGGTGGTGAGAAAATGAGATCAGACTGAACCCTGGTCTTTTCCCCCTGGTCCGCCCAGCTTCTCCAGAGCAGAGCCAAAGAGCACCATGTCCTCTTCAAGCTAAACTGGTTTTAATTGTTAACCATAAAAATGAATTGTGGCGCAGCAGTCAGGTGGTGAGGGAACACTCCTGTGGGTGTCTGCATCTTTGTAACAAAGGGTCAACCTGCTTGAAGGTGTTTTTACTCATGACTTCATTCTTCCAAGATAATTAAAAGAAGGCAGACTCGAGGTCAAAGAGCAACTGCAACTCCTGACGCTAATTGTAGCTCCGGGGAAGCTCAGTCAACTTACATTTCATTAAAACGCGTTTCATCCTTGACCAATTTTTCACAATAAAAGCCCCCAGTTAAGTTGTTGAAGGATCTTTATTCAGAAACAGCTTCATGGAGGAGTGACATGCTTTCAGCAGTAGCAAAAGAAGCAGTAGGGGTGGGAGAAAAAACCGATTCAACATACTATCATGATATTTTGTCTGGTGATAAATCGTATCATCTCATTTACCAAGTATCAGTTTTTAAAATTAAGTCAAATCTATGATAACGGACAAAAATAAAATCAACTGTTTGTCGAGCATAAATAAGACAAACATAAAAGAGAGGCAAATGCTAAATTAGCTAAAAAGTGGGAAAAAAATTTGTAAATCGCAATATATTGTATCACAATACTCACTGAATAGCAAAAATGTATCGTAATATCGTATCATGGCCCAAGTATCGTGATAATATCGTATCTTGGGGCCACTAGTGATTCCCTCCCCTGAGAAGTAGTGTTGAAACTCAAAAGGACTCAAATTTTAAAAAAGGTTAGTAAAAAAATTGTGAACTGGGATGCAGAAGAGGAATGAGAAGTCCGATCACACAGATTCAGTTCGTCGCCTCAGCATACTGTGACTCAATGCAAAGTGACATGATAAAATATATCTTTCTTTTGTCTGAGAGACAAACATGTCAAGAATCGCATTGCAAAATTGTGTGAGGGGTAGACAGAGTCAAACAGGTGAATATGCCAATCCCTTTTTATCTCTGTTTTACTGTGATAAAATAGGTCTACCACAAAAAGAGAAAAAATAGATACTGTGTTGTAAATTCTAGGCCGTGTCGCCCGCCCCTATGCCTTAAAAACAACCACTCTCAACCTGATCTGTCGTTTTGTTCTCTACTAACTACAGCTATTGTTCTAGACTAGAGCTAAAACTATCAACTGTTCTGGAAGTAAAAATCTAGATATGAGCTTGGTTCATTGATTGTGTTCTTGCTCTGAAAGCATCAAAAACAATTAGAAATGTCTGTGAAAGTTTCCTGGAGCTATGGGTGATGCCATCTGATACTCAGCTATTCATTCAAAACCCTGACAAACTGAGTCTGATATAATTATGAGAGAAGGCTAAATAGTTGAAGCTTTTGTCAAAAACCTAGAGCATTCAATTTTTGACAGTTACGCATAAAAACATCTTCAATTATTGATCCATTTGAACTGGTAAAAGGATTTTTTTTCTCCGCAACTGAAAAACTTTGATTCAAATGTGTAAAAAATGATGATAAACTGAAATAAATTGAGGCTGAGAACAGAAAAAGCCAAAAACAAACAGAATGCAAACTGAGCTCATTGTTCTGTTTATTTGATGTCTCTATTAAGATTAGAGGGAAAGAGAGAAGCAGATAAAAAATGGTGTGATTAAAAAACATTGCAGAAAAGATAAAGAACACCCTGGAGGTCATAAAATAATCCAACTTTTAAAAACAAATGTAATAAAAAGGCAGAAATGTCAAAGTGACTAAGTACCGTTTAGACTTGATGAAATAGTTCAGGCCCAGACCTCCATCTCTGAACCTCTCTGCTTGTTTTGTTCCCGTCATGTGATGCTTTTTTAGCTCTGCGTGAGCTTCCCTGAGAAACAGAGGTTAACCGTTTGCTGACGTTCAATTTCAGATCGATGACGGCAGCGGCATGAAGCGTGAAGCTACAGTGGACGAGGTCATTAAGATTGTGGAAGAGCTGACAAGGATCCACTAACCTCCACCACCATCGGGGGCCCCTGCTGAGTTTCCAGGAGGGTCCCAAGAACCAGTGAAACAACAACAGAGGGGGTAGACGGTTTGGGTTCTGCAGATTTGTAAATAGTTATAAATACACAGTGTGTGCATGTTCGTCCTTCAGACTTCAGTGATTTGTCAACGTTAGGCCCTGAAGGTGCCACATGACGAGCCCAGCACTCCTCGTGTAGAGATGAGTCTCTGGGGGAAGTGCGTAGCATCCTGTTTGGACAACAAAAAGACCAAAGTCGAGACATTGGTCTGTGTGTGTTTGAGTTTGTGTGAGTGCATGTGTGATTGCGTCTGTGTGGAATAACGTGTGACTATGAATAGGACAAACACCCAGAGATTTTCTCCACCAAAAACCCTTTCTGGGATATTTGTGACTGATAATTACAGGTTTGAAATGAGCAAATCCTTCACACCCACAATTTAAACCCGACTTTTTAAGTCCGTTGTTGAAGTCTGGAAGAAACCAGGCTGTATGATATACAAAATGAGGAAAATGATAGATTTATAGCTATTTTGTCTTTGTGATGTTTTCTTTGTTTATTCTAATAAACTTTGCTTTAGTACTGTTAACACTTGGGTCTCCGTTTGTCTCTTTCACAGTAACCAGGAGGGGCTAATTAGCAAATGATACACCAGCTGCTGCTAACTATCGGCATGTTAGCTCATAGTGACAAGTCTCATTGTGAGCATGTTGGGAGCATTTAGCTCACGGCAGCACTGAGCTGGAGTAAAACCACAGCGCAGCAGGCAATAGGCTGCAACTCAGTTCTCACTGCCTGGACCTGCCCCTTCTGACTTTGACATACTTGGTGACTTTTGGTCATCATGCAGCCCTTTGGGTTGTGCGTTTTTTTGTGTTCATGCTTCAGTCAAAGTGGTGGCCAAATATTCAGAGAAAATGTTGCGTACTAGAGCAGCAAAACATGGAGGATGGTGAGCTTGTAAAAAGAGAGAGGTTTAATTTTGACAAATAAGTATAATTCCTCTGGGATGTTTTAGATTGATATAAATGCTGAGGAATATAGATTTGAATTATTGCCACATATTTTAGATTAGAATAAATAATATATGACTAAAATAGCTTCTGCTTATACATGGGGGTGTAATACCATAACAAAATTTCAAGATATGAATACATCTTGTGATACATCTTGAGGTTGTAATTTCCACCAGAGTCCTCTGACCTGCCTGGATTTTTTTCCTCGCACCTCTTGAACAGTTTTCATGGTAACGCTTTATAAAGTGGCGTCTTGTAATATACCAGCGAGCAGAACACAAAGGACATTATCTTTGTAATCCTCACTTTGCTCCACTATGACTTTTTCCATACCCTCTCAGGTCGATAATGACATCAAGACACTTCCACTCTTGCAATATCCAGAAATTGACAATACCATAACAACCCTATTAGAAGGCCTTGTCATCTTGTAGTTCTGTTATGGTGCATACACAACCAGCACTATACCTGCTCTGGGTGTTCACAGTGATCCCATCTAGCCACTGTAACACTTCTGTTATCATTATGCCTCTGTGACGCCCATATTGAAGGCAATATGTTGACTTGATCATCAATACGAGAGGCTGAAATCATTTTATGAGAGACTACAATTCATTTCATGTAAAAAGCTTAAAATATCTTAAATTAAAAGAGTGAGATTATTCCATTATCTTGTTTTAGCAAAACATTTATTGGTGTTGGCATATCAGTCTAACTTTTGCTGGTTTTCTTCACTTAGTTTCACATATTTCTCATTTTTGGAGTGATATTCATGACAAATCTAGGCGTTTGAAAGCATCATCTCGGAATTTGGGAAATCTAAACAGGCAAATTTTAGGGGATAATCAGGTTTCATAAGTCTTAAGATAATAAAAATGTCACTGTCACTCAATTTTATGGAAAGTATAGCATCAGCAGGAAAGTTAATCTTTTATTTCACACGAAAAACTTGAGAGCGAAATCTTTCAGACCAGATGTTTTTATGAAGAATCCATATTTTTTTCATTTTCACCCATCCTATAAACCTTTTTTATAAACTTACAAACGCTGCCCTCCAACATCGTCGGCTTTGACCTCATTCATCAAACCCATCAAACAGCACCTCGCTCTGGTTTACAGTTAATGCAGCCTCACTGTTTGTAGCCCACACAGCTGTAATGAATGTTAGACCTCTAAACCAGAGGCATTGAAAGGAAAAAAAAAACATGGTCTTCATCATCCTTTTGTGTCAGAAAATCTGTATATGTGAATACTAAATACGCCTTTTCATTTATGTTTCTTTGTCGGAGCAGCTGAAATGCTGAGTGTAGCTCTACATTGTTTTCTCAAGCTACTCATTAATTTCTGTTGTGTTCCCTTTTTTCTTTTCATCTGCAGAAATGTTGTCAAATTGAAGGATACTAGCTCTTTCAAAGGTCGTACAGACTGCGCTGTGGCTCTGCCAGTATTTCAAAGTGGCTTCAGTGGTAATCCATTGCGCCTTTCTCTTAAATGGCTGTGGGTGTGGAGCTCACTGGTCAGAAACTGGCACTGGAAGTCATCTGACAGTTCTCCAGGGCTATTTCTGTCCTCCTGTCACCATCCTGAAGCATGCGGGCAGCAGCTCTGCTGTTTCTGAATCCAGTTCTCCAGTCACCCTAAAATGTTTGCATCCGTTTTTATGTTTAGTCTTGTTTTCCTAATCTGAATAAATGAAGCAGCTACAAAGGGGACAGAAACATATTGGCTGTGTAAACATAAAGTCTGTACCTGCAAATATGATTTGACTGACAGAATATATGAATATGAAATTGGTTGAATTTCCTCAAATAGTGTAAAATATTCATTTTTCATTTAAGTAAAAGACTAAAAATGGATCTGAATACAGTTCTGCAAACAACTATATTAAGAATTTTTTTGTATCGAATGCAACTCTTTTGTGTGACTGTACCATCAGATCAAACAGCTATGCTTTACCAAGGACATGCCTGGTAGTAGGACACAAAAGAGGACTGTATACACTCGTATGTCTAAATGTTTTATAACAGCGTTTATTATTTACATTGAGTCAGATGGATAGGAAAAAATATAGTTCTACAATTTCAAGGCTAAGCCTCCATTCACAGTTGAATTAATAAACAGTTTGTGTCAAGTTGTAGGGTCAGCCTTGAACAATGTGTTCCTCTTCTATCTGACAATTGCATTTCACTGCTGATTCTCTTGTCCATCCACTCATAGAACCAATGTCTTGATAGTAGCAGTTGAGTGACCTACAGATATAGTATTTTTTAATCCAAAGCATCAGTTTTTTATAATAATTTAATTGGTTTTATTTACCAAATGTACATTTTGTATACAATAAAGTGAAGTAAGTACTGATGATTGGTGGTTATCCCTGTAGGAGCTGAAAGGATCCTAATTTGCATAATCACCCATTCACTGTACATTAAACTGCTTATTTCACAGCTGCTGACTGAAGACATCAATTTGCTGACTCAAAATATCAGGTCAGAGAAATTTGTATTATTTTAAGAATTATTTATACAACTACATTTTGGTGGCGGACTCTTATCGGCTTCCCTGTTGGAAAAATTCCACATTGAGCTGAGTTTTTCAATTCACAGTCAAGCTCAAACAAAAGCCTCCTTATTTGTGATAATTCACTCTAAACTGAACATTCCCAGTGTAGGTAAAGTTAGGAAAGGGACTATTGCAGGGATATTTATGTTGACACTTTTGTCATCATTCGGCTCTCTTTCTCAGAACTTTGCGATTAACACACCTTTGAGCACAAATGAGGCAAATTGTTCCAATTATATCACAGACACATATGGTTTACGTTGCAACCGTAGACTGTATATACTATGGACAACTTGGTTCCGCCTTCCGCCAGTATACGGATTTGAAGCCGAAAAGCTCTCCTTAATTCTGCGTTTTTTCTCCACTTCCTGAAGCATTGTGCGCATTCGGTGGGAGAATCGCCGAGTCGCTGTGATGACGTTCAGCTCAAACAGCGTATCCCCCAGGTGAGCGGCGCAATCTATGTACGCCTATTGGCTGTATCAATGCTGTGTTCGAGTTACCTTGTAAGTCAGATGCTGGAGCTAAAAATGACATCATGTCCGAGTTCCCAGCGTTTCAGTTACCAAGTCGGAAAAAAGCAAAATCGGAGGCCGAAACAAGATGGCTACATCTACAAAAGTTATTCTAGTGCTTGCCGTATATTTGGACAAGGCAAGTGCTAAAATAACTTTTGTAGATGTAGCCATCTTTTTTCAGGCCTCTGATTTTGCTTTTTTCCGACTTGGTAACTGAAACGCTGGGAACTCGGAGGTGATGTCATTTTTAGCTCCGACATCTGACTTCCGAGGTAACTTGAACACACAAGTGTCAATCATAGAAAATATGAACCCCCTTATAACTTTTAAAAATGGAGCTGTACAGAAAAAAAGAGGACTTGAGCACAAACCAGTCTTACAATAACTACATGTCAACATCGCAAGCAGGGGGGAGAAAACTATATTCTGTGTAATAAATTTCTAAAGTTTGTCCACAGCCCTTTAAGGATGGCTGGCGGAGCTGGGATTTATGACCTAAACTGCAGCCCGTCACCAGAGTGTGCTGTTCTTGCAGTGGCTTCATCCAGCGAGGAGGCAGACGGCATCCATTCTATATACAGTCTATGGTTGCGCCATAGTAATCAGCAGTGGGAAAGCACATCCAGGACAGGACGTTGGTCCACTTTTCTCCATCAGAGATGTTGGGGCTCAAATACTGGAATCATTTTCTGACTGTCAGGACCAGCCTGAGATGGAAACTGGTGTATCATGCTCCTTTCCTCAAATTGATCTGATTTGAAGTGTGATCAGGATGTCCCTGGATTCACTTTTACTGTTAAGAAACAGCGAAGAGATAAATTGATCATATCAGCAGTCAAGGTCATCCATACTAGAGTCATGATGAAGCCGTTCAAGCTTTGAATTTACATCTTTTTGTTTACCCATGTTTCTTATTATACCACAAAACTTTTGCCTGGGGGAGTTTCCTGTTCCTGCCTCATTTCCAGATATCTACAAACAGTTTAAAGGGAGTCTCGCTGCTTTGATTTGATTTGTTTTGACCTGTAAAAATCAAACCTTGCTTTCCTACTTCAAACACATGAACGAGACAACTTTTATATTAGGTTTAAATTAGGATCAAGTCAAACTTTTCGAGGCTCTGTCTCGCTCGAGAACGGAGCAGCGGTTTGTGCTCTCAGTAGTTTTTTATGTCAGAGCGAGTATAACACAGAAAGTTTCCACGTCGAGGAACTGTGTGTGAACTCAGATCTTAATTACTCAGATGATACACTGTGATCAGTGCAGCAGAATTCAAAAGAGCCAACAGAAACTTGCCTCTAATGTGAGGGGTTTGAGCTGTCTCCACCTACACACTGTGCTAAAACCCACAGCTGATAACGAGATCAGGACTGTTCTCTGGTTCCTCTTGTAACACAGCAAATCATTAAGCCGGGGAGAAGTCGATAGTAACGAGGAGGGGTTTATTCAAACTGGATACAAGATGAAACGATTTAGAAACTTCCTAAAATAACTCCCAAAATAAAGCCGAACATTACAAATGGGGGATTTCTCTCTGTGTAATTCGCTCTCAGGGTGGGTTCTTCTGAAAAGGGAGGGAGGCAGGGTCGATTGTGTAGAAGCCCCTCTGGGAAATGTCCAGTAAAACCAGGGCTCTTGTTCTCATTAAATGGAGCAGCCTCATTGGAGCAGTTGGGAGGCTCAGGCTAATTATCACACTCTGGACAGACGTGCAGTTTTCCACCGAGTGTAAACAGGTGTCATGAGCCATGCTTGTTTGGTGTCTGGCTGATTGACTGTCTTCACCATAGATGTCTTTTTACACTTTCACCTTTTATCTGGCTCCCAGCAACATCTCACCTTTTGGAGCCCATTTAAAGTAGAGCCAGAGGGCCCTCCTAGCAGGATCAGAGGACTTGGAGTTAATGGAGTTTTTGATATTTAGACCTTAATCCTAACCAGAACCTCACACAGAAGTCTTTTACAGATCCTACAGAGAAGGTGTTATTGTAAAAAATCTTAACCTCATGAGCTTTAGAATACATTTTGACTAGATTTTGTCTTTATCTTATCGCCTTTGCTGGTTGTAGTCTAACTGTTGAGGTTTTATTGTAAATGTTTAGGTTTAATAAGCACTTTGCTCCATTGTCTTCTCCATTAATATCGGGAAAAGCTAATTAAAGGCGTAGTCTTTAGGATTTGGATGTATAAGAATCTGCAGTAGCAGCCAAAAGAAAGATGCAGCAAGTATTTGTTTTTTTAGACAGTTGCAGAGAACCTTTATAATGGCGGTCCCAGTGGAAAAGGAGCTGCACCCTCTGTAAATATGAAGAGCTCATTTTAAGGCCACAGAAGCACAGCAGTCATTATTTCCAGGTGATTACAGATGGTAAAACATAATTGCGAATGAGTTGCTCCATTTCTTTTGTTGAACTTTACTTTCGGGTCTTTATTATCTTATTTATCTTCAGTCGACTTGATTATACTATAACAGTGTCACTGCAAGTTTTCCTGAAATATTAACTGGCTTCTTTTAATCTGTGCAGCTGTGCAACTTCTTGGCCTCACTTTCAGACTGATCATCACAGACAATCAAAAATTATGGACAACAATAACAAGATGGCATCATTGTCACGTCCTAGAAAAACATTATTGGTTTAGTTATGAAAGTTTTGTTTGCTACTCTCATATAAAACTTATTTTGAAATGTTTTTATGGCCTGGCTCCTTCTGTGTCTAATAATTTGTTACCAGACAGCAGGATGTGCTAGAGTCAACTCACAAACCTCAGTAAACAGCAACTGTTGCATTACAATGCACAGAACATAATCGAGACGGACAGTATTCTCTGCCAAAATATTTAATGTTTTTAACAAACGTATCAAATCCTGGATGATCTCACACCTAAAACATGAACATACATATAAGTTGTTTTTCCTACTGTACATAGCCCTCTATTGTTATGAGCTTTGCTTTATTAATGTGCTTTATTTGTAACTGTTTTGTATTTTCTTGGTGTTTTTCTTTTCCTTGCGTATTTCGAACTGATTAACAAAACCAACGTGGACAGGTGTTGCAAATTAGCATCTTGCTGTTAACACTAAGCGCAGTACATTTGGGAGTTGAGCATGGTTAACTGGTCCTGCACCACTGTCACTGTATGTCCGTGTTAAAATGAACGAATAAATAAGTAAATTTCAGCCACCAGTATATGTTTTTTTTTTCTTTGCTCATTACCATAGGTGAGGGTTTGAATGCAGATCAGCAGGTAAACCAGAATTCAAAATTCTAAATCATTGGGCGGATCAGACGCTTTGCCCTCAGACCGTTTTGACTATAAACAGCTCTGACAAGGTCATTAGCTTCATTTATAGGCAGGAGATCTCCCTGTGTGTGTGTGTGTGTGTGTGTGTGTGTGTGTGTGTGTGTGTGTGTGTGTGTGTGTGTGTGTGTGTCTGTGCGTGCATACTCTAACAATAATGAGGTCATATCAAGGCTAAATCACTAGATTTAGTTTAGAAATAAATGCTCTGGACAATTTCCAGTAGCAAAGTCATCCTAAATTCCCTGTAGGCGGATAAACTGCACTACTAATTGGTGAAATTAACTGAAATTATGGATGAATATGTAGACTGGGGGTAGGCTCATAAATATGGCAGAGTATTAGGGCCACATTAATAGATTTATTGATTTCAAAATAAAAAACAAAACAAAAATAAAGTTAAGATCGTAATGCATAATGGGAATACTGTGGAGTCATAGCTTTGGTTAATGGCAATCAGCCAGCTGCCTGTACCAAAATAAGGAACATGAAGCATTTCATCAAATTGTACTCACACCAACACCTCAACACCACATTGTTACAAGTATCAGGACTATGAACAAGGATGTCTTAGTGAGGGGAAAAGTGGCCAGGACTACCCATGATCCCAATGGAAGAGGGGCCCTGGATGCGCTTGAAATGAAAACATACTAATGGTTTGTATTATATTTTTCTATGTCAAAGCAGTTGTTATGATAGTTGTAGCAGATTGACACAATAAACTCCTAAACTCAAAAAAAAAAAAAAAATGTGGGGAATGTGTGGAATAAAAATATCATGAATTCATTAAGCATTTAAAATCTCAAATATGTTTAATTAAAAAAAAAATGTTGCAAAGTGCATATGTTTCAGTTGCCAAGAACTGAACTGAAGAACTGCCTTTCTTAAATAAAGAATTAAAAAAAAAAAAAAAAAAAAAAAAAAAAAAAAAAAAAAAAAACGAATCCCTTTTTTTTGAAACGCGATGAGGGATTTTCACAGTTTGACTTCCTTATCCTGAATCATCTCGACATATGGAGATCTGACTGCGGTTAATGCGCAAGTTTAACAGTTTGTAGTTTTTATTGACACTATAAGGGTCGAATCGGTAAAGTGAAATTAAATGAGTTTATTCGCCTCGGTGTGTTAAAGTTTCTCGATGTAAACTGCGCTATATAACCGGACATTAAGAAAACGCGCCGAAAGAGCGGATACTATCGCGGATTGCGGTTCCAGCAACATGGAGAAGGCTGCTAACTTGATGGAGACCTTGTTTGGACTCTCAAGGAGGAGATACTGGACACAGAGGTCGACGGTGGAGACGGGAAAACCGGAGTGAGCTTCCTTAAAACTGTGAGTAAGCGTTTCGAGTTAAAATAAGATACTTTATGAGCTTTTAACTCGTGCTAATGTTTGCTACAGCCCGCTGTTTGCTAGCACCACCACAGGCGTTTTTGCTAACAGCTGGAGTATTTTAGAGACTTTCAGAGGTAACTGCGACTCAGTCTGGGATTGTTTGTGGTTGTTTCACACTTTCTGTATGCCTTTAAACTCCCGAGAATTAATTGTGCTTGTTTGTACATTTACATACAGGAGAAAAATGATTCTGCTCTCATATAACAATGATTGAATTGTTAAAGACAAATTAGCACCTGCGTAACAAGTCTTTAGCTTCTCTAATCGCTGTTTCCCGCTGCTGCTTATGTTTGTGTTTTTTTTTTTTTTTTTTTTACTTGTGGTGGCTGTGTGGTGTGGTGTCACATTACTTGATGGATTTTAATGGATCTCTGATGTTCATGGGACTTATCATAGTCCAGGCTTTGCTACAGGATAGAGTAGACATCACCTGAGACTTTCCTTAAATGTTTATCTAGTTTCTTATTTTATTCTCCTTGCTGATTCTTGAAGTGAAGGAGCTCAACTCTCACAGGTCATCTCTGCATATTGTGTATTTATTTCAACCACACAGTTAAAGAGCAAACATTTATCTTTGTATCTGGGACTTTTTGACAGCCCAGTCAGTGAAGATGTGGCCATTTAAAACTGATGTCTGTGCTCTAATGTTAGCTAATGGGCTGGCAAATATGTTGTTTCACTTAAATATGGCCTTATCTTGCTTCTGTTTCGAACCATCTAATGTTTTTTGACTGCTTATCGTAGTGTCGGGTGGTATGAACAAAATCTTATATCACGGTGTGAGTAATTTCACATCACAGTAACTGTATAAATCACGGTTTCTTTTTTTCCCCCCTGTAAATTCAGTTAATGGCCTAAAAATAACCATACTGTGGCATTTGTTCATTTTTCTTTTATTTTTAAACTTGGATTTGTATACAAATGCAAACAAAATGCCGGACCAGTCTGGCGATTTTTTTTAATCATACCTTTGGCGAAAGACTCTGCCAAGCTCTTTTGTATTGAGAGAAGCTGCTGCAGCTTTAGTTTTTGGTGGAGCAGGTGCGCCACGTATCTTTTGGCTCTCATAATAGTGTTTCATCTTTAGGTGGTGGAAGAGGTTGCTGGTGTTTCCACCTCCAGCAACGACAGCCACACGACAGTCTTCGCATAGTTTTGTTTATTGGTCATTGTCGGATTTTCTAAATCTGAAGAATCTCCAGACAACCGAAGTCACAACTCGTGCCCTTTTTTACGCCCTCCTCTTTCTCATGTTGGGTGGGT